GGAGCATGAAGCTGCGGTCCTGGAGGGCGCGGGTGAGCTGGCCTGTTGATGACGCAGGGAGGACGGGAGGGCATGGGGAATCAAGTAACGAGAGGAAAGGCGCCCTGTGCGCCGGAGCATGAAGCTGCGGTCCTGCAGGGCGCGGGTGAGCTGACCTGATGGATCAAGGGGAGAAACAAGGAGATTCAGTGAGGAGGTGGATGAGAGGTGTGGATGAGAAAGAGAGCAAAAGTTGTTGCCAGTCGCTGTGCGCCGGAGCATGAAGCTGCGGTCCTGGAGGGCGCGGGTGAGCTGACCTGTTGATGACGCAGGGAGGAGGAGAGGGGGGAGCAATCAGGGGGAGAGATGAAGGGGGGGGATTGGATGTTGGAGCATGAAGCTGCGGTCCTGGAGGGCGCGGGTGAGCTGACCTGCGGGGGCAAGGGGAGAAACGAAGAGAATAAGTGGAGATTGAGTGGGGGAGATGGATGAGAAAGGCGTAGGGAGCAACAGCTGTTGCCAGTCGCTGTGCGCCGGAGCATGAAGCTGCGGTCCAAGAGTGGAGGGCGCGGGTGAGCTGACCTGTTGATGACGCAAGGAGGGAAACAGAAGGGGTATAAAGATAGACATTTAGAATGTATTGGTCCTGGAGGGCAACCCTGAACCTTATGAGTCGACCCATAAAGATAGACATTCAAAATGTACTAAACCCTGGAGGGCAACCCTGAAACGGTAACCCGGATCCTGAACGCATCCCCGATGCACGATCCTGAACGCATCCCCGATACGGCGCCCTTCCCTTCATGACATACTTGAACGTATACCTGATTATTGAATGACGTACCTGATACGGCGTCCTTCCTTTCGTTCATCTTCTCTTGGCACTTGGTCTCCCACCTGTGCCACGTGGACACCTGAGACGGATTGGGTGGGTGAGGGAGAAGGGGAAGGAGGAGGGGGGAGGCATTGATAGTGGTGGAAAAGCTAAGAAGGCTTCGGCTCCTTTCAACCATCTTCTCTTGGCGTTTGATCTCCCACCTGTGCGACGTGGACACCTGTGTCGGAGTGGTTGAGTACGTGGGTGATGTTGAGGGATGGGGGGAGATAAGGCATGGATAACAAAACACTTTCTTTTGCTACATCTCCTCTTGGGACTTGATCTCCCACCTGTGCCACGTGGATACCTGTGTCGGAGTGGTTGAGTTCGTGGGTGGGGTTGAGGGATAAGGGGAGATAAGGCATGGATAGCATAAATTGGCTTGGAGAAATACTATGCTTTTTATAATTTTTGAGAGTATATCCAATGCAAGTATGGTGGGGGTAGTGTACCTTGGCACGGACGATGGCAATGGTGAGAGGAGTCTACCTTCGCCAAGCCTAGTGCTAGGCTTGGCGAGGGCAGTGTACCTTTGGCACGGGCCAATGGTGATGCAGGTGTAGAGGATGTGAGAGCACTAGGCTTGCAGGAATACTGAGTCTATCGTAACGGTCATCCACTAGGCTTGGTGAAGGGAGGGGAGTGTACCTTGGCACGGGCGATGACAATGGTGATGCAGGTATAGAGGATGTGGCCGGCAACGAGGAAGAAGATGAAGAGATGCAATTGGTGGATGGCTGCTGGCGACATCAACGGCTCCTCGCCCTGTAACCACCACGTACAGAGTGATTCGAGGTAACAACAGATAATTAGTGCAAAAAGACAAAAAAAACACTAGAAAAGAAAAATGAAAGAAAGAAGAAAAAGAAAGAGCAACTACAGGTATAAGGGTACTACAGGCATAGGAGGTGAAAAGGGCATGAATCGACACTCACGGCTGGACATTCGTTCGCGTAACTCGCCAGCTTCCTTCGCGAATGGTGAATGAACCTGCTGCCATGCTCCCAACGGTCATCTCCTCCTAGAAGTTGCCGATGATTCTCTTCTTGACCCTTTTGCCGTTCCCAATCCAGAATCAATCTGCGAATCTGATCCTCTATGCCGCTGGACGAAACTTCACTGGTCTCATGGGATGAAGACCCCAAGAGCCCTCTTTTCGGGACATGTTTTTCGTCGTGCCAAGTAGAATCCGCAGTAACAGCTGCCGATTCGTTGCCGACGAACACAGTTCTCGCCAAGGTTTTCACTTTTGTCCCGTTCGCGAACGTGGTTGTCGTCTCGCGAATCTCGACCTGAGTCCCGTTCGCGAACTGCTGGGTAGTGACGACCGTCGCAAATGTCGTGCCATTTCCACCGTGAGGAGTAACCCCACTCTGATTCGGTTGAACCTCAGGGAAACCCGTAGGTGTGTGGTCTACAGTTGTACCGGCAGGCGCATGAGCCGGAGGTAAGGGCGGCGGAGTATAGTAACCCAGATCAGGCGGTTGGCAGGGAATAAGAATGGTGTTTCGCGCGACCGGAACACACCACCCGGCGAGGAGCGGATTGATCAACGCGAGAATAATGGAGAGGAATCCGGCGACCATGAGCTCTGGCAAAATAATAAAAAGAGAGAGGAAAAAACGTGTGTGGAGAGATTGGAGAACTGGTAAGTTGCGAACCTCCCACTCGCTTTCTCTCGCTCGCTCTCTCTCTCCTCTCTCGTTCTCACAAGTAAGTACTCACCAGGAAAACAGGAAAATTGTCACCTTATGTAATGAAACTGTATTTACGCTGAATCACGGTAGTTCTTACCATCTTTGATGCGGTCGACCACGTGCACGAGGGCCTTATTCTTCCTGTGACCAAACCACTGCGCACAAGAAACAATGCGTGATGCGTTACAGGCAGCTTTTTTTCCTTAAATCGGAAAATCTCGAAACAAACAATACATATGAATATACGTATACAAATATTTGCGTTTCGAATATCAGGAGACTTACATGGTGGACAACGTGGATGACTTTCTCGAAGAGCAGTGAAACGATGACAATTAAGGCGGTCACTGTGGCGATGTAGTAGCTCGGCGAGTACACCATGTAGTTATACGCGTCACTCTTCACCGCTTCACCGCCTTCGCCGCCGCCGCCGCCGGAAGCCTCTCCGAGAATGCGCGCGAAGAGCAGGTGACGCTGGTCCGACCCGGCGAAGTCATGAAGACTTCCCGCCATTGCAAACGATGTTTCGAACGGATGTTCGCTGAAAAATGTAATGGACGACGTAACAAATCGGCGAAAGGTGTATTGAACTGACCTCCTGGAGAATGCCTAAGAGACGAGCAAGATATCAGCGCTGAGACTCCCCCGATTTGTGGTGTCGGATCGGATGATAGCTTATAGCTCTTTAGGATGGCTTGCATCCATCTCCTAACATCCTTGGCTCCTAAAGGAAGGGCGAGAGTTGCAGCGCCAATCAAAAGCATCGCGATTCGCGTGCTTGGTGGAAGAATATAATGCACTGGTAACCAGGGCTCTGGATTACAGGATGCTGTTTCCGGCTTAGCCCTTTTTTTTCAAGGGGCGGTTAACCTAACCGCCTTGCCCTGATAAACGTTGAAGGACAGAAGAGCGATCAGCAACTAAAGTGAAGGGCTCGGAGGGAGAAGGGCAAATAATGAAGACATCTAAAACGGCAGAACGTGCCGAATCTTCAGTGACACAGTATGGTTTGTTTGAAAAAAAGGAACCAATACAGCGTTTGTTAAAATCCTTGCGAGTTCAGAGGTGAAAAAAAATCGCCCTGCTAATTTCTGGGAGGAACCCAAGGACAAATTCCCGCAGGGACCTCACAAAACATATCAGAGCCCTGCTGCCATCTGTAATTGCCGGGACTTGCGCTGCGGTACAGCATCAGCATTTTGCGAATTTCGTCGTGTTGCAATAATTCAGTGCCCTATAATGCATCATACTCCCCATGAAACACTTCCTTTCTCTCGTATGTCACAATGTTACTTCAAAACGTTCTTTTATCCTTAATTAGGTTGCAGGGAAGCTTGTACACAAATCAAAATTCTAAACTGCATTATTTTCCATGCAATACCACTCATGCATTAAAATTAATGGTATCGTTTTTTTAGGAATAAAACATACGCATGAAATTCCTTCATCCAACTTCTTCCATCCTACCTACCAACAATCCCTCCCCTTCTTCCTTCCCCCTTCGACAGTGCTGGTTGCTTGATGGGTGGGGTGCAGAGAAATTAATGCAGCAAATTGGTGGTATGTGTACGATAGGTTGACCATGGATGGCCCAGCATTAAACTGATTGCCTAAGTAGGGAAATTTCTGCTGATTATGAAGTGCATGCAGGCTCATTCCTACTATCATAAAATGGCATCCTTCCCCAAGCATGTAAATCTGGCAGCTTAACAGGTGGTGTGAAGCAACACATCTAGTCTAGACACCCCCGATTTGTTTGGGGAAAATGATGAAAACAAACAAAATTTGAAGCCTTCAGGGACAGGTGGGGTGGGTGGGGGGAGCTTTTACTATGCAAAAGGCGGTCTGCGTCCAATGTTTATTACGTGACTTTCGAGTCGACTCAAAAGTTACCTCCTTATTATGTAGAAGGCGGTCTGCGTCCAAGGTTTATTAGCAGCACTCTATGCTCGTACGTCGTCCTTGGATCTGTGCTCCTTTATTTTCTTCATCTGTTCCGTTAGAATGGCCGCTATTCTCCCTTGCCTATGTCCTTCACCGGAGTGGCTGGGTTTGCCTCCCATCTGCGCAACACAAACAGATTGAGAATGTGGGTGGGTGGGTGAGTACACTTGTCAGTGGGTACAGTTATATCAGAATGCAGCAGCGTGCTGAGCTGAGGCTGCATACGTAAGAGCACACTGCCATTCCGAAGGATGACCTTCGAGTCGACCCATTATGAGCTTTGAGTCAACTCAATACGAGTTTTGAGTTGACTCAAACGGCTGCATAAGAGCACACTGCCGTTGCATGAGGATGACCTTGGAGTCGACCCAGTATGAGCTTTGAGTCGACTCAATACAAATTTTGAGTTTACTCAAATGGCAGCATACTGCCGTTGCATGAGGATGAACTTGCCACTTAAGTAAAAGCTGTCGTGTTGACGTCTAATAAGACTGCAAACTCACGTGAGTTAGAAGGGCGTATAGCGGCAGCGTGCTGAGACTGCAGATGAGTATTGTGGCGATGCCGAGTATGAATTTAAGCCATGGCACCCAGGCAGAGTAGGACTTGCACTGTGATTGGTTCAGCGCCAGATACTGGTGTGGGCAGGGGAGGGCAGGGCAGATCAGGAAAACGAAAGGAAGGGAATGGAAGGGGAGTGAGAACTGCAGTTGCGGTGTAAGGGGGACGGACTTGAGCCATGGCACCCACGCAGAATAGGTCTTGCACTGTGATTGGTTCAGCGCCAGATACTGGTGTGGGCAGGGCACGGGAGGGGAGTGAAGGGGGGGGAAGAGGAATGTAGTGGAATGACGCGGAGTGGAGGAGAGTGTTTTTGAGGCGCCTCAAAAACTTTTGAGGATTTTTGAGGCGCCTCAAAAGAAGAGTGTAGTGGAATGACGCGGAGTGGAGGAGAGTGCGAACAGATTTTGCAGGGTAAGAGATTTCTGAATCGCTTGAGAACAGATTTTGCAGGGTAAGAGATTTCTGAATCGCTTGAGAACAGATTTTGCAGGGTAAGAGATTTCTGAATCGCTTGAGAACAGATTTTGCAGGGTAAGAGATTTCTGAATCGCTTGAGAGCCTAGAGATGAACCTGAGAACCATGGCATGGCACTGTACCTTGGAAACGCGCTTGCGCTTTGAGTCGACTCAAACCATGGCACTGCACTGTACCTTGGAAACGCGCTTGCGCTTTTGTTTTAGTCAACTCAAAAGTCAGTCTGAGACGTCTCAAACCATGGCACGGCACTGTACCTTGGAAACGCGCTTGCGTTTTGAGTCGACTCGAAACACGACTGGGGATGAATGTGAGAGCCATGACACTGTAACATAAAAACACACTTGCAGGAAGACGAGGGATGAAAGGTGTTGCAAACACGGCACTCCCACGTTGTTGCTTGTCAGGAACTCCCTACACACACTTTTACCTCGTGGCCGCTGGGGTGCCCTTTGGGTCGACTCAAAATGTCACAACACTCTCCCACAACACTTTTACCTTGCGGCCGTGGGGATGATACTCACATAGTAAACGACGAGGTTGCCAATCATGTAGGAGCTCTGAGAATGGACAAATGTACAGTAAATGGTTCAGAAGGAAGAGACGTGAATAAGAGACAGCTTTTAAAGGGGATAAAGTTCAAGCCAGAGTGTCCACATGCCCACTATAAATGAAAAATAAAATAAAAAGACTATCGTGTATAAATAATGCTAACAGGGAAAATGCTCCCAAGACAAAATGCAAAGCGCAGCAGTTGCAGCAGGTTCCACTGAAACTGCAAACTTAAAAAGGTACTGTAAGCAGCAGGATTATTCCTCAAAATCTTGCTTACCGCAAAAGTTGCTGAAACTCAGTAACTCAAAATAGTTGCTTACAACGAAGAGAGCGAAGTGCAGCAGAGAGAGCATGAAGGAGGGCCGCCTGAACCAGAAGAGCGAGCCTCGGGGCTTTAAGTGGCAGCCCTCGCAGTCCCCAGTCACATGCGCACTCTCTAGAGCCAGCACCGATACTATGTACTCCAGCTTCGTTCCCACAGCCAGGGCGATCTGTATGTACAGTAAACAAACACATTTATATAAATAGATACTTTTATAATACGTGTGGTAAGGTGTGTATGCATATGTTATGTCAAAGCCTATGCATACATGTGAGTGGTTATAATGGAAAGTTAGGGGTTTGTGCATGTAACGAGTTTGTTAACGACTATGTGATCGAACGAGCAAAATTTAAAAGATTATGCTTTTAGCAGGGATGTGCGTACCAGGAAGCCGAGAACAGAAAAGATTAAGGAGATGTCCCACTCTGCAGCAGGAGGAGAGGGTCAGAGTGATGAAGGGGCAGAGGAAGAGGCGAGGAAGGAACAGAGGTTAGAGTGGCGAGATGGTGAGTGGAGATAAAGGAAATGTCCCACTCTGCAGAAGGGGGAAACGGTCAGAGTGATGAGGGGAAAGAAGAGGTGCAAAATAGTGAGACGAACGAACAGAAAGGGAAAAGATGAGGGAGATGTCTCACTCTACAGAAGGGGAAAAGGTCAGAGTGACGAAGGGCGAGACGGGGTGATTAGTTGCTAAGAAAGAGCTTAGGGACATACGTGTATACATATATATAATACGTATAATCAAACAATGGCTGAAAACTGAGTGATATGAGAAAGAAAGTATGGGAGGTCATTGTGAAGTGTTGAAAATAGGGGGGCATGAAAGGGGATGATCAAGCAGTGAAAAAAGGGACTCGCTCAAAGTAATCAATCTGGAGATACAGTAGAGAAGAGAGACTTACTGTAGCTTGTGATGCATATGACAATAATGAGAGTGATCCAAAGCGGTAAGCTGGATAGGCAGTGGGGATATGGGGGAAGAGTCGGGGGTAGAGGTGGGGAAGGAGGGGAGGGGGGAATGGGTGAGTAAGGAACAGGAGCCATTTGTTGGAAACACCTGAATCATTATCTGATTCGTGTCCTCCTTTTGTACCTGAGCAGTTTTATAGCGGAAGTTTTTCCAAGGGACCCGACCTAAGGTTTGTTCAAACCACCTGAGATTTCACCTGAGCACCTGAAGCGAAAATCCTGAAGCCCATCTCCAAGCTCTCGAATACGCATCTGGCAAGAACACCTGAGCATTCACCGGAGGCCGATGATGTGCACAAAGTCCTTCTCTAGGTCAGCAACCACGCACTTATTGAAAACACCTGAGCATTCACCTGAGGCCGACAATGTGCACAAAGTCCTTCTCCAGGGAGCTGACCACGTGGTGGTAGAAATCGAAGTTGCGAGGAAGGTTCTGATTCTGAAAGATGGGGAGGAGGGGAAGATGGGGAGGAAGAAGGTTCTGATTCTGAAAGATGGGGAGGAGAGGGAAGGGAGGAGGGGAAGGGAGTGGGGGAAGGGAGGAGGGGAAGGGAGGAGGGGAAGGGAGTGGGGGAAGGGAGTGGGTGAGCAGTGCTTGATTCTTATTCTGAAGAGATAATGTCACCAAGGGAGACACAGCCTCAGTGAATGATATCGGGCTACACAGGAAAAAGAAAAGATCAGGGAAAACAAGAGTGAACGAACTTACCAGAAAAAAAAAACAAAAAAAGAGTACTTACATGAATGAATGCAAGTCGGAGAGTGTAGTAGTCGGACTGGGTGATGGGGTTGAACAGCTGCTGGAAAAAGCACGACTGTGGGGTTGGACATGGGTGGGTTGGGGGATGAAACGTCTTTTGAGGCGCCTGAAAAGCCGGACTGGGTGAAGGGGGTGAACAGCTGCTGGAAGAAGCATTGCTGTGGGGTTGGACACGGATGGGTTCGGGTGGGTTGGGGTGGGATGCGGTGGGATGCGGTGGAAGGTCTTTGGAGGCGCCTGAAAAGCCGGACTGGGTGATGGGATTGAACAGCTGCTGTAAGAAGCATTGCTGTGGGGTTGGACACGGATGGGTTCGACATGGGTGGGTTGGATATGGGACGTGGGTGGGTGGATGAGAAGGGAAGCTAGAGCACTTGAGAGGAAAGGAAGGGAGTGGAGGTTGAGGGGAGAAAGGGGATGGGAATGCTGAGCGCGTGGGTAGCTGCTTCTTTTCCATGCTCTGCTGACTTTTGAGTCGACTCAAAAGTCAGCTCAGTATAATGTCACATGCGGAGCGCGTGGATAGCTGCTTCTTTTCCACGCTTCCCTAACCAACCCTTCCGTAGAGGCGAGCACCAGAGACAAACCCTTCTCCAACCAACCCCTCCCCCTCGCACCCCTTCCCCTTTTGAGGAGCCTCAAAAGTCGTCTTCTTTTCCACGCTTCCCTAACCAACCCTTCCTTAGGCGAACCCTTCTCCAACCAACCCCTCCCTCCTTCCCCTCCCCCCCCCCCCCCCCCCACTTCACAATCCCCAACCTCAACGCACCACAGTGAGCAGCATCGACTGCCAGACTGTCAGCTGAGTGCTCACCTCTCTCCTCGCCATCGTTGACAGCCGCGTTAGCCGTTTCTTCCCCTGACCCTCTCTCCCTTCCCCCTGACCCCCTTCCCACAAATACTCACCACAGTGAGCACCAGCGACTGCCACGTGGTCAGCTCAGTGCTCGCCTCTCTCCTCGCCATTGTTGACAGCCGCGTCAGCCGTTTCTTCCCCTCACCCCCTCCCCCCTGGCTCCCTTCCCCCTGGCCCCCTCCCTCTCCCTCCTTCCTCTCCTCCTCCTCTCTCTCCTCTTCCTCCTCCTCAGAAATCGTATCCAGGTTATCCCCCTCCTCCTCCTCCTCTCCTATCCACGTGAAATGTTCCGGCTCTTCTTCTATTATCTCATCATCTTCGTCGCTATAGTGAACTTGCAGCTTCGTGCTCCGCCGAGCCGGCTCCCGAGCCTCCTCCCGAGCCTCCTGCTCCCGAGCCTGCGCCTTCCCCTTCGCCTCTGCCCCCTCCTTGACAACTTCCTGGAAGGTTCTCGCCAGCTCGTGATCCTGCTCCACGCTGGGAGGGGGCTGCTCCACGTCATATCCGGCACCTGCTGAGCTGGAACCGGCATCTGCCACGTCAGCTGCCACGCGGCGGCGAAAGCTGGAAAGGGGCCCTGTGCGGCGGAGAATGAAGCTCCGGTCCTGCAGGGCGCGGGTGAGCTGACCTGTTAGTGATGCAGAGGACACAGAGGGGGGGGGATCGTCGGAGAGAGGGAAATGGTATGGGAGTAAGAGTAACACATACTGGCAAGAATCCCTGTGCGACGGAGAATGAAGCTCCGGTCCTGCAGGGCGCGGGTTAGCTGACCTGTGGGTGGTGCAGGGAGGGAAAGGTTATCAAACTAGCTGACTTTTGAGTCAACTTAAAAGTTAGCAGGAAGCATTTATAATCATCAAACTACCTCCTATGCTGCACGAAGAATCCTGAAACGTCAACCCTGACACATACCTGACACCGCACCCCACCCCTCACATCTAGATTTTGAAGCAACACCCCTGACACAATTCTAACACCGCACCTTTCACATTTGAGGATTGAAGCAGCATTCCTGAATGCATACCTGACACTGCGCCCTTTCTTTGCCTCATCTTCTCTTGGCACTTGTTCTCCCACCTGTGCCACGTGGACACCTGCAGGCGGAGTGGATGGAAGGAGTGGGTGGGGGTGGGGGTGGTGTGAGATTAGGCACAGATAGTAAAAGAAAGTTCCCACTCTCCTTTGCCTCATCTTCTCTTGTCACTTGTTCTCCCACCTGTGCCACGTGGACACCTGCGAGAGGAGTGGGTGGAAGGAGGGGGTGGGGGTGGGGGTGGTGAGGGGATGAACCAACAGACAGAAAAGTAAGAACCATCTCCAACAGTAAAGCACGGACGGATATAGGGAAAAGTAGCTGACACGGGCACATGGTGAGAGGAGTATTAGCTGAAAAGGGCACATGGTGAGAGGAGTAACGCTGACACGGGCACATGGTGAGAGGAGTATTAGCTGAAAAGGGCACATGGTGAGAGGAGTAACGCTGACACGGGCACATGGTGAGAGGAGTATTAGCTGAAAAGGGCACATGATGAGAGGAGTATTAGCTGAAAAGGGCACATGGTGAGAGGAGTAACGCTGACATGGGCACAGGGTGAGAGGAGAAACGCTGACATAGGCACAGGGTGAGAGAAGTATATTCTGACACGTTTTGAGGCGCCTCAAAACACGGGCACAGGGTGAGAGGAATATACTTTCGCACGGGCGATTATAATGGTGATGCAGGTGTAGATGATGCGACCACGGGGCTTGACGGAACATATAGGAGCTTTTTAAAGTGTAAACAAGTATGGTGAGGGGAGTTTACCTTGGCACGGGCGATGACAATGGTGATGCAGGTGTAGAGGATGTGGCCGGCAACGAGGAAGAAGATGAAGAGATGCAATTGGTGGATGGCTGCTGGCGACATCAACGGCTCCTCGCCCTGTAACCACATACAGCGTGATTCGATACAGGTTAGAACAAGAAATTCATGCAAGAAAATAAAAATCCACAGGTCAAACAAAAGTTTAAAAAAACACCCAAAAAATAAAGGGGAAAAAAAATAGCAACTAAAGGGTACTACAGGCGTAGGAGGTGGAAAGGGCATGTATTGACACTCACCGCTGGACATTCGTTCGCGAAACTCGCCAGCTTCCTTCGCCCATGGTGAATGAGGCTGCTGCCATGATGCTCCCAACGGTCATCTCCTTCCAATAGATGCCGGCTATGCTGCTCGCGGTCCTTTTGTCGTTCCCAATCCAGGATCAGCCGACGAATCTGATTTTCTATGGCACTGGCTGAAGCTTCACCGTTTTTGTGGGATGTAGTCTCCAAAAGCCCTCTTTCGTCGTGGCTGTCATTGATGTCGTTTGGAAAATCAAAATGCGGAAACAATTCTCCTTCATGTACATGTATTGGTGTGTTTGTACTTTCATCATCTGGCGTTGTCAGGTTAGTGTTGTTCGTAACAGCTCCCGTTTCGTTGCCGACAAACACGGAATTCGCCGTCGTTGTCATCTGCGTCCCGTTAGGAAACGTGATCGTAGTCTCGCGAATCTCGACCCCAGTTCCGTTCGGGAACTGCTCGGTCTTCACGACCGTCGAGAATGTCGTGCCATTTTCGCCAATCGGAGTAACCCCACTATGATTCAGTTGAACCCATGGGAAACCGTTGTCCGTGTATTTGGCAGTTCCACCGGCAGCAGGTACGGGCGACGGTGTAGTATTGTACGAATTGTATGGAGAATAATAGGCCTTGTCAGGCGGCTGGCACGGGATAAGTATAGTGTCCCTCGAAACCGGGACGCACCACTCGGCGAGGAGCGGATTAATCAACGCAAGAACGATGGAGAGGAATCCGGCGACCATAAGCTCTGAGAAATTTTACGAAAGGGGAAGAAAGAGGAAAAACATGAGAAAGTGGTCAGGTGTCAGTTGCGACCCTTCTTGCGATTGTTGTTTCTCTCGCTCGCTTGCTCTTCCTCTCTGAGACGACTTATCAGGGGAGCATTTCCCGTAAGGAGAACAAATGCCAATTAACTTTCATGGAGAGGTACCTCTGGAACATTCAATGACGTCACAGTATTTTCGTTGGAATAAGGTAGTTCTCACCGTCTTTAATGCGGTCGACCACGTGCACGAGGGCCTTATTCTTCCTGTGGCCAAACCACTGCGCACAAGAAAGAATGCGTGACGCATTAGAACCCGTTTTATCCCTTGCAGTGAAAAAGACCGAAGAAGAAAAAAAAATGCGCTATTAATCTTACATGGTGGATGACGTGGATAATCTTCTCGAAGACCAGTGAAACGATGACGATTATGGCGGTCACTGTAGCGATGTAGTAGCTCGGCGAGTACACCATGTAGCTGTACAAATCGCTCTTCTTGGCCTCACCGCCTCCGCCTCCGCCGCCGCCGCCGCCGCCTTCTTCGCCGAGAATGCGCTCGAAAAGGAGATGATGCAGGTCCGACGCGGCGAAGCCATGGGGACTTTCCGCCATTGAGAACGATGCAGATGACCGGTTTCGTTAAAGAATGTAACGGACAGCGAAAACTCGGCGAAGATGACCTGAAAACGGATCTTTTGGAGCAAACCGCGGAGCGCGCTGACTGACGAGTGGCTCGTAGGGATGTAACAGACGAGCAAGGCCTCAGCGCCGCGACAGCGTGGATATATCCGGACCGCTGCGACAACGTGTATTAAATCCGGATCTATGAGTTGCTCTGACTGGCTCCGCTGCAAGAGCTCAATCACGGTTTCGAAGGAGTTAGCGTCGGATAATAGCGTTTTTTGTTGAGCACGTGCTACTCTTCAGGGTGGCTTGTGCTTATGAGTCGAATCGCCATTGTCAGCCTTGGCGGGCCTCTTTGAGCGAGTTGTGGTGGGAGTGTGACGAGCACCGCGATTTGCGTGCGCGCGCTCCATGATGCACTGTCAACTTCGCATGCGGAACATGTCCTGTCATTCTGTCAATAATTGCGTGATTCGGTGTGCTGAGTCAACGCCGTGTGCGGCGGCGCTGCCTAACGAGCAATAATGTCGCGTGCACGACAATTATGGATCATCTTCCTTATTGAAGGTTCCTTGCCCTACCTCAAGTGGTACTTCCGAAAGGTGAAAAAAGGCTTCACAAGTAACTCAAAAAGCAAATGGCACACCTTAGCTATTTCCAAAATGCGTTTTGTTCTCATTTGCTTTTTTTTGCCTTTTCACGGCTTGGGGTTTATAAATAAATCAATGTACCGTAGCATACACTTCATGCAGTGATTAAAAGCATTACAGAAAAGCAAACATTTACCGGCTGCGTCTCTCCCCAATAGCCAATAAAATGACCGCCAACCTCCACCATTGCAGCTTTTATGAACAGCATTCCATAAGTTAGCCTAACAGCATCCTGCAGCTCATCCTCCATACAGTCAGCTCCAATTACTCCGAAATAACGCTGATCGAGAACGGATTCGCATAATCCCCTGCACCACCTGATCCCACCGCAGCCGCAGCAGCAGCAGCAGACACAGAAGCATGGGGGGCCACGAAAGCATCTCCAGCCTCATCCATCAGCAACGCCGACTCCCCATCCCCCACTTTCAGGGACGACTCGAGCAGAGAATTGCCAGCACCAGCACCGGCAGAAACAGAGGCGGCAGCAGCAGCAGCAGAAGGGGTGGGGAGCGGGAGAGCAGACGAGGCGGGGGGAGAGGAACCCTCGGCGTCGAGAAGGGCCTTGGCCTCTGCGAGAACGCGGACCACCTCGGCCATGGGGGGCCGGCTCTTGGGCTGAGTGCGCACGCAGCGGTATGCGAGGTCAGCCACCTTCATGAGGCTCTGCATGTGGCGGTCCACATCGAGAGTAGGCGCCACAATGGGACGAATCTGGCCAGACTTGAGGAATGGCTCCGTCTGAAGGTGGAAGGGGAGGGAAGGGGGTTGGGGGAGGGGGAGTGAAGGGGGGAGTGAGGGGGTAGGGCACGCAGCGGTATGCGAGGTCAGCGACCTTCATGAGGCTCTGCATGTGGCGGTCCATGTCGAGAGTAGGCGCTACGATGGGGCGGATCTGACCTGACTTGAGGAATGGCTCCGTCTGAAGAAGGGGAGAGGGATGGGGCGGAAAACAGGGGCGGTGTTGGGGGGGGGGGGGGGTGGGTGGGGTTGGTGGGAGGGGCACGCAGCAGTAGGCGAGGTCGGCGACCTTCATGAGGCTCTGCATGTGCCGGTCCACGTCGAGACGAGGGGCTAGGATAGGGCAGATCTGGCCGGACTTGGGGACAGAGAGCAGAGGTTCCAGACCAAACCCTTAAGAACTCACCAATCCACCGGGCTAATCAGGCTCTCTCCTGCATTCTGCAGCCCAGAAGAATCATCTTCCTGCCTGCTCACAGACAGGCGGTCTGTCAGCAGCTCCACTTTCGAGGCGCCCCAAAAGTCGGCTCACAGGCAGGCGGCCTGTGAGCAGCTCCAGCAACACCAAACCGCACACAGGCTCAGCCACGCACTCAACACATCCCTCGACTCTGCCACTCACCCATTCAACCAAGTTGATGAGAGATTCCCCTCCGTTCTGCAGCCCGGACGCGTCGTCCTCCTGCCAGATGGGCAGGCGGCCTGTGAGCAGCTCCAGCAGCACGACCTGTGAGCCGCTGCACCACTCGTCCATACCCACCCACCCACGCACTACCAGAGGGAGAGAACTCACCCATTCCACCAGGTTAATCAGAGACTCGCCCCCGTTCTGCAATCCAGAAGCGGCGTCCTCCTGCCAGATGGGCAGGCGGCCTGTCAGCAGCTCCAGCAGCACGACCTCCCGTACAGGCTAATCACCTCCCTAACACACACCTCTGCTCTTCCACTCACCCATTCGACCAGATTGATGAGAGACTCGCCGCCATTCTGCAGGCCTGAGGCGTCGTCCTCCTGCCAGATGGGCAGGCGGCCTGTCAGCAGCTCCAGCAGCACGACTCCGAAGCAGGGAGCAGCCGGGCATGGGGGCGAGTACCTACCTGGCATTAGTTACTCACCCATTCCACCAGGTTGATGAGTGATTCCCCTCCGTTCTGCAGGCCTGAAGCGGCGTCCTCCTGCCAGATGGGCAGGCGGCCTGTGAGCAGCTCCAGCAGCACAACCGCTGAGCCACTGCACCACTCGTCCATACCCACCCACCCACGCACTACCAGAGGGAGAGAACTCACCCATTCCACCAGGTTGATGAGGCTCTCTCCTCCATTCTGCAGCCCGGACGCGTCATCCTCCTGCCAGATGGGAAGGCGGCCTGTGAGCAGCTCCAGCAGAACCACTCCGAAGCTGAAGACGTCGCTCTTGTCTGTCAGGTGCTGCTTCGTGTAGTACATGGGGTCCAGGTAGCCTGATGAAAGGGAGAGAGAGAAGACAGTGAAGAGCGGTGAAGAGAGGTGGAGAGAGGTGCAGGCAGGAGGTAAGAGAGTGGCTCCAGCAGTACGACTCCGAAGCTGAACACGTCGCTCTTGTCTGTCAGGTGCTGCTTCGTGTAGTACATGGGGTCCAGGTAGCCTGATGGGGAGCAGAAGAGAGAAGACAGTGCAGAGCGGTGAAGAGAGGTGGAGAGCGGTGCTGGGATGGCCTGTGAGCAGCTCCAGCAGCACGACCCCGAAGCTGAACACGTCGCTCTTGTCCGTGAGGTGCTGCTTTGTGTAGTACATGGGGTCCAGGTAGCCTGGTGGGTGGGGAGAGAGAAGACAGTGAAGAGCGGTGAAGAGAGGTGGAGAGAGGTGCTGGGTTTGACAAGTGAGGTGCTCTTGTCTGTCAGGTGCTGCTTCGTGTAGTACATGGGGTCCAGGTAGTCTGGTGGGTGGGGGGGGGGGTGTTGGGGAGAGAGAAGAGCGGTGGAGTGCGGTGAAGAGTGGTGAAGAGTGGTGGAAAGAGGTGCAGGGATGGGCAGCAGCTCCAGCAGCATGAGAGTGGTGATGATGAGGTGCTGCTTCGTGTACTACACGGGGTCCAGGTAGCCTCGTGGGGAGGGTGGACGGGGAATGAAAGGAGCGGTGAAGAGCGGTGAAAAGTGGTGCAGAGAGGAGCTGCGATTAGTGTGGCTCTTGTCTGTGAGGTGCTGCTTCGTGTACTACACAGGGTCCAGGTAGCCTGACATATGGAAACATCTGACGCACCTCACAAGTCCAAGGGGCCTGACAATGCGAGAAAACTCACCGAGAGTGCCCTTCACACGCGTGCTGATGTGGCTCTTATCCGTTTTCTCCTCCACGCCCATACCCATCGTGGCAGGGGTTTTCTTGCCCAGCTTGGAGAGGCCGAAATCGGCCACCTTGGCGTTGAAGGAATAGTCGAGCAGAATGTTGGACGTCTTGATGTCACTGCAAGGGGTTGGAATGGGTTGGAAGAGGTGGAATAAGGTTTGTGAGGCACAGGGTTTCAGGGGAGAGAGACGCCTTCTGGCCGAGCTTGGAGAGACCGAAATCGGCGACCTTGGCGTTGAAGGCATAGTCGAGGTGAATGTTGGACGTCTTGATGTCACTGCGAGGGGTTTGAAGGGGTTCAGATGGGTTGGGATGAGTGGGAGAGGGGTGGAGAAAGGTGTGTGAGGCACAGGGCTTGTAGCGAGGGAGGGCGAGGGGAGCCTCATTCTTGCCGAGCTTGGAGAGGCCCTAGATTAGGCACACCGAGGAATGACTGAGGACCAACAGCTCACCGGTGGATGACGGAGGGCGAGGCGCCGTTGTGCAGGTACTCAATGCCCTTGGCGGCGGTGGTGGCGATGCACAGGCATCGCTCCCTGGGGAGTGTTCCGAAGCCTCCTACTGATGCCACCTACTGATGCTACCGATGCTGCCAAGCTGTCTTGAATCTTGGTGCTACTCACCGGTGGATGACGGAGGGCGAAGCCCTGTTGTGCAGGTACTCAAGGCCCTTGGCGGCCGTGGTGGCGATGCGCAGACGACGCTCCCAGGAGACTCTAGTTAAGGCACAGTGAGGAATGACTGAGGACCAACAGCTCACCGGTGTATGACAGAGGGCGAGGCGCCGTTGTGCAGGTACTCAAGGCCCTTGGCGGCAGTGGTGGCGATGCGCAGGCGGCGCTCCCACGAGAGGGACTTCACCCGCACCACGTCTGTGAGGAGAGTGTGCGTGTTGCGGTAGAGGGGAGGGAGAGAAGGGGGCCAAAGAGAAGTCGTTAAAAGTGGGGGAGGGGAGGAGGAGGCAGTGAGGAGCAAGTGGTGGCGATGCGCAGGCGGCGCTCCCATGAGAGAAACTTCACCCTCACCACGTCTGTACATGTTTGGAGGGGGTGTGGGAAGGATGGATGGGGGAGAGAAGGGGGCGAGGATCGTGAAGGAGGAGAAAGGAAGGAGATAGTTGTAACCAGGTGGTAACCAGGTGGTAACCAGGTGGTGGCGATGCGCAGGCAGCGCTCCCAGGAAAGGGACTTCACCCGCACCACGTCTGTGAGCATGAGTTTGGGAAGAATGGGGAAAGACAGAAGTAGAGGATAAGGAAGAGCGATGCAGGTCTTTTCTCCCTCACTGAGTGAGGTTACGTCACGGAATGAAGGCAGAGCGATGAGAGAGAAGCACCAGCAGCACGCACAAACGCACCTCGGAGGTAGTCCTTGAGGGTGCCGTTAGGAGCATACTCATACACCAGAATCAGCTGGTTGGGGTCCTCATCACAATAACCGATCAGGTTCACCAGGTACTTATGATGCAGCCGGCTCAGCAGATGCACTTCAGTCAGTCAAAAACTCAAGAAGAAGCCCCCTGCTGCGACCCCGACCCCTCAGCTCAGATCACAAGCACAGAAAGAGACAGCATCACACCATCACACACACAAACGCACCTCTCAGGTAGTCCTTGAGGGTGCCATTGGGAGCATACTCATACACCAGGATCAGCTGGTTGGGGTCCTCATCACAGTACCCAATCAGGTTCACCAGGTTCTTATGATGCAGCCGGCTCAGCAGCTCCACCTCAGCGAGGGTGCCCCAGGGGTTGAAGAGAAAACAGCACCACACATGTACCTCTGAGGTAGTCCTTGAGTGTCCCATTCGGTGCATACTCATACACCAGAATCAGCTGGTTGGGGTCTTCGTCGCAGTACCCAATCAGGTTCACCAGGTTCTTATGATGCAGCCGGCTCAGCAGCTGCACCTCAGTCAGAAACTCAGACGCCCCCTGCTGCGAGCGACCCCGACCCCTCTACTCAGATCACAAGCACAGAAAGAGACAGCATCACACCATCACACACACAAACGCACCTCTCAGGTAATCCTTGAGGGTGCCGTTAGGAGCATATTCATACACCAGAATCAGCTGGTTGGGGTCCTCATCACAGTACCCAATCAGGTTCTTATGATGCAGCCGGCTCAGCAGCTGCACCTCAGTCAGTCAAACACTCAACTCAAAAGCTCCCTGCTGCGACCCCAACCCCTCTACTTATATCACAAGCGCAGAAATGAGACAGCATCACACCACACACAAACGCACCTCTCAGGTAGTCCTTGAGGGTGCCGTTAGGAGCATATTCGTAGACCAAAATCAGCTGGTTGGGGTCCTCATCACAATAACCGATCAGGTTCACCAAATTCTTATGATGCAGCCGGCTCAGCAGCTGCACTTCAGTCAGAAACTCAGACGCCCCCTGCTGCGACCCTGACCCGAGCCTCTTCACCGCAACCTCAAACCCAGGCACGGCAGGCGCCGAGCCTGCGGCGTCGCTGCCTTCGCCTGCCGAGCCTCCGAGCGTGGCTCGGTAGACCTTGCCGAAGCCGCCCTGCCCGATGAGGTTCCCCGAGGCGAAATCGTCGGTGGCTCGGCGGAGCTCCGCGAGGGAGAAGATTCGAGCTCCAAACAGGCCGGTCTTGGCTGTGGCTTCCGCGTCGAGATTCTTGAACGCCTTGTGCTTGTCGTCTGGTGTTTTGGGTGGAGAAGGGGAGGAGCAGAGCAGGAAATGGGGGTGATAAGGGAGTGCGCAGAGCAAGGACTTGTCGGTGCCTCGGCGGAACTCCGTGAGAAAATACGCGCGCCGAACAGGCCGGTCTTGGCTGTTGCTTCCGCGTCGAGATTCTTGAATGCCTTGTGCTTGTCGTCTGGTGTGATGGGGAGAGGAAGGGAAGGAGGTAGGAGGAAGGGGCCGAGCAGGGGACAGGGGGTAATAAAGGGTCAGGGTGTGAAGCTCCGCGAGGGAGACCGAGCTCCGAAGAGGCCGGTTTTTGCTGTGGCTTCGGCGTCAAGGTTCTTGAACGCCTTGTGCTTGTCGTCTGGTGCGATGGGGAGAGGAAGGGGAGAAGGGATAATCAAGGGTCAGGGTGCGGAGTTTGGAGAGGATGAAGATGCGTGCTCCGAACAGGCCTGTTTTTGCTGTGGCTTCGGCGTCGAGATTCTTGAATGCCTTGTGCTTGTCGTCTGGTGTTTTGGGTGGGGAAGGGGAGGAGCAGAGCAGGAATTTGGGGTAATAGAGTGAGAAGATGCGCACATAACAAAAAAACAAAAAAAGGACTGACCTGCAGAAGAGCCGAATTTGCCCGAGATGAGAGCCAGGATTCCACTGTCGGAGAAAGCACCACCGAAACCCCCATCAGCACCACCAGAACCGCTCTTGGACTTGGCAGAAGCCGTGCCGTCATAGTATCCGGCCTCTGCTGCTGCGGCTGCTGCGGCGATGCGCGCCTGCCTGTTGCGGTAGTGTGTGCGGAGGATGATGACGGTGGCGAGCGAGGCGAGGAGGACGATGCTGATCCCCATGCCCACCGCTATGCCGATGCCTAGCGCCTGTAGGGAGGGGAGGGGAGGGGAGTGGGGGGAGAGGAGAGGAGAGGTAGTGGTGTGCTTAGAGTTGGCTCAAGAGGTGAGGAGGAAGACGATGATGCCCATGCCCACCGCTATGCCGATGCCTAGCGCCTGTAGGGAGGGGAGTGGAGGCAAAATGGCGTGCTTTGAGGACTGGGAAAAGGGAGAGGGACGAGCAGCAGCAACGGGAAAGAAAGGAACAAAGGGACTTACAGCAGAAGACTGGGATGAGGCAGGAGGAGCAGTGGTGTCAGCAGCAGCGAAGGGGGTGGGAGGAGGGAAGGGGGGTAGAGAAATAGAGGGGGAGGACGAGGGGACGGAGAGGGCTTACAGCAGAAGAATCGGATGATGTGGGAGCGGCGGTGGTGTCAGCAGCAGCGAAGGGAGCGGGAGGAGGGAGAGGCTTGGCGGCAGAGAGGAGAGCTGCCTGGTTGGAGAGGTCGGTGGGAATGACCCGGAAGAGCTCAAGTGTGTTTATGAACACGTTGCTGTTAGGGGGGGGGGGGGGGGGGGGGGGGGTTGGGAGTTAATAGAGAGGTATGGGGTGGGAGGGGTACTTGAGTTGGGTGATTATTGGCAGTGCGAGAAAATAGGTGGAAAGGTCTTGCGGCGATATTCGAGGCGCCTCAAAAGAGGTGGCAAGGCCTTAAAGCTCTTACTTGTGAAGGGAGTTGATGGAGGTGTTGAGGAAAATGTTCATGAAGCCCGAAGGACGAGACACAGCTGTTGATGGGGGAGATGGGGAGCGAAAGGGGAGGGGGAATAAGGAATGGGGGAGCATTGAGCTGGTGGACTTGTTGAGCGTGTTTTTTGAGAATTCTCAAATGTAACCCGAAGGACCCGACACAAGCTGGTTTTTGAGAATTCTCAAGAATTCTCAAATGTAGCCCGAAGGACCTTCGGGCTACACAGCTGTTGATGAGGAAGGGGGAAAGAGTGGGCAGGAGAGAGAGGGGAGAGGAGAAGGCGGGGAGCCCGGCCCGAGGAGGGGGAGGGAGGGGGGGTAAAAACAGGAGGTGTTGAGGATTGCAGTGAGAGGAAGATCGTCATGAGAGGGGTAAAAACAGAGTACAGAAGTACGCTAAGGACGCGTGGAGTGCTGCAGAGGGCAATATTCAGCAACATAATGCGTAAGTCTATACTCACAAAAAAAAAAAAAAAACAAAAAAAACGGAAAGAAAAGAAAGAAACAAACGAACCCGGAAAGAAAGGAAAGCACTCACCCTTGAGTGTGACGGTGTAGGGCACACCAACGCCCGCCACTGTGGCCAGGTCAAGCTCCTTGACCATCAGCTCACCGTCCACGTAGATGTCCAGCAGACGCGCGGTCTGTGCAGCACGCGGGCAGGGGAAAGGGGTGGGTTGAAGAGGTAAGCCACTGTGGCAAGGTCGAGCTCCTTCACCATGAGCTCGACATCCACGTAGATGTCCAGCAGACGCGCGGTCTGCATGTGTGGGGGGAGGGGAGAGGGCGAGAGGAATGGGGTAGGGGGGGGGGAAGGGATGAATGGCAAGATCCAGCTCCTTGACCACCAGCTCGCCGTCCAGGTAGATGTCCAGCAGACGCGCGGTCTGCAGGGGCGAAGGAGGACAGGGATGGAGTGAAGGAGGGGAGAGGAAGGGGTGAATGGAAGCTCCTTGACCATCAGGTCGCCGTCCACGTAGAAATCCAGCAGACGCGCGGTCTGTATGTACAAAAGGGGGAAGGGGAGGGGGAGGGGGGAGCGGAGGAGGGAGTGGAGGAGGAAAAGAGGACAAGGGAAGGTCGAGCTTCTTGATCATGAGGTTGCGTCCAGGTAGATGTGCAGCAGACGCGCTGCCTGTATGTACAAAAGGGGGAGTGGGGCGCGTGCAGGGAGCAGGTGGATGGGAAAAGAGGGCAGCGCAAGGTCAATGCTCTTAGAGATGGGTGGTAACAACAAGTGGGAGAAGGGAGAGGGGACAACAAGTGGGGTAACATGAGGGAGAGTAAGGGGAGGGATGCGGGCAGAGCACTCACGTAGTAGTACCAGAGCTCCTCAAATCCCAGGTCAATGCCGTAGGCGGTGTTTGGGTCAACGGGTAGAAAAAGGGACAAAAGGGAGGGCGAGGGGGACGACTGAAGCACTTCCACAGAGGGACCAAGATGGGTGGGGGGGGGAGGGCGAGAGGAACAGAGCACTCACGTAGTAGTACCAGAGCTCCTCAAAGCCAAGGTCGATGCGGTAGGCGGTGTTGGGATCAACAGGGAGAGAGAAGTTGAGGAAGGTGTTGTCGTTGTAGCCCGCATAGGAGGAGTACTCGACTGAGTGCAGGCCCGCCTGTGATTAGGGAGAGAGCAGTCGGGTTGGGGGAAGGGGCAGGCAGAGCAGCAGTGAAACGGGATTGTGAAGTTGAGGAAGGTGTTGTCGTTGTAGCCCGCGTAGCTGGAATACTCGACTGAGTGTAGGCCAGCCTGTAGAGGGATGGGGTTAGAGGAAAGGGGGTGACAGGCAGGGCGTGGACAATGGGAGCACAGGGAGAGAGAAGTTGAGGAAGGTGTTGTCGTTGTAGCCCGCATAGCTGGAATACTCGACTGAGTGCAGTCCCGCCTGTAGAGAAGAGAGGGGAATGGGGACAGCAGAGGGAAGGAGGGGAGTGAGAGGGGAGTGACATGGGAACGGACAACAGTCCACCAGCAGGGAGGGAGAACTTGAGGAAGGTGTTGCCGTTGTAGCCCGCGTAGCTGGAGTACTCAACTGAAAGCAGCCCCGCCTGGGAAGAGAACAGTATTAGCGGAGGAACAACAATGGTCAACAGTATTAGGAAGAAGGTAAGCAGAGCAATGATGTTATTGCCGAGTCCGTGCGAACAGACGTCTGTGCGATGTACGACTGAAGGGTGACTGTAGGTTTTGAGGGTAGAGTTTCTGGGGGTATGTCACGGCAACTGTTTGGGGGAATGAAACTCACAGTGGTGAGGTCGAAGGGGAACATGAAGGGCGGCTTGTCGGCGTTCTGAGCGGTCTGCGGCCACTGCAGCAAGGCCACTGACTCGGTATTGTTGTAGCGCCGTGACCCGGGGTCCTTCCTTCATTCCTCCTGTGGCTAAGCACTGTACCTTGTAAGTCGACTAATGAATAAGGGCGTACCGTGGTGAGGTCGAAGGGGAACATAAAGGGCGGCTTGTCGGCGTTCTGAGCGGTCTGCGGCCACTGCAAGGCCACTGACTCGGTCTTGTTGTAGCGCCGTGACCCGGGGTCCTTGGGCGTGTAGAGGTCGGAGGGCAGCAGGTTCCAGATGCGCTGAGTGAGATCCGTGATGGGGAGGAAGAGCCCACAGCCGAAGCGGTAATCGGTGGCTGGAAGGGGAAAGGGTGACGGGCGGGAACGAACAATTCATGCAAGTGAGTGAGAGGTTAGGAGGTTCCAACTGCGCTGAGTGATGCAAATACCACAGCTATGGGGAGGAAAAGACCACAGCTTTACCGATAGTACATGCTGAAAGAAGGGCAAAAAGGGGGAAAGAAAGTGGTTGCAGGAGGAGACGATTTGTCCGATTATGAACAAATATTGAACTGGCGAATGACATTTTGTCTCATGATGCAAGCAACGTACCCATGATGCGAGATGTGGCAGTGGGGGCTGAGAGGTTGTACATGCCAGCTGTGAGTGGCACCACCTGCAGGGGAGGGGAGAGGAGGGGAGAGGAGGGGAGGGGAGGGCGAGACATACAGGCACGCAGAAGGGGGAAGATGTGAGTAGAGTACAGCAAGCAGGGGGCGAGATGTGGCAGTGGGGGCGGAGAGGTTGTACATGCCGGGTGTCAGAGGCACCACCTGCATTGGGAGAGAGAGGCGCAGGCAGAGAGAGCGAGGCACGGGGGGTTTCTGTGGTAAGCGGAAGAGGCGTGACCGGCATGAGGGTGGGTGGGAGGACTACATGCAATGTTACTATCTCGCCACTATAAGAGAAGAGATCATGGCTCGCCACTATCTCTTCCCGGATGAATGCAATGTCCACGGTGTGAGGTGCTGAGCGGTGCTGTCATGTGGTGTGCGATGCAGAACTCACCGCAATAGCGCTGATCATAGGCTCGCCAATCTCTGCCCTGATAATCGCAATATCCACAGAGCCATCCAACATGGGAGCTGCTGTGCGGTGCTTAGTCATACTGAGGGGCGCTGAGCGATACGGTGAGGTGCTGAGCGGAGTTGAGCGGTTCTGTGCAGTGCAGTACTCACCGCAATAGCGCTGATCATGGGCTCGCCAATCTCCCCCCGGATAAAAGCAATGTCCACAGAACCGTCCAGCACAGGCACGACAAACTCCTCCACTCGCACAGCGCGGTACCCTGAGGTGCTGTGTGATGCTGTGCAGTGGTGTGCAGTGGTGTGCAGTGGTGTGCGGTGGTGTGCGGTGGTGTGCGGTGGTGTGCGGTGCAGAACTCACCGCAATAGCGCTGATCATGGGCTCGCCGATCTCCCCTCGGATGAACGCAATATCCACCGAACCGTCCAGCACAGGCACGACAAACTCCTCCACTCGCACAGTGCCACGTGACACGCTGTAGTTGGTCAGCACGGGCGCGCCTTCAACTGCCACGTGGAAGCGCCGCAGCTTGGCTGACGTGTAGATGATCTCAGCAAAATACAGACGGACGAACACGTTGGTGGGAGGGCCGGGGACCTGCAGAGCAGAGAGGGCCAGGGATTGGGTGGGGCATTTGTATTAGCATTGATCTCAGCGACGGACGAACACGTTGGTGGGAGGGCCAGGGACCTGAGGGGGGGGTCAGAGAGGAGGGAGGTGGCGAGGAGGGGAGGAGGATGAGGATGGCAGGTTGGCAGGATTAAGGCTTCACAGCACTCACCGGCACAGAGTAGGTGGAGACGTTGGGAGCGAGCTCATCCAAGTAGCGAACCGTCTCAAACACCCACGCATCCACCCCACCTTATCATGCATCCCCAGCGCCCAGAGAGTACAGCAACCAGAGCAGTCATACCCCATCCACCAGCCAGCAAGCACTCACCGGAACAGAGTAGGTGGAGACGTTGGGAGCGAGCTCATCCAAGTAGCGAACCGTCTCAAACACCCGCGCATCCACCCCTGGCGGCGTCTTCAGCACCCCAGTCTCGATAAACTCCACCTTCCCATTCAACATCCTGCCAGCCTTCTAACCAGAGCGCTCACCCAGACTGAGAGTCAGCAGATCAAGGCCTCAGCAGCACTCACCGGAACAGAGTAAGTAGAGACGTTGGGAGCGAGGTCATCAAAGTACCGAACCGTCTCAAACACCCGCGCATCCACCCCCGGCGGCGTCTTCAGCACGCCCGTCTCGATAAACTCCACCTTCCCGTTCCCCATCCTGCCCGCCGCAACCGTCCGATTCATGCTCGTCTTGATCACGCCTGCCCGGAAACTCCTCCCGAACCTGCCCGAAAAAGTATCCGCCTCCCAGGTGTAGAGCGGGTTTTTCAGCGACTCGTTGCTCCCGCAGTTTATGTAGGTGCCTTGCATGAAAGAGACGACCGGAGGGGGTGGCGGCGGGGGCGGCGGGGACGGCGGGACGTTCCGCTGAAACGCCGCCTCGCCGGGTTTCAATGGGTTACCGTTTTCGTCCGTTCCCGGATCGACCGGGGGTGAATTAGCAGGGACAGGAGGAGCAGGCGCGGCGGGTGGTGAGCGAACGGCAGGTAAGCCAATGGAAGGAGAGTCAACAGAAGGTGAGTTGACAGGTGAGTTAACACCAGCGGCAGCAGAAGCAGCGAAGAAGGCGGAGGGAGAGAGGGAGAGCAGGAGGAGGAGGAGCAGGGGGGATAGAGGCATGGTGGAGATTAACGTGCGGCGGCACCCAGGAGTCGCCATGACGTTCTAGGTCGTTAAAAGGGGTACAGAGTGGAGCACGTATGCCGTACAGACGGCCGTCAAACCCTCAGGCCTTCTCAACAGAGCACCTGTTTAACGAAAACAGCCGACTAAAACGGCCCTTGTGGTGAGGCTCCGACTAAGAATAGCCCAGCTGCTAGGTGCAATAGCTTCTAAGTGCTTTCCGTGATGCTTTCCGTGACTCCCAAGACCTGCGGCCTCTAACAGTCGTTACTGCGGGTCTCCAGCTGAAAACGACCTCGGCTGCAACGACGACCTGAAATGGCGCGCTGCTGGAGGGATTAAGTACTTTCTTGCTCCGGTCTCAGCGCGATAGCAGGGGACGAGCAGGGCAGAACGAGACCACGCAACCGTTGCACGGTTGCCTGCCCCTATAACCTCTCGCTCTCCTAGTAACCACTGCGTCTCACGCCCTACCAGCAACCTCTGCTCCTCCTAACTTTCTCGTGCCTCGAGTTAGCTGTACATTTTCTTTCCCAGTGCCACTGCAGCAGGTGCTCGAACAGCCTTGCTTTTCCGAGCCGCGAACGTCCATGCAGATCTGTTCGGAAGCAGATGTAACGATTACTATCTAGAGCGTTGACTCGTAGGTGGATAAGAGCAGTATGCACAGAGTGAATGGCAGTAAGAGTTTCGTCTCGCGCGTTCACTAGCGTTACATGTCAGTGAATGCTATGTATGCGAGGATGCCGTACGTGTACTAGCGCATACCGCGGCTCTCAAGGGGATCTGAAACGGCCTTACCGAGGCGCGCTGCGAAGCGTTCGATCAGCAACCCCCAACCGCGGCATCAGAGATTCGCGTGCTTCCGAGTCATCGTAACCAAGATTCACATGAGAAGATGAAACGGCCTTATCGATGTCTGATGAAACCCATGGACCCGGGACCCTTTCGCGTGTATATCGTCAAGTGACGACGCGATCTGGCAGTTCGAGTCCCTGCTGCAATGCTGCTTGCCTGCTTTCTTGTATGTCTGCTAGCCTGCTTGACTCAACTTGAGTCTGTTGCCTCCGTATTGCCGAATGAGTCTGTTTCAGGGACTCTCCGCTGGTCGCGCTTGTCTCTTTCGCAGCTGGAGCTTGATTCGCGACGCAGATTCGCTCTTTACCAATAACCGCGCATTCGCCGCAAGGATTGGCGGAAAGCGCAATCACCACGTTGCATTCTTTGCGCGCGTGTGGTTCCGCCGACGAGCACAGCCCGCGCTACATCGGCTGCGGCGCAAAGACGGTTTGGGAGACGAACCGGCACTAACTTGAAAATACTCAACATCGCACCTAGAAACAAGTCACCGCCTAGGGTTCTCATAAGACTTTCCTCCATGACCGCTGGACTGGAGATATCGAGGGATTCACAAACAACGCTTCTGTGTCTGTTTCGGTTTGACGAAGTAATTATGTTCAAGCTGGTTTGGTGAGGCTGGTTCGGGCAATCGAACGGCTTCAGTAGGTGCGGACTCAAATAACCGTAAAATTCTTGGTTTGGTTGGACAATCGAACGGCATAAGGTAGGCGTTGACTGGGTGTGTAAATTACTGTAATCATGACTTCAGAGCAGCAGGAACCTCCCCCAGAGGCCGTTTCATCTCCTTGAAGGAACGAGCTACTGTACAACATACGAAGGCTGCAAGGGAGCGATGTTCAGGCCGTTTCATCTCCGTTCCAGGACCAAAATTGGATGGAATATGAATCGTCGTGAAGCTGAACAATCTGATCCGTTACAGTCATCTTCAACTAAGACAGCAGGTATTTACAAGTTTCTATAAAATATATCGAGAGTCCAGGAAAGCTCTATGGATACCCTGGTTTCCCCATACACCTAGTATCCATACACTTCTTCACTGCACAGCAGTAATACAGTGAGTACCATAAACATCATATGATGCTTCTTGTGACAAGGTGCTGTCATTACAACAATACTCTCAACACGATTTTCTATAAGTGGAAATAATAAAATAGTGGAAGAATATGATTGGTCATCTATAAAGGGAGGATATGCACAAATGTTCCTAGCCTTCAAACTTATGCTAAGGCCGGCTTCTCAGGCCACCAGTCCAGCCAATAGTACGAGTCAAAACTCGACCCTGACGTCCCCGTTACTGTAGCAGGCCCTGCCACGTCAGCATCATCATCACTGGTCATCGATGTCACTGACCAATCATCTCCCTCCTCCTCCTCCCCCTCACCTGAACCTACTTCCGCCCCTGCAACTCCCCCTTCCTCCCCACCATCAACATAGCTACTACTACCACCACCACCATCACCACTTCCTCCCCCACCTGCTGTTCCTCCTGATGCCGTTCCTCCTTTTGCCCGTCCACCAGAGCTGGTTCCAAGCCAGGTATTCACATCAATAGAGAGGGAGACGTTTGGATTCCAGCGCCTAGCACCAGTCACCTTACAGCTGGCACTGCGCCCAAACCTGCTGTCAGCATCTGGTAACCCCACGCCACCACCGCTGTTACAAATACCACCGCTGTTACGGTTACCTCTGCTGCTGCTGCTGTTGCTGGTGGTGGTGGTGGTGGATTCGCCTCCTCTGCCTCCCCTCTTTATAAGCACGGGGTCCCGGCCCTCGGACCACGGGTGCAGGATCGGGAGCACGCGCATGGTTCGGAGCACGTCCGTTATAGTCACAACGCCTTCAAGCACAGACCCGGAACAGGGCAGACTTGAACTTGTGGGGTGCTTGCCCGTTATAGTCACAACTTTGTCGGGAGGTGATACTAGTGGAGTTTTGGTGATGGTAGCTGTGTTATCGTGAGAAGCGGCCTCGTTAGAAGGTGATTCGTTATTGGGAGGAGGAGGAGGAGGAGGTGGAGGGAGGGGGTGAACTGGAGGAGGTTTGACCACCCAGACTCGGTGCACGTGGCGGGTGACTAGCAGGGAAAGCACATGGCGCAGAGAGGAGGCACTGCAGATGTGAGGGGCAGGGAAGGAAGAGGTGCAAAGAGTTTTGGATGGGTTGACCACCCAGACTCGGTGCATGCGGCGGGTGACTAGCAGGAGAGCACGTGGCGCAGAGAGGAGGCACTGGATAGTAAGGGGCAGGGAAGACGGGAGTAAAGAAGGGTGTGGATGGGTTGAAAGGGTGGACTGGAGGGGGTTTGACCACCCAGACTCGGTGCATGCGGCTGGTGACCAGCAAGGAGAGCAAATGGCGCAGAGAGGAGGCACTGTGTTGGTGTGTAATTGGGACAGGAAAGAGGGAAGAGGGGAGAGGGAAGCGGGGAGAGGGGAGAGGGGACAGGGGCAGGGAGTGAATGAATGAAGCTGGAAAGAGGAGATTGGACCATGCACACTCAATGCACCAGGTGAGAGACTAGCAGGGAGAACACGTAACATGCTCACCTGGTGCATGCCACCACTTCTGAGAATTCTCACAAGTGAGAAGGCTGGACCAACCATAATCAACACACCAGGTGAGAGACCAGCAAAGAGAGCAAGTGACATACGCACCTGGTGCATGTCACCCCTTCTGTCACAGCTGCTTTTGCGTCGACTAAAAGATAGGCTGCTTTTAAGTCGAAATAGACTAGCAGGGAGAGCACGTGACATACGTACCTGGTGCATGTCACCACTTCTGTTACAGCTGCTGGCATCGCTGCTACAGCTCCTGACGTCACCTCCGCAGCTGCTGGCTCTGCTGCTACAGCTGCTGGCTCCACTTCTGCAGCTGCTGGCGCCACAGTCACAGCTGCTGACGTCACTGCTGTAGCTGCTGGCGTCACTTCTTCAGCTGCAGGCGTCACTGCTACAGCTGGTGCTTTCTTCCCCGCGGCTGCATTTCTGGCTGCCATTTCTGGCTGCCATTTCTGGCTGCCATTTCTGGCTGCCATTTGTTTGGCGGAGAGGAAATCAGCTACGGTGGTGGTGGGCGTGAGGGATAGGAGAGAACCAACGTCCACCTGGGAAAACGGGTGCCACAACAAGGAGAGAAGTCAGACATGAGATTTGCCGTTCTGATGATTTTTTAGGCGCTTCCAGATTGAACAAGGAAAGCCAGCTGGCCAAGTGATTCGGCATTCGGACAAGTACCGTAAGAGGAGGCGAGTTAGCCAACCAGAGAGCTAAAGAGAAATGGAGTGGCTTGCATAAGCAGAGAGAAACTGAAAAGGTGAACAAGTGACAGGTCTGACAGAGTGCCTATCAAAACAATGCCACATCCCCCCATGAGGTACTGGCTGTTTAGACGTCACATCCCCCCAGGGGGTTTAGCCATCCAAAGAGTGACGGAGTGGCAAGCGTAAGAGGAGTGACAGAAGAAGTGACGGGTCTGACAACACACACCTGCTTGACGTCTGATGCTGAGAGAGTGCCTATCACCCGCTTCTACAGCTGCTGGCGTCACTGCAGCTGCAGCTGCAGGAGAGGGTTTAGCCTTTAGAGAGCTACAGAGAGATGGAGTGGCTTGTATAAGAAGAGTAACAGAAAAAGTGATGGGTCTGACAACACAGACCTTCTTGACGTCTGATGCTGAGAGAGTGCCTATCAGCACACTGCCACAACCCCACACCCCATGAGGGAGTGAAGATGCTTTGGACGTGTGCACAGGCGCTCATCCAATTGTTGCATCCTTGCATGAATGGCATGACAAACACACACCTGCTTGACGTCTGATGCTGAGAGAGTTCCTATCAGCACACTGCCGCATCCCCCCATAGGCCACTGAGGAAGCACAGCAGAAGCTTCCTGTGTGTTCTTACTTCCCCCCTCCTCGTCCTTTTGGTCCCCACCCCCTTCCTCCACCATGACTGCTGGCGGAGCTGGCTTAGGCTGCACCACTGCTACTGCGCTTATCTGCAGGTGTTGGGACGGGTGGAAGGGTGAAGTGGGTGGTGGTGGGCGGTGGGTGGTGGGTGAAAGGATTTGAACGGAAGGACTACGGGAATTTCACCGTTCCCCCTTTCCCCTTCCTCCACTTTGACTGCTGGTGGAGCTGGATTAGGCTGCACCACTGCTACTGCGCAAATCTGCAGGTGTTGGGAGGGGTGGGGATGGGTGGGTGGGTGGCAGGTGGACGACCAAAGGCTGCAGCACTGGCACTGCTCCCCGCCCCCATTTCCTCCACCATGACTGCTACTGGAGCTGGCTTAGGCTGTACCACTGCCACTGCGCTTATCTGTAAGGGTTTGGAGGGGTGGGGATGGGTGGGTGGGATGAATGGTGGGTGGGATGAAGGGTGGGTGTCTTGCAGCCTCCCTTATCACAAGCACTCACTCACCCCTCGTATTCGGAACATGTTGAAGACACAGACACAGACAGATAACCAACAACTAACACCTGAAATGGTCATCTCTTGCTTACAGCCTCTTTGGAACCTCCCCTATCGCATGAGATGCACTCACCCCTCTTATTCGGAACTTGTTGAAGGCATCGAGAAGAGGAGTAGATGGCGTTACAGAGACGACTGATGGCCAGACCAGGCCGATGTCATCGATGCTGCAATGCAGGGATGAATGGGGAAGAAGGGAATGAGGGAGAGAAAAGAAAGAAGACTTGACGAAGGCATCGAGAAGAGGAGTGGAAGGAGTCACAGAGACGACTGACGGCCAGACCAGGCCAATGTCGTCTATGCTGCAACGCAGGGATGAGATGGGAGAAAACGAGTGACATGAGGAGGGAAAACAGGAAGGCAAGATGATGTGGCCCATACAGGTCTCGAACCTGTGACCTTCGCGTTATTAGCACGACGCTCTAACCAGCTGAGCTAATAGGCCCGTTTTCTCAGGGAACAGCATCAATAATGTTAGTTTTAAAAGTAGAATCATCCCTCCTAGGTGGTTGCCGTAACCATGGGCACGGGGCAACCTAGGTAGTCCTAGCGAGTGCCGAACCCAGCAGCCCCTCGTGCTTGATCATGAACGCAGCAATGTCCATCTGAGACAGAACTAGATGCTTCCTCCCCACTCCCCTCCTCCCAACAGCACCTGACCACTGTCAACCCATGGGCATGAATGGGAATTCCCTCAACGCACCTCTTAGCCAGTGCCAGCCCCAGCAGCCCTTCGTGTTTGAGCACGAACGCAGCAATGCCCATCTGAAAGTACCTCTTAGCCAGTGCCAGCCCCAGCAGCCCCTCGTGTTTGAGGGAGGGCATGGGCGACGTTCTTCACACCTCTTAGCTAGTGCCAAGTCCAGCAGTCCCTCTGTTTGAGCATGAACGCAGCAATCTCCATCTGAGACAGAACACGGTACTCCTCGCCCGCTGTCTCCCCCCCCCCCCCGCATCCCCCCACTCCCAACTGCCCCTCACAACAGTCACCCTTGGGGTTGGTGCATCCGACTTACCTCTTAGCCAGTGCCAGGCCTAAAAGCCCCTCGTGTTTGAGCATGAACGCAGCAATGTCCATCTGAAAGTACCTCTTAGCCAGTGCCAGGCCCAGCAGCCCCTCGTGCTTGAGGGTAGCACAAGGCATGGGAATGGGGGTACCTTGAGCGTACCTCTTAGCCAGTGCTAGGCCTAGAAGGCCCTCGTGTTTGAGCATGAACGCAGCAATGTCCATCTGAGACAGCACTCGGTATTCCTCGCCTGCCGTCCCCCCTTCCCCCCCTCCCAGCCTCGACTGCAGCAGCGCAGGCATGGGCATGGCGGTGCTCTGATCATGGTCTTGTGGGCACACGTTGGGAACGAGGGCTCGATGGAAGCCCCTCGAGCCAAGCATCTCCATGGCTTGGTGTACCCTGAGAGAGGGGGCGGAGGGTGGAAGCGGTAGAAGAGGTGCTTTGATCGTGGCCTTGAGAGCACACATTGGGAACGAGGGCTCGGTGGAAGCCTCTGGAACCAAGCAGCTCCATGGCTTGGAGTACCCTGGGAGGACAGAGAGAGAGAGAGAGGAAGGGGAGGAGGAGGTGTGTGTGTTATGGGTACATTGCAGCGCAGGCATGGGCGGTGGTTTTTATCGTGGTCTTGAGAGCACACGTTGGGAACGAGGGCCCGGTGGAAGCCCCTCGAGCCCAGCATCTCCATGGCTTGGAGCACCCTGAGAGGAGAGTGTGAGAGGGAGGAAGGGGAAGCAGAGGTGTGTGTGTTATGGGTACATTGCAGCGCAGGCATGGGCATGGCGGTGGTTTGATCGTGGTCTTGAGGACACACATTGGGAACGAGCTATCGGTGGAAGCCCCTCGAGCCCAGCAGCTCCATGGCTTGGAGTACCCTGAAAAAGAGAGATGTGGAAGGGGAAGAGGAGGAGTGCGGGGGATGCATTGATGTGCGGTAATTTGATGGTGGTCTGATCGTGGTTCTGAGGGCATACGTTGGGAACGAGGGCTCGGTGGAAGCCTCCGGAGCCGAGCAGCTCCATGGCTTGGAGTACCCTGGGAGAGAGAGGAAGGGGAAGGGGAAGAGGAAGTGTGTGAGGTACACAGCGGTGCAGTGGTTTGATGGTGCTGTGGCCATGGTCTTGAGGGCACACGTTGGGAACGAGGGCTCAATGGAAGCCCCTAGAGCCAAGCAGCTCCATAGCTTGGAGTACCCTGCGAGGAAGGGGAAAGGAAAGAGGGAGTGTGTGAGGTACACAGCGGTGCAGCGGTTTGATGGCGGTCTAGTCGTGGTCTTGAGGGCACACGTTGGGAACGAGCGCTCGGTGGAAGCCTCTGGAACCGAGCAGCTCCATGGCTTGGAGTACCCTGGAGAAAGAGGAAGGGGAAAGGGAAGTGGAAATGTGTGATGTGAGGTACACTGCGGTGCAGCGGTTTGATGGTGGTTCGGTTGTGGTCTTGAGGGCACACGTTGGGAACGAGGGCTCGGTGGAAGCCTCTGGAACCGAGCAGCTCCATGGCTTGGAGTACCCTGAGGGGACAGAGAGAGAGAGGAAGGTGAAGGGGAGGTGTGTGTTATGGGCATGGCGGTGGTTTTATCGTGGTCGCACGGGCACACGTTGGGAACGAGCGCTCGGTGGAAGCCCCTCGAGCCGAGCAGCTCCATGGCTTGGAGTACCCTGGGAGAGAGGAAGGGGAGAGGGAAGACAGAGGGAAGAGACGGTGTGGTGGCAGCAGTGCAGGCATGGGCATGACAGTGGTTCGATCGTGGTCTTGACAGCACACGTTGGGAACGAGCGCTCGGTGGAAGCCCCTCGATCCGAGCAGCTCCATGGCTTGGAGCACGCTGAGAGAGGGGAACGGAAAAGGGAGGTGTGTGAGGTATGAATTTGTTGTCTGTTTAAACACCCCCCCCACCCTCCCCCCCCTCACTCGCGTGGCATGCGGGTCAAGAACCAGCATGGTGCAAGTATCTCCCGTCTTCCCCAGTCATATAACTTCATTATACGTCTTACAACAATTCAATCCCCCTCTCCCTCCCTCACTCACGTGGCATGCGGGTCCAGCACGAGCATGGTGCGAGTCTCTTCCGTCTTGCCCATCACATCCGCCACTCTCTCTCTCTCTCTCACCCCCCCTCCCTCACCCTCCACCACTCAAGCCTTCACTCACGTGGCATGCGGGTCCAGCACCAGCATGGTGCGGGTCTCTTCCGTCTTCCCCATCACATCCGCCACGCGAGCCTCTTTCAGCACAGGTTGCTTCTATGTCCTCCTAAACCCCTCTTCCTTCTCTCTCTCTCTCCCCCTCCGTCCCCCCCTCCCTCACTCACGTGGCATGCGGGTCCAGCACCAGCATGGTGCGGGTCTCTTCCGTCTTCCCCATCACATCAGCCACTCGGGCCTCTTTCAACCACTCCAGCTGCCCAATCCCGCCGCTCCCTCCCCTTTTCTCGCTCATTCCTCCTCCGCCGCCCTTTACTCCACCTCCCTTTTCAGTTCCTCCCCCTTCACCCCCTCCTCTCCCCTCACTCCCTTTTCTCCCTTCACCCCCTCCTTCCCCTTCTCCCGCTCCTTCCCCCTCACCCTCTCCTTCCCCTTCCGTTTCTTCCCCGCTCTGCTGCTCCTGAATCGACTCGAGGGCGTTACTCCTGCCATAGCTGGTACTGGCACTGCTGGTGGTGGTGCTGGTGGTGCTGCTGCAGCGTCTAGCGATGAAAATGGTGATGTCGATAACTGATATCTGCCATGGGATGGCGGTGAGTAAGATATGGATGAGCATCCAGGTCATCAGCGACTTTTGAGTCGACTCAAAAGTCATCTGCCATGGGATGGCGGTGAGTAAGATATGGATGAGCATCCAGGTCATCAGCGACTTTTGAGTCGACTCAAAAGTCATCTGCCATGGGATGGCGGTGAGTAAGATATGGATGAGCATCCAGGTCATCAGCGACTTTTGAGTCGACTCAAAAGTCATCTGCCATGGGATGGCGGTGAGTAAGATATGGATGAGCATCCAGGTCATCAGCGACTTTTGAGTCGACTCAAAAGTCATCTGCCATGGGATGGCGGTGAGTAAGATATGGATGAGCATCCAGGTCATCAGCGACTTTTGAGTCGACTCAAAAGTCATCTGCCATGGGATGGCGGTGAGTAAGATATGGATGAGCATCCAGGTCATCAGCGACTTTTGAGTCGACTCAAAAGTCATCTGCCATGGGATGGCGGTGAGTAAGATATGGATGAGCATCCAGGTCATCAGCGACTTTTGAGTCGACTCAAAAGTCATCTGCCATGGGATGGCGGTGAGTAAGATATGGATGAGCATCCAGGTCATCAGCCCCCCTATTGAGTGTATCACTTTTTTCTCTTCAAGAATTTCGCAACAATGAACCCAATCCGAGCCGCAAATGGACATCCACTAAACCAGTTTCCATTTTGTGTTTACTCTTTTTGTTCTCTCTCCCTAGCTAGCTTGTCATGACTCTAGCATAAGCCGCGGATGGACATCATCGTGTGGTGCTCTGTTCCACCACGTCGTTTATTCGCCGCAAACTCACCATTCCAGTGAAGCAGACTTTTGAAATTTCTCAAAAGCGATGGACATCATCGTGTGGTGGTCTGTTCCACGTTCTTCACTATCCTCCGGGAACTCACCATTCCAGTGAAACAGACTCTCGAAGGAGCAATAATTGACCGCGGGTAGTTCTGCGTGCGCCGCGTAGAGGCGGAAATCGCCGACATCTGCGCGAGCAGGCGCCTCTGCGCGACTTGCGCCAATGACGGCGCAGAGCGAACGGGCATGGCGGTGATGTCGTGGCGGCGGAGAAGGTCCAACGCGGTATAGAGTGACGCGTTAGCGTCTACGGAAACGAGACATTTTTTCCCTGCGACAATGTCCTGAACGCATGTCGAGCGCAGCACCGTCGCCATCGTTCGCTAAATTACGGAGATATTGCTGGGCAAGTTGGAATTACCTAAATTACTTGGCTCACCTGAACATTTAACCTTAAACAAGCTGAGAATTTCATAGTGCGATGGGAAGGGCGTTGCTGCTTTTGCTTAGGGCTTACATACATACGCGCGACACGTGCTTGATGAAGTTGCGTGAATCAAGAAGCGTGTGGATTGATATTGCAGAACAAGGCTCTTCAATTTCAACTTGAATCATGAAATCATTGAGGGCGTGTTTACACGGACCTTTCCAGGCAGGAGGACCGCCGTTATAGGTGCTTAAGGTCTCAGTCAATAACGTCAACGTGACAACGAGTAACTATCTGACAAAACTTGTTCCCTCGACTGTCATCATTTGCACCTACCGGAACAGGGATACGTCCCAGAACATGAAGGGGACTCTCGAACCTCTCGGGGTCCAGGTCACCAAGACAGGGCATGTGAATCAGGTGAGGTGTCGGAGAAAATGACGCAGCATCCTCGTCGATGACGTGATTCTGACTTCTTCCAGGTTGGCATTAGCACACAACTAAGCGCTACTATAAGAGCTGACTCAGAACTAATTAGGAGCTACAACATATGTCGCGAACATAGGCTGCTTGTTTTTTAGAAAGGCAGTATATGATGCATAACATCCGAGGTCGTAACTTCTGGTGTATATATAATGGACATCCCATCGAATAGACTTTGCCACAAGCGGAGCTCGACCCAGGGGACAAAGGGAGGTTCGAGACACGTCGCTTTGTGACTTTTCCTCACCACGATCCCGATATTCCCCAACATCGCCACGCCGACCAGAGAGACCAATGAGGCTCGTGGTGGCCAGGCTGGAAAGCGACGTCATCAAAAGCGCTTGAAAGCAAAGGTCAGCCATTGGTGGCCACCAAGGGCCGCCAATAACACGAAAGCAGAGGCTGACAACGTTGTCGTTGGGAGTGTTGCTTGCACCTACTTTATTTGCACAATAAAGGAACCGGGTTTGGAAAACGGCTCAGAAAGGTGCAATAATAATACGCAAAGCTGCAGTACGGTTTCGGGTCAGGGGCTGGCTCACAAGCCTTGATAACACCATGGGCCACGCTTCCTGCAAGATGTTGCTGAACAAGTTCTGTTCCAAAAACTTGTGTTGACCTTACAAGTCCTCAGGATTCCTTCAGGCTCTTAGCACACTCGCCTCGAGCTCCTGGCTCAAGGCTGATTCCATTGTTACTTCCATAGTATTCCTTGGCTGCGGTGTATCATTTCCCACTATCAGCATGTCGACCGCTTCGTCTGCGAATGTGCGAATTAGTATTGCATGTCAAGGCACTAGCTTGCAATGCACCAGCAGGCAGTCGCAACGTAAATCATCAGCCGAAGTGAGATCCTTAGCGCTACGTTCCAGACCCACCACCTCTTTTAGATTGACATGCATTAGTCAAGCCAACTCATCCCCATCCTCAACTTCATCTCCAGACTTCAAAGCGCGTAAGGGTCTATTCTCGAAAACACCCGCTCGAGACGGTGTACAAGCCGAAGCTTCCGCTTCGACCATTGCTCCTGTCGAGACTCCATCCGCCATAAGCACGTCCTCGATACCCACAGCGATAGAGAATTATCCCTTGAGCCCGAATCCTCTTCCTGACACTCAGCCTGCTCGAGCCGTGGTATCCCTAGAACGGGGAATCAACAAGCTGATAACCGACGCCGCGTTTCACGTCCTGAACACCTTCTACGGGACGACGGAGCGCGCGTACGCTCGGTTCTACGTCCTCGAAACGATCGCGCGCGTTCCGTACTTCTCGTACGTTTCCATCCTGCATCTGTACGAGAGCTTCGGCTGGTGGCGGCGGATCGAGTTCCTTAAAGCCCACTTCGACGAGAGCGTGAACGAGACGCATCACCTCATGATCATGGAGGCTCTCGGCGGCGATCGGAGCTGGCTGGATCGGTTCGTTGCACAGCACATCGCCGTGGGTTACTACTTTTTCGCGATTTTCTGTTACCTGATCAGTCCTCGTATGGCGTATCATCTCTCGGAGCTGGTGGAGGAGCATGCGTACGAGACGTACGATAAATTCCTCATGAGCCAGGGCGACATTCTCAAGACGCAGCCTGCTCCTGAGGTAGTACACTCCATCCTCGTTATGATCAATCCAGCTGTCATTGTGCAGCTCCTGTTTCTGGTGTATACCTCGTGCCATATCACCCTCAACACTATTGCATTTTTCTAACGCACCACTCTACTGTGGTTAGCTCCGTTTATTGCACGCTTCTGCCTCCAGCTTTTTTCCCTCCTGACCTGATTTCCATTTTTTTTCTCTCTCTCTATCGCTCCCTCCCTTTCGACAATTTCTACTGTTCCCTCTTGCGCAGATAGCGGTGAGGTACTATAACGGGGGTAACCTGTACCGCTTCGACGGGTTCCAGATGCAGGCGGATACGGAGCGGCCATCCCCGCGCGTGGAGAGTCTGTACGACGTGTTTGTGAACATCCGCGACGACGAGGCGGAGCACTGCAAGACCATGCGCGCCTGCCAGGCCGCGCAGACGGGCAGAGGTGAGCTTGGCTTGCAACAGGGGGAGGCGGGTTTGCAGCAGGGAGAGGTGAGCATGAAACTGCGCCAGTCTGGAATAGGGAACCGGGAACTTGCTACACTGAGGTGTGAGCATGCCATTGGGGAAAGGGGAGGTTGCAGAGGGCACATGACACGGAGCGGCCATCCCCTCGCGTGGAGAGTCTGTACGACGTGTTTGTGAATATTCGGGATGACGAGGCGGAGCACTGCAAGACCATGCGCGCCTGCCAGGCCGCGCAGACGGGCAAAGGTCCGTGAGCTTGTAGCTTGTAGCAGGGGAAGGTGGGCTTGCAACAGGAAGGGTGAGCTTGAAACTGGGCCTGTCTGGACTAGGGTAACGTGAGCTTGCGATACTGAAAGGTGCGCATGCCACCAGGAAATGGGGAAGTCACAGGGAGCGCATGCATGGCATGGAGCGGCCGCGGGTGGATGCCCATGGATAGGCTTTAACCTTGTTGGTGGAATCTTTTCTTCAACTTATCACCATGGGTTTCTGTACCGGTATGCCTGTGGTGTGGTGGTTGCCTGCAGGGCTGCATGATGTGGGGTGCTCGGGCGTGGTAGAGTGTGCCGTGAGCTCGACATCTGCTGCTGACAGGATGCCCATGGATTTGCTTAAACCTTTAACCGAGTCTGGGCTTTAAGTCATCACCATGGGTCTCTGTGTGTCTCTGTCTGTCTGTGTGTGATGTGGTGGTTGCTTGCAGGGTTACACAATGTGGGGTGCTCGGGTGTGGTGGAGTGTGCTGTGAACTCAACCTCTGCGGCTGACAGGATGCCCACAGATTGTCCCTGGGCTTTTAAGGCATCACCTTGTGTCTCCCTGTGTGATGTGGTTGCGTGCAGGGCTGCATGATGTGGGATGCTCGGGTGTGGTGGAGTGTGCTGTGAACTCAACTTCTGCTGCTGACAGGATGCCAACGGATTGACATCCTTGTACCGGTAGTTGATGTAATAGGAATCCCCACTGCACGTATCTCAGACTGTCAATAAAATCTGGTGGTGCTGCATTTGAATCTCATATCGAATTGTATCAGAACGCTTACAATAAATGGCCTTGAGGGCCAGAGTATGCAGCCTCAGAATCTGTTACCAGTATAGTGCTTTACATTTTGAGAATCTGTCACCAGGACCCCAGTCTCTGTCTAACAGTTTAGAATAATTCAGGGTTGGGAGCAATTTTATTCAGAGCCTAGTTCTTTTTCTTCTGCTTAGTAAAGCAGTGTATTGTACAGCATTTCTAGCCACGCATCTGTTACTCCAGCCTCACACCAGTGCAGACAATCTTGCTTTCCAGTGGCACCCCCTGCCCAATCAGTAAATACGGGGTATTGGAAATAAAAATAAAAGAGAAGTTTAGATCAAGCAGTCACACAAGCAAGTTGTAATGAACACATATCTGGAGCATAGCATAAACGGCAACACACAAATCACAGTACAGTGATGCACCTGGTACAGTCCACTTCGATAAATGCCCATCTGGTCGCCAGAAGCTCATTGGTAACACGTCCACGTATCGCAGCGGTGACCCTTTCAGCACCTGCAGCTGCACCTTGCGCATCCCAAACGACCGGTCGTCCATCCTCCTCACTTCAATCGTCTGTGGGATCGGGGACACAGGATGAGTATGTATGGAGTTGAATGGGGAAGTAATAGAAGACATCACCTTAAAAGAACTCACGAGTCCATAAACATGAATCCTGTAAGAAACCTCTTGCCTGATTCCAATCAGTATGCCTTTCAATGCCTCATCTACCCATTTTCATCCACAGCTCCGGCACGATATAGTTGCTTATACCACCTTTGACGCACCTCAAAACTAATTTCTGGTATAGTTGCTTATTCCTGAAGCAACTGCTCACCTGGTTCCGGTCAAGGTGCCTGTCAATGTCACATTTCCCCTGTTTCATTCCCAGAACAATATAGTGCGAAGGAGACACACCCATCACCCCCTTTTAAGTCACCTTTAAGGTCATTTTCTGAAGCAACTGCTCACCTGGTTCCAGTCAAGATGCCTGTCAATGTCACATTTCCCCTTCTTCATCCCCGGCAAGATATAATGCGAAGGAGACACACCCATCACCACCGCCTTTCATCTGTCGAGCAACCTACGAGCATATACGTGTGATGTGATCTCGGTAAACAACCTCTCACCTGGTTCCAGTCAAGATGCCTGTTAATGTCGCATTTCCCCTTTTTCATCCCCGGTACGATGTAGTGCGAAGGAGACACACCCATCACCACTGCCTTTCCCTTAAAGCCCGACCGCACCACATGGTCCCTCAGCGTCGCCAGCCCGATCGCATAGGCAGCGTTTCGGGAGATTTTCTGCTGCTTGCCGCCCAGAAACCACTGGTTGTCCTCCGCATACCACCAGTTGGTTGCTTGGAAAATAACTATGTCGGCTTTAGGAAGCAGGTCTTTAATCTTCGGGTCGATTTGGTCTAGGAAGACCCGCCGTGCTTGCTGCTGCGCCTGCGTTGAGACTCTTCCTGGAATCTTCCCGGAACCCCCTCCTCCCGCTGCTCTTACTGCTGCTGCTGAGTATTCTCCTGCTTCTCCTGATGATGCTGCTGCTGCTGCTGCTGCTGCTCTTGAGACTGGTGACGATGCTGATTCAGCAGCATCAGCAGCAGCCATTGTGGTGGCTCGTGCAATGTCTGCCTCGGTCGCCACTGCTCTAGCTGCTTCTGATTTCGCCACTGCCCTAGCTGCCTCTGATTTCGCCTCCTCCCTTTCAGTAGCAGAAGCGGCAGTAGCATAAGATGCAGCATTGGCACCACCATTAGCACCAGCACCAGCGCCAGAAGCAGCACCAACAGCAGCAGGAGGCTGGGATGCATCGGGGATGAACCCGATGTCGTTGAGGTGCGAGGAGAACAGAGAGACTATGCGGATGTTCTGAGGTTCCACCTGAACATGCGAGGTGAAATGAGAGGGGTGAGACAAGGGAGAGGGATCAATCAAGGGGGGTTGGGATGCATCGGGGATGAACCCAATGTCGTTGAGGTGCGATGAGAAGAGCGACACTATGGGGATGTTCTGCGGTTCCACCTGAACACGAGAGGGCATAAGAAGGAAGAGAGATGGGTGAGATGTGGATGATAAGAGAGGGAAGTTGATTATAAGGGAAGGAGGTTGATTATAAGGGGAGGAGGTTGGGATGCATCGGGGATGAATCCGATGTTGTTGAGGTGAGAGGAGAAGAGCAACACTATGCGGATGTTCTGAGGCTCAACCTGTGGATGAGAGGCGCATTGGGGAGGGGAGAGAAATAGGGAAGAGGGATGGGGAGTGATAAGGGAAGTGAGATGGAGAATACAGCAGCAGGAGGAGGCTGGGGTGCATCAGGGATGAACCCAATGTTGTTGAGGTGCGAGGAGAAGAGCGATACTATGCGGATGTTCTGAGGCTCAACCTGAACATGCGAGGGCATGGGGAGGGGGATGGAGCGAGATGGGGAAGAGGGATGAAGAGTGAGAGAGATGGGGGAGAGAGATGATGGGGGGGGAGGGGAGGAGGGTTGGAGAAGAGACAAGGGAGGGAGGTTGAGATGCGTTGGGGAGATAAATATCACTCTTATTGCTTTCTGGCGCTCACCTTCTCGCCCCATACTCTCGTCTCCCCTCCCGCCAGCTTGAATCGACGTGGAGAGGTTCTTGGAGACTCAGCAGGGGGTTGGGAAAAGGAGGTGCCCTCTCTACCCACCTTTGAGGCTCAGGAGGGGGAGGGGAAGGGGAAGGGGAAGGTGCTTACCCCTAACCTTGTACTGATCTGACTGTCGCTCACCTTTTCCCCCCACACGCGTGTGGTCCCTCCTGCGAGCTTGACTCGAGAGAAGTTTGGGCTGGCGGCGTGCAGCATGCAGCGCAGCGACGTGGAGAGGTCCTTAGAGACGCTGTCGCCAAAGACCACGACTGTCTTGTTGCGGAACAAGTTCAGTAGCCTTTGCGGCGTTAATTGCACCACCTTGCACCCCCACGGCTGGTGTGGGAGAGGGGAGGGAAGGCAATGGGGACTTGGGAATGGTGTGAGCATGCAGCGCAGCGACGTGGGGAGGTCCTTTGAGACGCTGTCGCCGAACACGACGACCGTCTCGTTGCGGAAGAGGTTGAGCAGACGCTGGGGGGTCAACTGCACCACTTTACAGCCCCACGGCTGTTAGGGGAGGCAGGCTAGGGAGGTAATGGGATGAAGGGATTGTGAGAGACACGTGGAGAGGTCTTTAGAGACGCTGTCACCGAACACAACAACCGTCTTGTTGCGGAAGAAAATTGAGGAGTCACCTTGCATCCCCACGGCTGTTGTTGGGAAGGGGAGAGGGGGGATGGTGAAGCGGGGAGTGAAGGGACGCGAGGCATGGGGAATGAGTTCTGATGACGAGTATGTGTGGCAATAACGCGTATCAGTGTTATTAACGCGTATGACCTACCCGCCAGCGCAGCTTCTGATAGCTCATATCGGAGCGCCCATCGCTCTGGCAGTTGTGGCCGGAGCGGATGTAGGGACACGTCAGCCCGGTGTAGAGAGGAAGGTTCGGGGCAGGTGCCCAGCTGCCCGAGGAAATATCGCAAGTCCACGGTTTGGGGGGGTCTGGATCGGTCACGTCTGGTGGTGGGTTTGGGATTGTGGGTTGTGGGGGGGAGTCGAATTGTGGGCGGGGGGTGAGAGAATGGGGGGAGCGGGGGCGGGGAGGGGGGGGGAGGGGGAGGAAGGAGGGACATCACTAGCTTCTCCTACTTGGAGAGCTCGGATCGAAGGGTGAATAAAACGCGCCTGGGACCTTTTACCGAGAAAATACTGTGGAAAGTGCTTACTGGGGAAGGGGATGGGTGTGAGCTTCTTTTTGAAGCTGCTGTACGCCAAGGCGACGGGCGGACTTCTCTCGGCGATGGCGAAAAACAGCAGCCCGGTGAGCGATACGGTTATCAGATTTCGCCAATCTGCCGTCATCTTCGTTTCAAATTACGCCGTCTTTTAACGAAAGCACCGCTCGATATTACTGCCGGTAAGAAGGCTTTTAATATAAAAAGTGACCTGACAACCGCAGACGTCTTAAACTACCGAAGGCGATACTGAAAAATACTGAAGGGAAAGCTGACCCGAGTATTCTGAAACCTGAGCGAGTGGATCAAGCATACATACAGACGGAGCGAGAGCATCTAAGTCTGATAGTCAATGCGGGTACCCTGATATCGTACTCCGTGCGCCGCTTCAGAGAAGCCGTGTGTACTATGCAAGCACCGACCAGAAGTGCTAGTTGGGTTGGGAAAGAAGGAGATGGAGCGAGTCCATGCAAATCACAGCCTGGGTGAGGCTGTGTCGCTGGAATGAGGAGTGCCAGTTTCGCCGACCACCATGACCCATGGTCAAGAATTGCATTCGTACGATATGAGACGAGCTTTCAGGCGCGCTTTGAAAACCGACCACGGCCCACAGTCAATAACTACGTCCGTGAATGACTCTCGCCCTAAAGTCCGCGACCGCGTGTGAGGTGCTAAGCATTTTCGGCTGGCCTTCTTTGGCCCTTAGTTGATCGCCTGGATCCGATGTCCGTAACCCTGGGTGGCAGGTTCGAAGCGCAAAGTACGGTGCGAAAACGGAAGAATAGTCTTCTAGTAATTATTCAAGTGAGATACTGATGGGTCGATCATATGTCGCGGCGGCTGAGCAAGAGAGTGGCCTTTTTTTCCTCAATGTTGGGGGGTATCTGTCCAGCCAGGCCAACCAATGCGCAAATGGCTCTACTCAGCGCGGAATGTGCGCGGAATGTGCTCGATTGGCGAAGTCGAGCGGAGAAAGTCAGGGGGGCTTCCAGTCGACTCGACGGGTCTTTCGCGGTTCGAGGGCGTCTGACCAATCGAGTTCCTATTTTACTTCACAAGCATGAGGTTCTGTGGGCTGGGGTTGCTGGGTTTGCTGGGGTGGGAAGGTGGTGGTGCTGCGTGGTGGTGGCGCTAATTTATGTTCCCTTACGGTCTGCGCCGCAATGCAATTGCTGTGGTAATTGGTGGTGGCCAAAGCAAGGCATTAGTGATGGGTGGTGCGTTTCAAGTGGTTGGGCATTGGGAAATCGGGCCGTGAACGATTGGTGTGATGGGATGGCGGTTCGTAGACGGAAAATGGACATTGAAATGTAGGTGACTATGACGAGTGGCGAAAGGAAAAATTCGATCAATCCAGACCGTAAAATGCCAACAAGCGACCTCGAATCTGACAGTTCAATACTTGGCCTCCTTTTGTAGTGGAAGACGGCTCGACACACAAAAGGGGGCGAAGTCAGTCAACATGTCACTGTATAAAAAAAGCGACGCGTCGCCCCTCTGTAGGTAACTTCAATACATGTATAAAACATCTTGACCACCCAACAAAGATCAGAAGCTGTACACTACAGTTAAGACTACAGATGTCTCTGCATTTTCGTGTATGTTCATCCACCAAAAGAGTAAAATAATGTGACGACATTCTCAAAACTGTTTGTCGAAATTCCAAATGCCAATATTCACAACAAGGAACTACACAATTTTAGAAAAGAAGATTGTTATAGAGCATTTCTAGCCAAGTATCCGTAACACCACCTTCACACCAATGAAGACAGTCATTTTTCCTCCCTGCTGGAGCCCCCCCTGCAATACACAGTATTTGGTCACAACAACATGAGAGACGTGTACAAAATGTGATACAGTGAACATGTTGCCGATTATGCATCTAATTCTCACCTTTCTCCATCCATTTTTGGACATGGCCGTCTGGACGATAGTTGCTCATAGGCGTAACATCGACGTAGCGAATAGGAGACCCTGACAAAACCCTCATCTGAATCTCCCGAAACTTGTTGCCAGTGACATCGCCCTTAGCAAACTCCTCTGCCTGCATATGGGCACGTGGGATCAGATGAAGGCAGGCATGAAACACTAGACTCCACAACACAGGAAATGCACTTTAAAGTTCCTTTAAGCCCATCATGCGTGCACCCATATCCAAGATCGCTCACTCGATGCCTCGTGCGCAAGTGTGCATTTTGCAGGTCTCGCACAACAATCCCCTCTTCGGTCTAGAGGTGCAAGACATGCCAAGAATATCATCACACAAAACCTCATCCTAGGATGGTAGTAATGAACTTGATAACGACTAGTTCTCTCGATGCGGTTTCATTACAAAAAGAAGTCTTACCTGCTGTGCGGTGAGCATTTTACTGGTCTCACACGACCCCTCCTTCAGCCCAGGGACCTTGTAGTGGGAGGGGGACACGCCCAGCAGGGCAACGCGGCCCTTAAAGCCCGACTTGACCACGTAGTCACGCAGAGTCTTGAGGCCAATCTCGTAGGCCGCCTCCTTGGAGAGAGATTGCTCCTTGCCGCCCATGTACCACTTGTTGATGGCGGGGAACCACCAGTTGGTGGCCTGGTGGGAGAAGAATGTCGGGAGGGAAGAGAGACATTGTGCGTGGTCAGCAATTGCTCCTTGCCGCCCATGTACCACTTGTTGATCACAGAGAACCACCAGTTGGTGGCCTGGGAACAGGGGGGAGAACGAGAAAGGGGGAGGGGTGGGAGGGAGAGAGAGGGGGGGGTAAAGGAGGGAGGGAGGAGGGAAGAGCGAGGGAGGGAAAAAGGGAAGGAGGGATTGAGGAGGAAGGGGAGGGGAGAAGGAAAGGGGTATGGAGGACGGGAAGATGAGGGAGAGGTGGGGAGAAAGGGAGCAGCAAAGCAGACTACAGTGTGCAACCTCACCTGGAAAACGACAATATCAGCCAGTGGCAGGAGGTCGGTGATCTGCGGGTCGATCTTATCGAGGTCAACGCGGTTCATGCTGTTGCCCAGCCCGCTCGCCTGATTCAGCCAATTAGAGAAGATTGACGCGAAACGAGTGTTGGTACCAGGGACCTGAATCGGGTTATCGGCAGGGGGGTGGGGGATGGGAGACGGGGCGGATGGGGGTTTCGGGGAAGGAGGAGAATAGAGGGATAAATGTTGGGGCTGTTTTGAGAAGTCCCTGAAGGAACGGAAAGGCAGAGGAGTCGGAACGCGGAATTTGCGTTGGATTGCCAACACGAGGGAGAAGGGAGACGGAAACTGAATGTGAAGGTAGGATTGGAACACTTTCACAGTACTGCTTGCGTTTCATCTAATATGGGGACAGATCCGATCGGGTTCGTGTCGTTTCATCTCATCTCACCCTGACACCGTACGCCTTGGTGTTGCCGTTCGCAACGCGGAAATCCTGGATGGTGCCGGGCGACGCGGCGTGCAGCACGCACGCGACGGACCCGGCGAAGTTCTTCGAGACGCTGTCACCAAACACGAGTACCAGCTTGTTGCGAAAGCGCACCAACAGGCGCTTCGGTGTCATGCGCTGCAATGCGCAACCTGCGGGCTGGCGGGGGAAAGGGGGGAGGGGAGGGGAGAAAGGGGAGTAAGGGGAATGGGGGAAGAGGAGGGGGAAGAGGAGGGGGAAGAGGAGGGGGAAGGGGAGGGGGAAAGTGGAGTGGGGAAGGGGAGGAGGAAGCGGAATGGGGAAAGGGGAGGGGAAGAGGGGCTGAATGGTGTTGCGGCATAACGCGGGAGTAGCTCGCACACGACGCCGCAGCGTGCAGCACGCACGCGACGGATACAGCGAAGTTCTTAACGACGCTGTCGCTGAACAAAATAATGAGCTTATCGCGAAAGGGAAGGGGGGAGAGGGAAGGGGAGGCGGGAGGAGGGAGAGAGGGAGGCGGATAGTGGGGGTGGGAGCGGGAGAGGTAGAGAGGGAGGAGAATAGGCTGGGTGAAATTCCAGAGCAGATCGCACGCGACGCACGCGATGGGCCTGGCGAGGACTTACGAAATGCTGTCGCCATACGAACACTCGAGGAAGTAACACTCCCGCGTGATTCCCCCTTGTATTCCTTGACGGTTAGGATGTGGTTCACTCGCGCGAATAATCAGGGACGGGAGTGGCGAAATGCTAAGTTTGAGTTATATCCTGTTGATAACGCGTATACGTACCACCCATCTGTATTTCTGGAATTGTAGGTCAGGCCGTCCCTGGTTCTGGCAGTTCTGACTGGATCGGATGTACGGACATGTCAGCCCCGTGTAACGCGGAAGGTGCCGCGCCGCGGACACCCACTGCCCCTTCGCAATGTCGCAGTTCCAGGATCCAGCGGTGACGCTTGTCGCATCTGCATTTGATGAGAAAAATGTCGCGAAGTGCAATCTCGTGAGGATCAATGTCGCAAAGAGCAAGAGCACGGTGATTTTGAGACTTCACAAAAAAATATATATATATCATATGGTCGCGAAGAGCAAAAGCAAAAGCAAAAAGAACACTAGTACAAGCAAAAGCACGCCGTGGGACAATAGGAGATGATAAAGACGTGTGACGAAACTATTGCGGGAATACTACGGGAACGGGTGGCGAGGGTTACGGCCCGTGATACTGGGCAGCGGTGACGCAAACGGGATACTGGAAACGGACGGGGAGTGGCTAAGTGACTGTAACGGAGGAGACACAGTAGTGGACGCTGTAGTCCTACGTACTTTGCGCGCTGGCGGCAGGGAGGTTCGCAGCTGCTGCTAAGAGGCAGACGGAGAGAAACAGCAGGTGACGTGTTGGAGACATCGTGGGACGTAGCAGGCCGTTTATGGAATGCGCCGAATGTGTCAGACTATCAATCGGCTCCGCCCTTTATTACGCTTTTCGCTAAGCTCTGCTCAGCTGCTCGTGCTGCAAGCTTTCGAAATCAATTGGTTTGACGTAAGAAGTATTGGCGCAGATTCTTCTCATAACCAGTCACCCTTGCCTGCCAGGAACCTATGATGGCTCTCCGTGGCAGCTATGCATCCCAGATAACCAGACCAGACCAGAGTTGCGTTGCTGTGAATGATGAGGTTGGAAGGCAAAATACATGGACCGAGCACTCAAGGGCAGCACTCGTGGAACATGAGCGGCGCTTGTCAAGTGGCGTCACGCGTCTCGCCCAAAACTTCTGCCGTACATTCTTTTGAGAGTGCGTAGATTTGGGTTTCCGGGGGCTTGAAATAAAACTGTTCGAGAGCTTGAAGTGTAGCCAGTTCACAAATGACGAGTCATCACTGCTGCTGCCGATTCCCACAAGTGTCGCTTACCAAAGACTATTCTTTCGTCAGCTCCCGGTTTACAGGGCACGGAATTCTTCCGAGTGTTTGAGGTCAATTCAAAACTCACAACCTCGGGCGCATTTTCATCCGCCGCAGTGAGCTCGACCAAGCGCACTAGGCGGTTATGACGGCGCCGCGTGATTCGGCCCTGGGACGCACATGCACTTGTTCCTATACAAACTACCATACAGAATTAACAGTCCAAAGCCCCATCTTTATGTTAATAATATGCTGTGCAGCATCTCAAGCCAAGCATCAGCAACTCCAGCTTCACACTAGTGTACGCAGTCATCCTTTTCATTCGAGGTTTCCCCTTGAGGCAAAATCGGTGGGAGGAAGGCAACAGCATGTGAAGCATTTAGATCAATGTGCATGCAGTCAAATCAAACTCGAGACACATAAGGAAGCGAGCGGTCACTGTATTAGAAGTGCGACCCAGTCCTCCTCAGTAGGTAACAATAGAACTTCTTGACTACGCAAAAACCAGATGCTACAATACAATACATTCATAAAATGTTTGTCAGAACGTGCCAATGTTGACGACAATTCGCCATGCAACAGTAATTGCCAATACAATACATTCTAAACAAGTCTAGAAGAGAAGACTGTTATAGAGCATTTCAAGCCAAGCGTCCGTGACACCAGCTTCACACCAATGAACACAATCGTTCTTCTTACCCGCTGGAGCCCCTCCTGCTAAGACATGGTAGTTGGACAAAAACCGTGAGTATTAGCAAAAACACAAACGTGGTGTAGTTACTTTGCTTATGCACCACCAAACCCTCACCTTTCACCGTCCATTTCTGGACATGGCCATCAGGGCGATAGTCACTCATAGGTGTAACGTCCACGTAGCGTATTGGAGACCCTGAGAGAACCCTAATCTGGATTTCCCGGAAATTGTAACTGGTGCTGTCCCCTTTTGCAAATTCATCCGCCTGTGTGTTGGACAAGATGGAGGGAAGCAGAAAATCGGGTAACTCACAAGATAAAGCTGACAAAAAAGCAATAAAGAAATAAACAAACAAGCAAGCAAGCAAACAAAGGTTGCACGTACAACAGAATTCATGTTGCTCACTCCCTTGTTCCATGTTGTACTGCAATGTGGTATCTATTGAACCACTATTCAAACGTGGAGCCTCATTGTGGGAAGGCGACTCGACACATGACAACATGCCGAGCACCAATCCCTCGTAACGTGACATATAACACATTCATGGTCAGATCCCTTACTGTTACAAATAAATGTTTTACCTGCTGCGCTGTCAGCATTCTGCTGGTCTCACACGACCACTCGGCCAGTCCAGGGACCTTGTAATGGGAGGTGAACACACCCAGCAAGTCCCTTGCATATCACGTAACATTCACCCCTTTGAACGGGATTCTTACCTGCTTGTGCTGTCAGCATTCTGCTGGTCTCACACGACCACTTTTCCAGTCCAGGGACATTGTAGTGGGGAGGGGACACTCCCAGTAAGTCCCTTGCATATCACCTAACATTCGCCCCTTTGAACGAAATTCTTACCTGCTGCGCTGTCAGCATTCTGCTGGTCTCACACGACCACTTTTCCAATCCAGGGACCTTGTAGTAGGAGGGGGACACACCCAGTAAGTCCCTTGCATATCACCTAACATTCTACCCTTCAAACGAAATCCTTACCTGCTGCGCTGTCAGCATTCTGCTGGTCTCACACGACCACTTTTCCAATCCAGGGACCTTGTAGTAGGAGGGGGACACACCCAGTAAGTCCCTTGCATATCACCTAACATTCTACCCTTCAAACGAAATCCTTACCTGCTGCGCTGTCAGCATTCTGCTGGTCTCACACGACCACTCGGCCAGTCCAGGGACCTTGTAGTGGGAGGGGGAAGCACCCAGCAGGTAAACGCGGCCCTTAAAGCCCGACTTGGCCACATAGTCACGCAGAGTCTTGAGGCCCATCTCATAGGCCGCTTCCCTGGAGAGTGACTGCTCCTTGCCACCCACGTACCACTTGTTGATGGCAGGGAGCCACCACTTGGTCGCCTGGAGGGGAGAGAATGAGGGAGGGATAGAGGATAATCTTATATGGTGAGAAACTGTCTAGCAGGCGCCCCTCCTTGGTCAATGACTGTTCCTTGCCGCCCACGTACCACTTGTTGATGGCAGGGAACCATCAGTTGGTGGCCTGGCGGGGAAAAATAAGGGAGAGAGGGAGGGAGGTAGAGAGGGACATAGGGAGGAAGGGAGGGAGGACGTGGGAACACTGCACTATACAATAGGTGAAGGATAGAGAGAAAAGGGTATGGGGAGGGGGGGCTGGGAAAGGGGAAGGTGGGGAGGGAGAAGGGGAGGGAGGGAGGGGAAATGGAGGGTAACAGAGCAGTGTGCAAGCTCACCTGGAAAACGACAATGTCAGCCAGTGGGAGTAGGTCGGTGATCTGCGGGTCGACCTGGTCAAGGTCAACGCGGTTCATGTTGCCGCCCAGCCCGCTCGCGTGGTTCAGCCAATTGGAGAACACCGATGCAAACCGAGTCCTGAAATGAGGAACCTGAATCGGGTTAGCAGTATAAAAAAAGGGAGTGTGGGAAAGGGGTGTTGGGGGGGGACTTCCCCCCTTGAAGGGGGAATGAGAAGTCTCTAAAGTAGTTCCAAGTCGCGTGGTCCAGCCAATTGGAGAACGCCGTCGGGAATGAGTGATGGAGCTAGGCACCTGAATCGACAGGGAGGAGGGCGAAAAGGAAGGGGGGGGGGGGGGGGAGGGGAAAGCGGGAGGACTGGGAAAACGGGGGGAGGGGGAAAGTGGGGGGAGGAGGGAAAAGTGGGGAATAAGCGATGAAACAAGGAACCTGAGTTACATTGTCAACAAGCAAGAGGGGAGGAGGTAGTGTCGAATTGGCTCAATATTCAGCCAGTCAATGAGGGTCGGACCCTGACGTGTCGTTTCATCTCATCTCACCCTGACGCCGTACGCCTTGGTGTTGCCGTTGGCGATGCGGAAATTCTGGACGTTGCCGGGCGACGCGGCGTACAGCACGCACGCGACGGAGCCGGCGAAATTCTTGGAGATGCTGTCGCCGAACACGAGTACCAGCTTGTTGCGAAAGCGATTTAGCAGCGCCCTCGGAGTCATGCGCTGCAACGCGCAGCCCGCGGGCTGAGGGGGAGAACGGATTGCGGAAGGGGAGGGGGAAGTGCCTCTCAGAGAGGGTGAGGTAAGGAGTAAGAATGAAACTTTCGCCCAGTGAGCGGGGGGCATTGCAGAACAGACCGCACGAGACGGACACTCTTTCACGAGACGGATACTATGAAATTAAGCCCCGGCGGCTACGTGGTGGGTAGGGCCGCGTGGATATACAAGCACTGTATATCCGCGCGGTATACAAAGAGAGGCGGAACTCCGTGGTTGAAGTTCTAATGTGCTCATTGCGCGTATACGTACCACCCATCTGTATTTCTGGAATTGTAGGTCGGTCCGTCCCTGGTTCTGGCAGTTCTCGGTATAGCGGATGTACGGACACTGTCCCGTGTAACGCGGGAGATGGAGGGGCGCGGAAACCCACCGTCCCTTCGAAATGTCGCAGTTCCAGGATCCAGCCGCTGCGGCGACACGTGTCGCATCTGCGTTGGTGGGAATAGTATGGTCGCGAAAAGCGAATTTGTGGGAATGTAGTATTCACGATAAGCAAGTTCGTAGTTTCCAGTGGAAAGGTATTCGCGACAAAGCCAGCTTGTGGGAATGGTATTCGCAAAAAGCAAGATTGTTCCAGGATCTAGCGGCGACACCGTGTCGTGTCGTATTTGCGTTGGTGGGAACGGAATTGCGAAGCGCAAAGTTCGTGGGTCGCTGGAATGCGGTACTGGAACACTAATAGTAGAAGGTATTTAAGACTTGTGACGAAAGTCTTGCGACGAAAGTCTTGCGACGAAAGTCTTGCACGACCATCACGGAACATGGTGACGGGGGAAACGGTAACGGTGACGGAAACGGAGGCCGGAAACGGACGAGCGGGAAGGTGACGGTAACGGAGCACACTAATGCGCGGTACAGGCCACGTACTTTGCGCGCTGGCTGTCGGGAGGCTCGCAGCTGCTGCTAAGAGGCAGACGGAGAACAGCAGCATGTTTCACGACTATCAATCAACTCCGGCCTTTACTACGCTGTTCACTATCAATTTACTACGCTGTTCACTAACGAAAGGTCTGCTCAGCTGCTCGTAGTGCAAGATAAGCTTTCGAAATGGATTGTGAAAGACGAGTTGGTAGGATCATTATGGGCGGAAAGCAACTTGCTTTGAAAATGCATGGATGATCCGAGCAGTGCTCAAGGGGAGCACTCATGGAACATGAGCAGCGGTTATCAAACGCGGCTCGTCCGAAACTTCTGCCGTCCAGAAACTACTTTGAGGGTCCATAGATTAGGGGTTATGGGGGCTTGAAAGAAAACAGTCCGCGGGTGAGTGAAGTGTCTGTTGTCAGTTCGCAAATTACAAGCCAAAATTCGCTGAAAGCACCTAGGTTTTTGCATGCTCCAAGACCACAGGGGCACAGAATTCTTGTTTCAGCAAGAGGTCAATTCACAGCTCATTCGGGCGCATTCTCAACCGCCGACAAATGCGCGATCCGAATCGATCGCACGAGCAGTAAGCTCGAACGGGCGCACAAGGCGGTACAGACGGCAGCGCGTGATTCGAGCCAGAATGTACATGTACCTGTTATTGAGGTTTATGTCGTCCCTCCACACAAACTGCCTTACGGAGAAAACACTTCAAAATCTCTATCGTTATGTTAGGAATGTGCTGTACAGCATCTCAAGCCACGCATCAGTAACTCCACCTTCACACCAGTGTAGGCAGTCGTCCTTTTCATTCAAGGCTCCCCCTGGAGGCGACATCAAGGAGGAAAAAGGCGACATATTTGAGAACAATATAGATGCAATGAAATTGATCAACATCATAATTACATCCCTACCTCATTAGACGCACACATGCGTACCTGGGGTAGTCCATTTTTGCAGATGTCCGTCGGGTCGCCATGAGCTCATAGGGAGGATATCCACATAGTGGATAGGACTACCGAGCAGCACCCTCAGCTGCACTTCTCGAAACGCCCTTGCTATCTTTTCTACTCTAAAAACCTTCTTTGTCTGGCAAAGAGGAAACAATAAAGGAAACAAAGGGGGAGGTTCAGCAACGATCAAGACGAGGAGAAACGGCTGCTGATATGACCAAGACCTCGTTTGCCAAAACACCTGAAAGATGGTGGAAATAGTGGCGCTTGTTGGTAGGTGACTTTAAAGTCAACTTAAAAGTCACCTCATGGCCAAGGCCTCGTTTGCCAGAACACCCAAATGACGGGGGAAATGACGGCGCTCGTTGCTGCATCTTGATACGTTTAGGTTGAAATGTCGACGCAAAAGCTGGCAGAAGTGAAGGCGCTCGTTCGTTGAATCACCTTGATATGTTGACGTCGAAATGTGAGCACCTGCATGCTAGGAGAGATTACCTGGGTCCATGTCAGCTTCTGATTGGTGGAGCATGAATTCTTGGGCAGCCCGGGAACTCTGTAATGCGAGGGTGAAACACCCATCAGTACAGCTTTACCAGAAAAGTTGGTTACGAAGTTACGGAGAGTGGTGAGGCCAATGGCATAGGCATCTGCGTTGCTGCTTGTGACAATCTCTTTTCCGCTCCGATACCACCGCATCCCCTTCCAAAACCACCAATTCGTAGCCTGCGGGGGATAGAGGGGGTGAGCATCTGTGAATGGGTGAGAGGAGTTCAGCTCTGAGTGGTTAGAGGAGAGAGAAAGGGAGTGTGAAATCGGTCAAGGATAAGAAAAGATATTGTTAAGGGGGCGATGGGTAGAGACTGTAACACTTGGGAACAAGAAAACGGAAGGTAGGGCGAGTGAGGGGAATGGAAGGAAAAGGAGACGGACCTGAAAAACGACAGTATCAGCAAAAGGCAACAAATCTACCACCAGGTCAACTTCTTTTCTTTTCTTTTCTTTTGGGTCTAAGTTAGGAAAGAAGGGCGCACCTGGAAAACGACAATATCAGCAAGTGGCAGCAGATCCATCACCTGCTGATCCACCTGATCCAGGTCAATCCGGTACTGTAGCTCTGGAGTGGGCATCTGAGCTCCGGTTAGAAGCCACTTGGAGAACACCGAAGCAAATCTGATTCCGTGAGAAGGCAGCTGTATACCCTCTGCTGTGCTGCTGCCCCTTTGGATCGTGAACGGCTGCACGGTTACGTCGTTACCAGCAGCTGCAGAAGCCGAAGCAGCAGCAGCATCACTGTTACCAGCAGTAGCATTATCACCAGCAGCAGCAGCAGGCACAGCATCGCCAGCTGAAGCAGCAGCATGCAGGACACATGCAATGGAAGATGCGAGGTTCTTGGATACGCTATCGCCAAACACCAGAACGAGCTTGTTCCTCAGCGCGTGCAGCAGACGCAGTGGGGTGAGACGACTGATCCTGCACGAGTAGGGCTGGGAAAGCAGGGAACGGGAAAGACGTTGAGGTGGGGATACAAGTAAGGGGGGAAGCGAGGTTCTTTGATACGCTATCGCCCAACACCAGAACGAGCTTTTTCCTCAACGCTTGCAGCAGGCGTAATGGGGTGAGGCGGCTGATCCTGCATGAGTAGGGCTGGGCAGTGGGAGGAGATGGTGATCACATGAGAGATGTGAGGGACAAAGCAAGGTCTTCTTTTAAGCGCTATTGCAGAACACCAGAACGAGCTTGTTTCTTAGAGCATGGAGCAGGCGCAATGGGATGCGACGGCTGATCCTGCAAGAAATGGGCTGGAGAGTGGGAAGAGGAATCAAGCGAAGTCTGCTGATGCAAGCAGGTAAGGGGAAGAGGGTCAAGCACGGTCAGCTCGTGTTGCGGGCAGGGGGCATCTTATAAACCTCGAGGCTTGAGCTCAGTGATGCGAAGGAAAGACAACTGGAGTCCCTCTTTTGAGGAATCAGATGGGGCGATTCAAAGGCAATACCCACCACGAAAGCCAGGCAGAAGGGGAGGCGACTTTTGAGACGTCTCAAAAGGCGGACAGGCGTTTCTGGAAAATAATTATAACGAGTACGTACCACCCATCTGTACTTCTGGTAGGAGAGGTCCGTTCTGCCGAGCCGCTGGCAGTTCTGGCTGGAGCGGATGTACGGACACGTGAGGCCCGTGTAGAAAGGAATGCCCCACGCGCGTTGCCACTTGCCTGCAGCTATGTTACAGGTCTGGTAAGTTGCAGGAACGTGAGGAGTGTCTGGAAGGGGAGGAGAGGAACAATCAGTGGTAAGAGATTTATGAAAAGTTTTGGGTGTGAGGAAAGTCTGGCAGGGAAGAGGGTAAAGGAGCAAGCGAGGGAAATCGTTCCGTAATTTTTAATTCAAGAAAAAAAAAGAATAGAAATACTATTTCTAATCAACGCGTACGTCGAGCGTACGCGAGGGCAGGCACGCAAGGGCAGAGTTTATAGTCGTCTTTAAGCCTCCAAATGCCTGAGCTCAAAGAAAATGTCTAACATTTGAGAAACGTTCTGAGTGGACAAAAAGAAAAGCATTAGAACGGTTCGAAGAATGTAGCAGCATATCTTACACAGTCGAGAATGGGCATGCGCACGGGAGGTAGGCTGGCTCGGGGGTACTAGCAGCAGCAGCAGCATGACGGTGAGAAAAAGGCAAACGGGCCGGGACGACGGGACGTTTTTTCGCAAGAACGTCATGACTGCTGGGCAGCTTAGGAACGCTGCTGAAACGCTTCATACCAAACGGAACCCTGACATTCCCCGCACTCTACCGTAAAACCGGATTTTCTCGCCGCTAGTTTGCCAGAAGCCTCGGTCGACTAATAAAGGTTCCAGGTTGCAATAGTGCCGCACATACTTTGCGCCCTATTTGCTCACGTGCGTACTAGCTGCACCAGGGCAACGAAATTGAAGGAGACGAGAGAGGGGCTAGGCTGGAAATGCAAAAGCTGAGGCAGAAGAAGAGAAAAGCCCAGCAGCCGCAAAACAGTGGAGAAGAAATGAGATTGTATAGAAACTGGGTTGGGTTGGGTTGGGTTGGGTTGGGTTGGGTTGGGGACTCACATTTTGTTTGTTGGTGCTGTTCAGGAATCGGTTGAAAGGGGTTCTCGAGCTGGGTTGGCGGAGGTGTCGAATTTCGGCCAGCCAACCGCAACGGAGCGCGAATAAAAGTTGCGCGAAAAACATCGCGGGGGGTGGGGATTGCTGTGAACAGTGTAATCGCAGCAAATTTGCAGTTGCTTCGCGCAGTTTGAGCGTGTACATAGGGTATAATGGTGTACATATATTTCTATTTTTGTGAATCAATTTCAACAGCTGCAGCGTGGATAGAAGCCAACTTTGCCTTCTCGACTTGCAAAGCCTCGCTATCTGGTGGATAGTGAGCTGAAAGAATCTGGTACACGTGGCGGGACAGATGGGAATAATAACTTAAGAAGGAACTGGGATACCAAATTGAGGAGATAAAGAAGAAAAAAGGAATGGCGAGAGCGAGGAGCACATGCGCAAAGTTTGGCACAGCTCTACATTGTCGTGCGCCACGAAACAGTTACCAGTTGTCGTACGCACCGTTAAGGCAGCTTTGCTGTGCTGAATGGCTTGTTTGAAATCACCCGACCGACAACAAAGGAGCGCTATGATATCCTCTGCCTGTCATTCAACCATGCACAGTGCATGCTCATACCACAAAAACAACAGTACATGTCACACATGCATGCACATATATGCCACACAAACACACACATAGCACATAGACTCCCACATTCCTTTTTCAAGGCGGAGGAGGAAAGGATAGAATCAAGGAATTCAGGGTCATGCGGGGCTGGAGGTTGAGAAAGGCATAAGATTGGTATGAGAAAGGTGTGGGCATGTGCAAAAAGAAGCACGTGACTGTACCTCTGCCTAAGTGCAGTTGAGAGGGTGCAAGTGGTGCCGGAGAGAATCCAGAGAGTGCGGTTGAGTGGGTTTCTGAGGTTACCTCTGCCAAAGTGCGGTTGAGAGGGTGCAAGTGGTGCCGGAGCGAATCCAACAGCCGAGATGCACGAGAGAGAGACGATGCCAAAGGTGCTCCAGCAGGGCTGCCACTGTCTCGTAGCCTGACGTGGGTTACAACAAATGTTGTGGTGCAGATGCAATTTTTTGTTTCACAAAGCATACACACACACACACACACACACACACACACACACACACACACACACGCATGCACGCACGCACGCACGCACGCACGCACGCATGCACGCACGCACGCACGCACGCACACAAGCAAAACCTGTAGCTGGATCCCCACGTCCCAACCATACAGTTCGCCTAACCACTCTGACCTAAGCAACTTTGCGATGCCCTACTTACCTCGGAAATTCTGCTACCTCAACAGCTGGAATCTCTGCAGACTCTCCTTCACTTTGACTATTCTGCGACGCCCTTCGTACCTCTGCAAACTCCCCTTCAATCAGCAGCTTCTGCCTCCTCCCACCCTTGCCACCTCCTCCCTCCTTCCTCTCCTGCTCAAACAATCCACATCCGCAAGCCATACACTTCCAAATACTATCACCACCCAGCCCTGGTACCACACCCCTCTCCCCACATCCCTTGGCATGGCAACGGTAGCCTCGGAGGCACAGGTCCAGAAACGCTCGGGCAGGTTCGGCGCAGGCTCGGCAGGAGCACTGGAAGAAGTATCTTTGGCGGAGCCAGGTTTGGCGTTCCGAAGCTGTCTTCTCCCCAACCTGAGCTCCGTACCCAATACTGAGCTCTTGGCCGGGGATGACAGGTTCGGTAGTCCGGGCCACTAGAAGACGGCCATAGGAAAGAGAGGACACAGAGAGAGAAGAGGGGGAGAGACTAGGGAGTGGGAGTGTGAGTGAAGGAATTGGGAGATCAGAGGGGGGAGAGGAGGAACGCGTGGGAGCAGAGAGGAGAGGAGAGGAGTGACTGATGGGAGGGGTGGGGGGCGAGAGAGGGATAGGAGTGGGAGGGAGAGGCGAGGTCGGGAAGGAGAGGGAGACGTTGGGATGGCAGCTGTGGTTGAAGAGCGATGCAGTGAGGTAGAGGGCTTGGGCAATGGGCACCTGGTGTAGGGGTTGAAACAGAAAGTGGGAAATGTAGCGAGGTAGAAGGCCTTGACTGACCTGGCGATGGGGTTAATCAAAGGTGCTGTGTGGTTACCAGCAATAGACTGGTAACCACCATACCTGCAGTTACCACTGCTGTACCTGTTCAATGCCCAGTTTTGAGCCGCCTCAAAACCAGCAATAGACTGGTAACCACCATACCTGCAGTTACCACTGCCGTACCTGTTCAATGCCCTCAAGTTGTCCAGCCGCGCTGCTACTCTCCCCTCGTTGCACTCGGCTCACTGCCACCGCATTGAACCGCAGTTGACCCAGCACCACCAGCACTTGGAGACTTGACACTCGGAGGCGAGTCAAACGCTGATGAAGAGAAGAGGCACGATGCTGCTGCTGCTGCTGCTGCTGCTGCTGCTGCTGCTGCTGCTGCTGCTGCTGCTGCTGCTGCTGCTGCTGCTGCTGCTGCTGCTGCTGTTGGTGCTGTTGATTCTGATGTTGCCGCTGCTCTTTCCGCTTGTCATCGCCCCCTGCATGTGCTAGTTGTTCTGAGACTGCAGCAAAGGAGGAGTTGATGGAATGGGATGTGACTATAGCGAGCAGGGCTAGACGGATAAACTCATCCTCCAACCATACCTGCCCTACAGATCCCTCCTCCCTTTCTCCCATTCCTTCTACCCCTCTCCCTTCGTCGTCGTCCTCCTCCTCTCCATCTCTTCTCAAACTGCAAAGGAGCGAGGATGAAGGGGGCAGAGACCCCAGATGGTGACACAAGGAATCCAGCCCCCTCCCTCTCATTTCCAGCCTTCGTCTTGCGTCCAAACTCCAGTTCCTCTTTCCCTCACCCTGCTCTAATCCACCCTCCCCAAATCCCACCTGCCCCAGTCCCACCTGCCCCACCACCCTACCAGCCAAGCAGGCCTCTACCGGCAAGGCAGCATGCCAGCTGCTGCCGCCACACTCCCCCAGATGCTCCCCCCACCGGGTAACACCTGCCCTCCACCCCGCCCGTAGCAGCTCCGCTGCTGTAGCACCTGCATCTCCCCTTCTTTCAAGTGCTGCTGTATTTAATTCTTCCACGACTGTATTATCCTTCGCTGCAGGACCAGCCTGTTGCGCTGTTGAAACAATCGCAGAAGCAGCAGAGGTAGCATCTGTAGCACTTGTGGCATCTGTGGCAGAGCCAGCATCTGTAGTGGCCGTTGTGACTCCAAGAGCCACAGCAGCACAGAGCGGGCGACAGAAGAGGGCGAAGGAGCAGCCAGGGCAGGGGAAGGGGTTGGCGGGGAGGGGCAGCAGGCAGTGGTGGCAGCGGGAGGAGCGGTGGGGCTTCAAGAGTGCCTGGTGGGAAGAGGGAAGGAAAGTAGGAAGGTAGGAGGAGATAAGTACGGCTATTAAAAGGGGTCGAATAGACTATTTGGCGGGTAGGGGCAGCCGGAGGAGCGGTGGGGCTTCAAGAGGACTTGGTGGAAGAAGGGAGGCAGGAGGGCAGAAACGCACAGAGACGATAAGCCGGTGAGGGAAACAGACTTTTGAGTCGCCTAGAAGAAGGGAGCGGTGGCAGCAGGAGGAGCGACGGGGCTTCAAGAGGGTCCGATGGGAAAAGGAGAGGCAGGATGAGGGAGGAGGGAGGAGGGAGGAAAGCGGAGTGAGGAATGAGGAGGGATGGAGAGAATCACTGAGATGATATGGTCACTGAGATGGTATGGTAAGGCAGCTAGCTAATGGAGGAGAGAAGCACTGACCTTGATGCAAGCAGAGACAACTGCACACAAAATGAGAGAGCGGAGGAAACACCAAGCTCACCGCAGCTATCGGCTCTTCGAGTAGCACAACCGTGCCAGCTGGCAAGCGGGGAGTGCCAGCTGGCATGCTGGAATTGCCAGCGCATGACTCTCCTCTGACAGCAGCACCAGTGGTGTCACTTCTGTGTGAGGTGGTCGTACTTGCACTCTCTGCTCCACCACTGCGTGCACTCTCTGCTCCACCACTGTGTGTATTATCTGCTTCAGTGAGTCTGAGGCCCCACCCTGCATCCGACGGGGCTTTGGGAGCTCTGGCAAGGGTATGGGGAACAGCACTGGCAGCACCAGTAGACCCTCTCGTGTTTTGAGGCAACTCAACAGTTGCAGCATGGGTAGTGCCTGTAGCACCAGCAGCGCCTGGAGCATGGGTGGAATCTGTATTGCCAGCAGCAACGCCTGTAACACCACGAGCAGAGTCCATTTCCGCTGTTCCACTGTGCGTAAAGGGTTCCACTTGCGGATGTAACCATGCGGTTACCACTGCTCCGTGACTGCCCCTGGCTGCTGTTGTTGCGTCTGGTGCTGCTGGCGCTGCTGCTGGCGCTGCTGCTGGCACTGCTTCTGGCACTGCTGCTGGCACTGCTGCTGGCACTGCTGCTGGCACTGTTGCTTGCCTGACTGCTGCTGTTTCTCCACCTGGTAGTGCTTCCTTCTTGACTGTTGACTCTTTCTCTCCTGTTAACCGTTTCTCTCCTGCTGTTGTTAAACTTTCCTTTTTTTGCTCCTCTGTAGTTTTCATCAACTCGTCAGCAATTTTCTTTGCCCCAGGTCGGTTCCCAGCCGCCTCCTCCAATAGGAGAGCTCTCTTCAAGTCACTGACTGCACTGTTGAACTTTTTTTGGGCAGCCCGAACACATCCCCTGCGAAACCAAGCCTGCATAAGAGCAAAAGAAGGGCCAGAATGTCACATTGAAAGCTTGCCATGGTGTCAAAAGCTATAATCTGAGCAAGGCACATAATCTCACAGTGATGAGCGTGCAACATTTTATGGCATGCAATATGGCAATGCATGCCATATGGCATGGGAATGTAATATGGTGCCAGAGACACTGCATGGCATGACATAGTACATGGCATGGCATAGTATATGGCATGGCATGGGACGCGGCATGGCATGGAATATGATTATGTGACCTACCTTGCAGTAAGATGGCGAGAGGTCGATGGCATGAGAACAGTCCTCCTCAGCCTCCCTTAGCTGTCCCATTCTCTGAAGATACATACATTACAACAGTCATTGTACATATGCACACATGCACATGCACAGAGACATGCACACACAGAAATACATACACACACGTGAATGGAGTACACAGAATCGCCAGAACAACAACACTAGACGAACCACTCACGTGCAGACACGTGAAATGTTAGGGCCACTCACATGCAGGCACGTGGCACGATTGGTGAAGAGCACTGCCAGCAGGTCAGGTGAGTCCAGAGGCGCGTACTGCAGGGCCTGCAGGGAACCAGCCCAAACCAAACGGAAGAAAAAGATACAAATCTCTCTTTAGAGGCGTCTCAACAGTCGGTCAGGTGAGTCCAGAGGTGCGTACTGCAGGGCCTGCAGGGAGCCAGCCCAACCCAAACGGGAGGGGGGGCACACAAATAAAAGTGGTGTTCTCAAAACAACCCAAGCAGGAGTTCCTCAGACTTTTAAAACAGCAACACCTTGTCTTAGCAGCCAACAGCCTCCCACCTTGCTGTAGCAGGTCACAGCATCGGCATACTTCTGCGCTCCAAACGCGCGGTTGCCTGCAGTCTTGGCGTCCCCAGTTGCTGTGCTGTCCTTGGCACAAGGCCCGTTGCGGTCAGTGAGTGGCGCTACCAGCTGCGCAGAACAAGGAAAACAATTCGATTCAAGATAGAGACTGCGCAGGTTCCTCCCCTAAAATTGAGCGGAGCTGTCAGCTGAACAGAGAACGTACGCAAAAGAGGGTGATTCTGAACACCCATTAGCTTAGAAGTTGATTTATGCGACTTATAACGAGGACAGGGTGACAGCCCATCCCACCTGGTCGAACACTCGCCGGTGCGCGGACTCCTCGCGAAGACTCCTCTCGATGGCCGCGAAAGCCGCTAAGGGGCGGTGAGAGGAGAGAGACGCCTTTACCTCCTCCAGTAGCGACGGCGACAAGAGACGCTGTAACGCGTCCATTGCGCGCCGAGTTGGAGACTGGGCTCACTCACGTCCAGGTGGTGAAATCTAGGAGGTAGACACAGGAGGTGGAATGAAGGGACAAGCACCTAGATTTGGCCGAAGAATTTACGATATAGCAGCCGCTATGGGGACTTGCGCGGAGTTCCCTAGAACTCCGCTACTGCGGCCAAATTTGCGTGGCACTGGATTCAATGTCCGCGGTAATAGCGCTGACGCATGCAGTTGAAGAATCTCATTGGAAAAGGTAAACATGCTCTAGCTAAAACTACTACAACGAAAACAAACAGACAAGTACCTTACAAATATCCTTGAGGACAAATATCCCTAGGAAAGCTACCAAGACGCCGTAACAACTAAACGCCTGAGATCTCGCCCTACAGAAAAAGACATCTATCATCACATCTGATTCAGCTATGCATCAGAGTTAGGCATGTTCCATCCTCATCCCTCCTCCCTGCATTGCTCCCTCCCTCCGACCCTCTCTCACCATTCTTTCCTTCCCCTCTTACCCAATTCCCCCATCTCCCCCTCTTTGCTCCTTCCCCTACTTCAGCTTTGCAGCTTTCCCTCTCCCTCTCCCTCGTCCCCGCCCGCGTCCCCTCCCTCTCCCTCTTCCTCCTTCCACCATCTCCCCAGCCTCACTATTTCCATCCTCTTCCCCACCCTCCCCCTCCCCTCCTCCCTCCTCCTCCATCCCCTCCCCCTCCTCCCCCTCTTCCTCCTCACCCCCACGCCTCCTCTTTTTACTCCTCCCCTCCTCATCCACACTTGCCATACTCCCCGATTCACCCTCCAACGGCCAAGCCCCCCCACTCGCCTCCCCTCCCCTCCCTCCTCGTCCTCCTCTGCCTCCCCTCCTCCCTCCCCTCCCCCTCTTTGCACCACTCCTAACCGAGCTAGTAGGTGATCCCACCGCTCCTCCTGCGCTCACGCCTTGGGACTCTGACCCTGCACCAGTTGGTTTCCTAGCAGATTGCCTCACCGGCTTATCTACCTCCTCCCCTGCAACCCCGTCTGCTTCCCCAGCCCCGCCTCTGCGCCTCATACGCCCCGAAGGGGTCTGGCTTCCCGCAGGCGCTCTGACCGGTGTGGCACGTTCGGCTGTAGCGGCGGTTACTGCATCGGCAGCTCCTGCTACAGCTGCTACAGCCAGATGAGCTTCGACTTCCACCACACCCACTGCCACTCCAGCATCAGAACCGGCACCAGCACCATCCCCATCCACCTGCGCTTCCCCTGCAGTCCGTAAAGCAGCAGCCGAAACAACCACCCCAGTGACAGCCACACCAGTAACACCATCTGCTGCCTCGTCAGCTTCCATTCCTTCAGCATCCCTGAATGCCTCATCCTCGTCCCCTGCAGCATCCCCATCCGCATACCCATCAGCAGCGGCAGCATCAGGAACACCCTCCGCATCGTCCTTCTCTCCCTCCTCGCCTTCCTTCCCTGCATCCGTCTCCTCATCCCCACCTGAAGGACCCGCACCAGCAGGGAACTTGCTACCACTACCACCAGCAGCAGCAGCACTACCACCACCGCCCCACAGACTAGCCAGGCCAAAAGCAGTTTTCCTGCATTGCTCCAATGCCCAGTTTCGACGCGGCTTCGGAGGTTCGGTCATGGGCAAAGCAGCAGGAGCAGCAGCATCTGCGGCACCTGCTGCACCGGCCTTAGCAGCAGCAATCGCAGAGGTAGGAGTTGACAAAAGAGCCGATTTAGCTCCTGATTCCATTCCAGGGGTTGTAAACAGCCCCCTCTCTCCATCTGCTGCTGCTGCTGCTGCTGCTTCTAACAGCTACGACTGCAGCTGCCTCTGTTGCTGGCACCTGAGGTTTCGCCTGAGCCTGGGCAGGAGAGCCCAGCAGAGAGTTCTCCATGGTGGCGAGTTCGGATTTGAGCACTCGGAGCCGTTCGGCTTCCCTTGCCATGCCCTCTCGCTCCATTTCCACTGACCGACGCTGAGCCTGCAACACAATGGACGGGGATCAGGTGGGGGTGGGATGTAGATTAGGAAGAAACGGAGATTCTGAAGAACGGTTGAGGCACATTCAAAAGATCGCCTTTCCATTCCCTCCTGCTCCATTTCCACTGACCGACGCTGAGCCTGCAACACACTGGCCATGTGAGGGTGGGGGAAAGGGGGATGGGGGAGGAGGAGGGTCGGGTGAGGTGGGACGGGATGGGGGAAGGAGACGACAAATCAGGGTTAAAGAAAGAGGTGTGGGGTGGGGTGGGGTGGGGTGAGGCAGGACCGAAATGAATCATACAGGAACAACTGTTGAGGCACAAGCTTGCCTTGCAGGGCAGGCACATAAAAAAGGGGGCAGTGGGGGGGGCGTGGGGAAACCTCAAGCTTCAGAACAGCCCTCCTCACCTCCAGCTCCTTCTTCTCCATCTCGAAATCCTCCCGCTCCTCATTCAGCCTCTCCCTCGCAAACCTTAACTGCTCCGCCAAGTCATGCCCGCCAGCAATCCAGCTCGACCCGCCCGACAGCCTCCTCTCCGCACTCTCCGTCCTCCTCCCCGCCTCCTTCTCCTCTTTCAGCTGCCGCCGCTGCTGGTGCAGCTCCTGAATCATCTTCTGCACGTCATCCCAGTGCCTCTGCGTGTCCGCCCTGTCTCTCGCCACCGCCTCCCTCTCCCTCTCCATCTTCTTCCTCTCCTCTTCCACCAGAGCCTCCCACTCCTCCCGCCGCCGCCTCTGCTCCTCATCCAGCCTTCGGGACCGGGCCATAAGGTCCCGCTCCTTCTCCTGCCGCTCCTTCTCCGCAGCAGCCCTCTCCGACTCAATCCCTGCCAGCGTCGTCGCCACCTCCTCCTCCGCCTTCGCCCTGCGAGACACAAGCTCCAGATTCTGCCGCTCCACCTCCTCCCTCTCTTCCTTCACCTTTGCCCGCTGCTTCTCCAGCTCCCTCAGCTCTCTCTCCTGCCGCCGCCTCAGCTGCTCCACCTGCAACGCCTCTGCTTCTTTCTCAGCAATCTCCTTCTTCAGCTCCACCCTCTTCGCCACCATCTCCTCTCTCTGCCGCCGCAGCTCCTCCCGCTCACCTTCAATCCTCGCCCTCTCCTCCTCCACCCCAAGCCGTTTCTCCTCCACTGCCTCTCTCATCCGCCGCAGCTTCGCCTTCTCCTCTTCCATCCTCGCTTCAAACTCCGCAATCCTCTCCGCCAGCCTGTCAGCCTCAGCAGCAGCACGAGCAGCCTGTGCCGCAGCAGCCTCCTCCCTCTCCTTCTCCAGCGCAGCCCTCTGCTTCTCCCGCTCGCTCAGCAGCTCCCTCCCACCCTCCCTCACCTTCGCCTCCTCCAACCTCAGCCGCGCCCTCTCCCTCTCCAACTCCTCCATCTCCTCCCTCAGGAGAGCCCGCTGCTCCTGAATGTTCCTTGACGCCTGAATCGCCTCAGCCTGCTGCTTCTCCAGCCCTGCAAGCTCCGCAATCCTCTCTCCAATCTCCCTCCTCTCCGTCTCCCTCTCCTGCCTCGCCACCTCCCTCTCCTGCTCAATCTTCCTCAACAACCCCTCGTTCCCTGCGCGTTCAGCAGCCAGTTCCGCCCGTTCAGCAGCAGCAGCAGACCGCATCTTCTCCAGAAGCTCCTTCTCCTTCTCCAGCTCGCTCGCAGCAACAGCAAGCTTCTCTCTCTCCGCAGCCACGCTCTCCCCAGCCTTCACCGCTGCTTCCTTCTCCGCCCTCGCCCGAGCAGCAGCCACTCTCGCCCCCTCCGCTTCCCTCTCCGCAGCAGCCCTGGCAGCCTTCAGCTCAGCAGCAGCAGCCTTGGCCTCCGCCTGTTCCTTCTTCAGCTCCCGTCTCTCCCCCGCCAACGCAACCCTCTCCGCCCTCACCTCCTCCCTCGCTCCCACCACCTCCTCCGTCTCCAACCCCACCGCTTCCCTCTCCTTCCCCACAGCAGCTCTCTCCCTCGCCAACCTCGCACTCTCCTTCTCAATCTTCGCCTCAGCAGCAACCCTCTCTTTCTCCACCGCCTCCCTCTCTCGTCTCGCCAAGGCCGCCACATCCAGCCGCTCCCGATCCAGCCTCCCCATTGCAGCAGTCACTTCTGCCCGCTCAGCAACCAGCCCCTCCCGCAGCCTCTCCAGCTCCTCTCTCGCTCGATCTGCCTTCACCCTCTCGCCTTGCACCTCCGCCTTCTCAGCCTGCAGCGCCTTAATCTCCCGCTCCAGCTCAGCCTTCTGCTGCCCCAGCTTCACTCTCTCGGCCCTGCTCTCCGCCAGCTCCTGCCTTGTGCTGGTTCGTTCCTCCCGAGCCTTCTCCCGCTCCACCCGAACCTCAAGCAGCTTCTTCTGCACGCCCTCCTTCTCCTTCTCCACCCTCTCCCGCTCCTTCAACAGCGCTGCTCTCTCTTTCGCCAGAGACTCCCTATCCCTCTTCACCCCAGCAGAATCTCTCTCAACCTTCTCCAACGCCAGTTTCCTATCCACTGCCACGCTCTCCCTCTCCAAAGCGATCTTCTTCACAAAGTCCTTCCTCTCTTCGTCCAGCCTCGCTCTCTCCTGCAACACCTCCTTCCTCTCTGCCTCTAGGGCATCCATCTCCCCCTTGGCTTTCTCCCACGCGTTTCTCGCCTCCTTCGCGCCTCTCTCTGCAGCTGCCCGTTCTTCCACAAGAGATTTTATCGCTGCCCGATGCTCGGCTGCTTCTGCCCTAGCAGCTTCCCTCTCCTCTCCCAGCAACCCCCTCTGCCTGTGAACCTCCGCAAGAGCCTTCTTGACCTCCTCAGCCTCTCGCTCCACCTGCTCCCTCTCTTTCCCCACGGCCTCCCTCTCAATCCGAACCTTCTCCCTCTCCGCCTCTCCCCTCGCCGCAACCTCCTGCTTTTCCATCTCCACTCCTTCCCGTTCCATCTCCACCACTCTCTTCTGCTGCTCAACCTCTGCCTCCATCCTCTCCCTCTCCCTCACAAGCCCCTCCCGCGCCCGAACCACCTCCTGCTCCCTCCCCGCTACAGCCACCAGTGCCGCCTCTACTTCAACCACCCGTGCCGCTACAGCCGCCTCTCTCCCCTTCAGCTCCTCTGCTGCCGCTTCAAGAGCCGATTCCCGCGCACTCACGTCCTCGAGTCTGCTTCCCAGCTCAACCTCCTCTGACTGCAACGCAGCTCTCTGGAAAGCGAGCTCTTCCATTTCCCTCTCAACCTGCTGCCTGCCCTCGTCTGCTTCCTTTCTCGCCCGCGCCACCTCCTCCGCCTCCTCTCCAAGCCTCACCCTCTCTTCCCGCGCCTCTGCCACCACCCTCAGCCTCTCCTCCTCGACGCCTTCCCTCTCTGCCCGCACCGCGCCCAGCATCTGCTGGTGCTGCTCCTTCCACCCTTCCTTCTCCTGCTCCAGCTCCTTCCGACCCTTCTCCACCGCTGCCAACATCTCCCGCACCTTCTCCTCTTCCGCTTTCACCGCCTTCCCCTTCCGCTCCAGAGCTGCATGCTGCTGCGACAACTGCGCAAACACCGTCTTCTTCTCCTCAATCTCCTTCCTCAGCTCCCCCCGTTCGGCCTTCAACGCCTCTCTCTGCCCTTCCACCTCTGCAGACGCTTCTTCTAGCGCATTCCTCTCCTCACGCATCTTCTCCCGCTCCCCAGCCACCTCCTCCCTCTCTGCTTCAACCTCCTCTCCCTTCTTCCTCCACTCCTCCACGAGCCCTCTCCTCTCCTCCTCCAAGTCCTCTTTCCCCTTCTCCAACCTCGCTTCAACCTCCCTCTCTTGCCTCCTCACCTCCTCCCTCTCCTTCTGGACGTCAGCCAGTGCTTTCTCCCTCAGTTTCTCAACTTCTGCCTTCATTCTCTCCACCTCCTCCCTCTGCTCATCCAGCACCTCCCATTCCGCCTCAAACCTCTCCTTTTCCGCTCTCAGCTCCTGCACCCGCCTCTCCGCCTCCTCAAACCGCTCCTGCGCCCGCTTCATTTCCGCCTGCGCTGCCTCCCGCTTGACCCCCGACTCCGCTATAGTCTGCTCCGCTTTAGCCAGAGCGGCTGCTGCTTGCCGCTTCTCCGCCTCTGATTCAGCGCGTTCAGAGCGAATTCTCTCACGAAAGTCCTCCAGCTGCTGCTTCTCTGCGTCCGACTCCATTCTCGCCACTTCCAACCTGCCAGGACACCAGTGCAGTCCATTCAACAAGCAAGAAACATAGAGCATGAGACACCAGCCATGAGAAAACACGTTGTGTGCAACAACAAGTCAAGCTGCAATACACAACCAAACAATAAATCCCCGACCCAACCCTTCACACTCCCCGCATCCCGAACCCAAAACATCCCCTCGTTTTGCCCACCTTCCTTCCCCAATCCGCCACCCCCTCCCTTCACCACCCTTCTTTCCCTCGTTGCCCCCTTCCCCCGCTCCCCCCAGAACTTAAGACTCACCGCCTCAGATCCCTGTCCAGCTGCGCCTGCCTCTGCTCCACCTCCCTCTCCCTGCTCGCCGCCTGCAGCACCAGCGCCTCCGCCTCCGCCATGCGCTCCGCCGACCTCTCCGCGCGCCTCTGCGCGCCCTGCTCGCGCTGCTCCACCAGCTCCTCCTTCTGCGCCACCTGCGCGCGCAGCCCTTCCACCTCGCTCTCCTGCGCCTGCACCCTCTCCCGCTCCGCCTGCCAAGCAACCAAGCAACCAAGCAACCAAACAGCCAAGCAGCCAAGCAGCATTGGAACCCATACGTCAGCAACAGGTCAAGAAGTGAAGCGCGCAAGAGAAGACGTAACGTTCCTAAGCTACTGGAGAGCTATATAGGTCTCATCAAGTCAACAAGCAGCTCTCTATCTCACCAGCAGCGCGCGCTCCTTGGTTTGCAGCTCCGCCTGCATCTCCTCCAGCTGCGCGCGCCCACTGCTCAGCGACGCCTCCACCTCGTCCAACCCCTTCTTCTCGCTCGCCTGCTCTCGCAAGAGAACAGCAGCACACAGAACAAGCGGAGAGAGGCACACGCAGACACACAATTTAAGTCACACTAGATGCTCTCATACTCCAATCCCACCACCCTGCCTTTAAAATCGCCCAGAACGGCTTGCCATATTGGAGTAACTCTGGAGAACTCTCACCAGTACCTTGTGAAATTTCTCCGAAGCAGCAGTGACAACAAAGAATTTCTTCCGTGTCCAATCTCACCAGCTTGGCCTTGAGGTCGTCCAAAGCGGCCTGGCGCTTCCGCAGGCTCTCCTCCCACTCGCGCACCCTCTCCTGCTCACTCGCCACGCGCAGCTCCACCTCCTTGCCGCGCATCTCCCTCGCCACCGCGTCCTGGTGCTCACACGGGCAAAGCGGAAGAGGAAACACAAACAGGAGAGAGCGGCGAGAGACACAGGGAGGGGACGTATGGAGGAGGGACGTGGGAGAGGGGTGGAGGAGAGAGACAAGAGAGAAGAGCAAGCGGGAGAAAAGGTAAAAAAATAGTGTAGAAGAAAAAGGGAGACGAGGGAGAGGGGTAGCAGGGAGAGGGGCACTGGAGAGGGGCAAGGGAGAGGGGCAGTGCAAGCATGCAAAGGAAACGAAAGCATCCCAACCTGCTGCTCCCGAAAAAGCCTCAAAAGTTACCCCCGTGCCAAATCCGTCCCAGCCAAACCCGTCCCCAGCCAAACCCGTCCCCAGCCAAACCCGTCCCCAGCCAAATCGGCCCCCCTGAAACTCGCCCCCCTGCCAAAGCCATCCCTGTGCCTCGCCAGCAGAGGCATACCTGTTCGCGCGCCACCAGCAGGTCCTCCTGCACCGCCAGCTCGCCCTCCCGCTTCGCCAGCGCCACCTTCCCCTCCGCCACAGCCTGCGCCTCCTTCCGCGCGCGCTCCTCCGCCTCCCGCGCCTGCTCCCGCACGCCCTCCAGCCGCCGCGCCTCCTCCTGCAGCGCCGCCTTGCGCGCCTCCGCCTGCTGCTCCGCCGCCTTCAGCTCGTCCATCGCTGCGGCTATGCGCGCCTCCCGCGCGTCCAGCATTTTCTCGCTCTGCGCGCCCATAACCACACCAGACACACACACGCACGCACACCCACCCACCCACCCAACCACACACACAAACAAACGCCCACACACACACACACACACACACACACACACAAAACACGCGCGCGCACGCGCGCGCGCGCACGCACACACACACACACACACACACACACACACACACACACACACACACACACACACACACACACACAAGCACACGCATGCACGTGAAGCAGTTGTCAGGAGCCGTCACTTCCAAAAGCGTGTCCACGAAACCACATTAAACGTAAAAAATACACCCTTAACTGCCGGCCATTCCCCCTCCCACCACAAATGGACAAAAATCTGAGCTCCTTACCTCCAGTATCTTTGCATTGCGTTGCTTCAACTTTTCCTCCCAGTCACTCAGTGACCCTTTATGCGCCTCCAACTCCTGAGCCTTGGCCTCCAGCCTGAAAACGCTACGAGCCATCGAATGGCACATGCACCATTCACAAGTCAATTTGATCAATCAGATGAGAATGTAATAAAAAGAATCAAGCATGTGAAATTCAAAACAGAATCAAACAAGGAGCCTGCGAGACGAGCCTCCTAAAGCCAGGCAGCAGCTCGCTCCAATCCAGAAGCAAGCGCCATTCTCGCAAGCATCCACCGAGAATCTTCCAGTTCTTATTCCCACCTCGCCTCAACCCAAGACTTGCAAGCAACCCTCTCCTTCCCCTCTCTCACCTGTCCTTCTCCGCCTGAACTTCCCGCCGGCCATTCGCCTCCCGGGCCTCCAGCTCCTGCTGCTTCCGCTCCGTCTCTGCAATCTTCCTGCTCGCCTCGCTCCGGCTCGCCTCCACCTGACGGCTAGCCGCCTCCGCCGCCGCCAGCTTCTTCTCCGCGGCGGCCATGGTGGCGTTGGCCTGGTCTAGCGCCGTGCGCGCGTGCTTCTTCGTCTCCTCCACCTCCACCTGGAGTTCCTTGACCGCTCGCTCCATCTGCAGCAAAAAGGAGGAAACATCATATGGAACATATATATCTCTTAAGCTACTCAATGAACCGCGTTCTTCTTCGTCTCCTCCACCTCAACCTGCAGCTCCTTCACGGCTCGCTCCATCTGCAGTGGAGAGACACCTAACGGCTTTTTCTTCCGCAATGCAGCTTCTTCTTTCTTCAGATCATTTTTTTGCCACTATGCAGGGTAACTTGGATATCATTTTTTTCCTTTGTTTTTTCCACAGATCGCTCCATCTTCAGTGAAAGTGGAAGAAGTTGAGGGACGGCAGTGAAACGGAGACCGCAACTAACGCCATCAACTTCGGGATTCTCAGGCGATTTGGTCTCGAACATTGCGAAATCGATCTTGCTGAACAACGACAAAGAGCGCGGAAGACCACGGAAAAACAAGGACGGAGAGAGGGATAAGGGAAGCAGACGGGAAGAAGCAACACGGCGAAAAGAGACGAGAAGGCGTACGCTTGCGACGCAGTCCTGTTCGATGGCGAGCGCGTCTTGTAGAGCCTTCTCCCTCTCCTTCGCCTCCGCCAGAGCGACCCTGTGCGCCGTCGCTTCGCGCTGCAGCTCCGCCTCCGCCTCCTCCAGCGCCGCTCGCGCGTCCTCGTACTTGGGTAGCCACTTCTGCCGCTCCATCAGCAGCAGACCCATGTTGTACTGGTACTCGTAGAGCTGCCACGAAGAATATTATGGAAGTAAAAAATAATAAACAATGGATTCAACGAAAATAAGTGAAAGTGTCAAATTTGAATTCGAAATACGCGTAGAGTTCAACAACATTGATAGCTGAAAAAAAAACGAAGATTCGTCCAGAAACGCATCACCACCGAAACAATGCATGCTGAAGATTCACGTTAAGAAGTAAACCAGAAGCGATTGGTATTACCTCTTGATCCAGCGAATTCGCCTTCTCCATTAACGCGTCCCGCTCTTTCCGCAGAACCGCTACCTCGTCCAATCCTGACTCCCGGTATCGCTGCCAGACTTGCTCCTCCTCTTCGAGCCTCGTCTCCGCAACCGGGACAATGGCTCGGCTCTGCCTTGCTGCAGACCTGGGAGGAGCCGGCTTCAGGGACGCAACTGCGATGGCAGCCAACGCATCTTTCGCCAAGGCTGGCGACGGATTGGCTCGCGAAATGGGGTTACCGTCGACGGTGACGATATCGGCTCCGTCGGCGGAAATGAAGCCTGGTGTGCTGTTTCTGCGCCTGGCGCTGCTTCCAGGTGCTGCTGACGTGTCAGGAGCCTTTGGTGTAGCATTCTTCTTGGTGGATTTTGGACCGTTGTGCTGAGGAGAGTTAAGAGGAATGTTGTCGAAAGTAAGTCGAGTAGCCGTTGCTGAGATTGGCGAGAACACCGAGTACTGATTCTGATCCATGACTGAATCTGCTTCAGATCAGCAGAAACTTTACACAGAACCGTTAAGCGAGCTTCCAAATGAGCAAATCAAGAACCAAGTAAATAACCGTTCGTTAAGAAACCATGGCGCGAACGCGCACGGATAAAAGCGGCCTGTTCAATGTCAGCGCTAGTCTAGGGTTGACAATGGCGCTGATAAGGAGAAATCTGAACAAGGGAATCCGAAACCACACAAACTCAGAAAACCCTGGAGATCTTCGGCTGGCTCCGTGATGCAACAATCAACACTCTGCGAAAATGGATCTCTGTCATAGATGTCAAGACGGACAGCGAGCAGGAATCGGGATGGAGGGACGAGCAATTTTGTCAGTCGGTAACCAAATGGTTTCGCAGATATTGGCGAAGGCGAAGGGAGCTTCAAGGTGACGACTTTGGATTTCGCCATGCCTATCGCCACAGATGATTGGAACTGGCAGTCAATTCTGCCTGTCAGCAGCTTGGCGCGCTTTTCTGACAGTATGACTCGTTTAATGGTGCATCGGTAAGAACCGAATTTGTTTGAATAAGGTGTTGCAGTTAATTGCTATATCCTTTCTGGAAATTGCAGTGCTTCCTCCTCCAGCCGCGCGTTGCACCCTGCAAATTTGCTGGCAAGCCAGCCAGCCAGCCAGCCATGCTCGAGTCGCCCTCAGGAACTAGATTGCATCGCTCGTAACCGTTCAAACACTCACAGAACCTCGTCAATATGGACCCGAACTCCTCACTTCAACCACATCACAAGGAGAAAGAAATCGCGCCTCGTTCACTAACAAAATTTGCTTCACCCACCATTTTGCACAAACACGCCCACGCACAGAAGCTCTAACGTAAATACAAACCCATGGAATATCACGACGGCGCCTATCGCTTCGGAATTTAGGTCTGTAGTTGCCAACCACATAACATTGAGCTATGGAAAAGTATGCGCGAAGTATTAGGATCTGCCAACGACGGCTCGTGCTGTTCTCGGGCGCACTGTTGCTTAGTTTGGCGACGCATGCAACTGCTGCGTCATGGTTTCCGTGGTCTATGGCGAGTAAGTTTACTCCCCTCGTTGATAGTTTTTCACAGGAACCTTTTTGTTCGAGTTTTAGATCCATCCAGCGCATTCGGCATGTTTATTTAGCCTATCACTTCTATAGAACCCACAGAGCCTGAACACTCAGACAATATTAACGACTCACCGGCAGACTCGCTAGTACCTCCAACGGCGGTTGGGAAACCCATCCGCCACTTTTTCTCTTCCCCCTCTTTCCCACACTCCCCCTTCTCCCCACCCCGTCCCTCTTCCCATCACCCCCCCTCCTCCCCTTTCCAACCCCTTCCTTCTCCCTTCTCCTTTCGTCGCACCTCATTGAGTGAAAATCGTCTATCTAGACAATTTCTTTGAATTATACACAATCCCGAAGTTGCCTTTCTCCCGCCATAGGCTAATAAACTAGTGACTCCAAGTGGGGATGCGACATCACCAGCGGGGAGTGGGTGGGCGGGAGGAACATTACCCTCTACACGCGCATCGATTGCCCGGCAATCATCCTGTTTCCTGCTCAATTTCAATTCTGTTTATATTCCACCAAAGGCTCACAAACTAAGGAGTCTAAGTGGGGGTGCGACATCACCAGCGGGGAGTGGGTGGGCGGGAGGAATCTTCCCCTCTGCACGGGATTGAACTGCCCGTACGTTCGCTCCAGTCAGAACTGCGAGAAGAACGGCCGGCTCGACATGTCGTTTCAAAAACTCAGGTGGCGGGTACGCGTTACAGAGACGTTCGTTTCGCTTCAGTAGCTGAACTATTCTTGCTAGAACCGTGCATTGGGGGAGTTCACTTCCCTGATGAAAGCCCGTTTTTCTTCTTATGCATTCCCTTTTCTTCCTCAATTCCAGCCTCATACGTGTAAGACCCGGCGAATGACTCCCAAGTTATTGCGTAACCAGCTTCGCGACAAGTTCGTTCTCGTGTTCGGCGACAGCGTGGCGAAGAACTTCGCGGCGTCGGTGATGTGCGTGCTGCACTCGTCCAGTTGGAACCTGACGGAACAATTTCAGTTTGAAAATCGGGGGAGTGTCGCACACGGCATGAAGGTGAGTCGCAGACAAGTCGTACACCGCATGCGTGCGAAATTGTCACACATTGTCAATGCCAAAAAGCCTTTTTCCACCCCACGTTCCCCATGCTCCAAGTTCCAACCCCATCGAATCTCTCACTGCAACGTCCCTTTCCATCTGCCAACCCCATCAGATCCCTCGGTACAACATCCGCGTCGCTTCAGTCACATCCAACTTTCTCAGCAACGCCACCGCCCTCCCAACTACCTCCTCCCCCTCCCCCTCCCCTTGCCCCTCCCCATCACCCTCCCGTTCCGCCTCCCCCTCCCCTTCCCCCTCCCCATCGCCCTTCTTCGGATCGCGAGTCAACCTGGACCAGCTACAAGACGACATTCTCAATCTCATGCCCCTTGCAGACCTTGTCGTTTTCCAGGCGACCAACTGGTGGACCTCTCGCGCAAACAGATTCTTTATAGGAGACACCGAGTTAACTACAGTATCCGTTACAGAGGCCTACGAGATGGCCCTGCAGACGCTGAAATCCTTTGTGGAGAGGGCACAGGAGCGGGCCTTTACAGGAACGGCTGTGCTGCTGGGGGCGTCCCCTACGCACTATGAGCTGCCCCTGCCAGGTGTCCCTGGGGGGTCGTGCCAGGTCAACCAGAAGCTGACGTGGCTGCAGGTGAGGAAGTGGGTGTGTGGGAGTGTGGGGGTGTGGGGTGGGGTGGAGTGACTGAGTGAGGGAGTGAGGGACAATGGGAGTTAGGGAGGGAACGTGGGAGTGTGGGTGTGAGAGAGTGAGTGCATGCTACGAGATGGCCCTGCAGACGCTGAGGCTTCTCGTGGAGAGGGCACAGGAGCGAGCCTTCACAGGAACGGCTGTGCTGCTGGGGGCGTCCCCTACGCACTATGAGCTGCCCCTGCCAGGTGTCCCTGGGGGGTCGTGTCGTGCCAGGTCAACCAGAAGCTGACGTGGCTGCAGGTGAGGCACAGGAAATGGGAGTCAGTGGGTGAGGTGTGTGGGAGTGAGGGAGTGCAGGTGTGACGGAGAGTGGGAGTGAGGGAGTGCGGGTGTGGAGAGTGGGAGTGAGGGAGTGCGGGTGTGGAGAGTGGGAGTGAGGGAGTTTGAGGATCTCTATGGGGCAACACGTGTACATTGTACAACCCCAGGCTTCTGCCATTCCGGCGTTGCCAGTGCTTCCCGATGACTGTGTTGTGTAACCGTTTGGGCGTTGAAATTCCTGTTGCAGGCACAAGAGATTCGACAGGGGGACACCAGTGTGGAGGGGTTTAGAGAGGTGGAGAGGCGGGTGCTGTCCGGGTCTGCTATTCAATACCTGGATGTGGGGCCCATGAGCGACTCACGACCCGATGGACACATACAGAACTGGATGGATCCAGGTGAGGAGGACCGCTTGTGGATTATGATGATAATGTAAAGCTGTCTGGCTGAACCTTTTTGTGCACACAAGAAGCCTTTTGCGCGGATTTGCGTGTGTTGCTGCCACTCGAGTCTGTCACACTCATTTGGTGTTGTTTCTGTTGTTGCGTGCAGGAGGGATGGGTCCATCCACGCGTGATGATTGTCGGCATTGGTGCGAAGGAGGAGTAACTGATGCATGGCTTGAAATGTTGTACAATACACTTCTGTACTAGGGTACTAGGGCATCTGTACTACCATACGGTATGTATATTGGTGCTAACATGGTGTGCAAAACTACTACTGTAATAGCGTATACATTAGCTACGCCAATGTCGAGATGTGTTTTATACCTACTTACTTGACCATATGAAGGATGGTGTCGCTAATACTACGTTCCTCGTAGTCCAACATGGGCAATCAATATAGCTTATTCCAATGTGAGGTGCATGTATGGCAAATCAGTAATTCTGTTTTCACGAAATACATCACATCGTACACGCAGGAGCAGAAACCCAGTGCAGAATCAGAATAAATGCTTCCATGATCATTCGCCTGAACTCTGGGAATAAGATGCCACGTGTCTAATCCATTCTCGCGAATCTTTTTCTTGAGAGCACCAAAAGGGAAAGTACATCGCAGCTCCACAGTTTCAAAAATATCTCAATTTTGATCCCAAGTTTACCCAAAAAGTCCAGCTTTGCGGAATTCTGCTCACGCGAGGCCCAAAGTATGTTCAAAACTGGTCCTGCGGGGCAGAAATTACGACACGTGTCGATTTCGTGCAAGGTTTTTTATACGGGGCAAACCAAACATAATACCCCTGGGGAAACGGGACACAATTTGGGTAATATATTGCACTGCCTGCGTAAGCAGGCAGTGCAATCGAGTCAGCAAGCTGACCGCGGGCAAGAAAAAAAACTAAAACCCTCTCGGATGGGATGCCATACGAGGGAGCCTCAACCCTAAAATTTTAGGGTTGATGCTCCCGAATGGCATGCCGTAAGCCAAGGGGTTTAATTTTTGCCCGCGGGATACATTTCGGGAGGGATCAACCCTAAACACCGGGCGGGTTCCCGTGTTTAGGGTTGATCCCTCCCGAACAAGTGTCCTGGTTTCCCCAGGAGTATTATTGTTTTTATACCCCGTCAAAAATTGTTGGTGTGAAATAGACACGTGTCAATATTTGAGCCCTACAGGACCAGTTTTGAACATAATTTGGGCCTCGCGTGAGCCAAATCCCAGAAAGTGGGACCTTTCGAGTAAACCTGGGGGTAAATATGAGAGAAATCTGAAAGTAAGGATCTAGGATATAGTTCCCCGCACCAAAAGGTTCTGCGGCGACGCAACGCAAGCAGCCAAGCCGTCAGTTTTAGTCGTCAATAATCTCATAGACTGCCTTTCGTGCCGTCGCTTGTCTTCGTTTGCAGTCGCTTCGCTCTCAGTCCTGCGGTAGCTGATCCTCCAATGGCGACCCTTCATCTTTCGCTACCCGTAGCCACGGCTCTGGTTAATAGTCGTTTGAGTCGCGATCACTTCAGACCGAGGAGACGAACAGTTACTGCTCAAGCCAGTGCGTGCAGCTTGTCGCTGGTTTCCCATCTTGTTCTCTCTCTTCATGTCCCTTTGTTCTATTTGTCTTGAATGTTCCTCCTGCATTGCGTCCAACTTATCTGGTTGGGATTCGATAGCAGTACGATTACTACCATGCGTTGAGGATGGAAGCAGGAACGTGATGCATTTTTTCAAGACTGACGATATCAACTGTAAACGAGAGCTGCTGAAGGACTGTCTCCTTGTTTCCGCGTCCCTGTCAGGCGGGGACAGCACGTTCACGAGTCCCAAGGCGGGGGCTGTTGGGGTGAAGCGGCTGCAGGAGGGAGCTGCACCCGGCACATACTACGGGCCCAAGTACCGCTGCCACTTCCCTTAGAACCTTGCTGCGCCTCACCTTTTACCTATTACCCCCATCGCCTGGCACATACTACGGACCCAAGTACAGCTGCTGCTGCCCTTAGAACCTTTCTGGAGCTCCCATATTCTTCCCCAGTCAACACACGGGCATCAGTTGTTGGCTTGATGTCGCGATGTTTCCCCGTTCTCACGTTCTGAGCCGTCGTCCCATATTCTTCCACGTTCTGAGCCATCACAGACCGTCGTTTTGAGTCAACTCGAAAGACTCTCTTGAGGCATTGTTCCTCGGGATGAGGTCGGTTGTGGGGCTTTTCCTAACTGTTTGCTGCGTGCGTGTGTGCATGTGTGCGTATGACTGGGTTTCTTATGCGTGTATCATGTATGCACTCTCATACATGCATGCCTGTGCCGTGTATGTGCACACATGACTCGATGTTGCAGAATCGACAACGGGAAGCCAATCACTGTGGAGTTCGACCTTGGATCTGAAACTGTACGTCCAATCGCAAATTTTGGATGTTATATGTTGCAAGCTCGGCTTTTGATGGAAAAGAATGCAGCTTTAAGTTAAGTCCCTGGTGAAGGCCAGCTCAAAAATGCCTCTTCTTGAAAGTGTATACTCGTTTCACTGCCCCTGAATGCCACACCCTGTACCACTCGTGACATTCACTGCAGATCACAGTGGAGTCAAGGGAGGGCGAGAACCTTCTGCAGCTGGCCGAGAGCCTATCATGGCCCTTCAAGAAGCATTTTATAGCCTCAGTACGGTCGTGCAATGTGCCATACCGCTCCTGCCTAACCGTTTGTGCTGTTTCCTGCGTTGCCACTCCCTTCCAGATCACAGTGGAGTCAAGGGAGGGCGAGAACCTGCTGCACCTAGCCGAGAGATGTGGCGCCATGAAGCCCTCTGAGGTACTCATTTGTAGTGCTACTGTAGCACGACTAATGCACCCCTATGGTAGTGGCAACAAAGGGAAAGGATCTTCTCTCCCACGTGGCCCCCCTCTCCCTCCCCACTGTATCAGACGTTTTTCTTTGAAAGGTCCTGCTGCCACTGAAACATACATCTCAAAACTCCCCCCCCCCCCCCCCCCGCCCCCCCCTCCTCGGGCCCATCACACCTCCCCTATGCCAGGAATTCTGCTTTGAGGGGACGTGCTGCCATTGCGAGATGGAGGTGGAGGGAGGAGCGAGTGAGGTGAGCACCCCATTGCACGGCAGATGATCGGCCATTACCTCACATGGCTTGAGCACGCTTGCTCAAATATCATGCCATACCTGCGAGACACATGCTGATAGGACCATTGATTTTTCATTCCCGTTCGCCACATCTTAACTGTCACCTGTGCGTGTGTGCAGGCAGGGTATCGCGCCATGGGTGGTTCCGACCTCATTCGCAGCTGCATCTGCCCGGTGAGCTGTGCATACACTCTCAGGTGCTTTTTCCCGCTGCAAACTGCATTTTCCGCCTGCAACCTGTGTCTCCCCCCTGGCCCCCCACCTCAAATTTATCTCCCCCTTTCAAACATTGCCACTGGAAACAGCAGCTGCATGCCAGATGCGTTCCTAGCCTATTCAAGGAATCTTCTTCGTAAACGCTCTGTTCCTTCCCTTCCCGTGCTTCCAGGTGCCGGGTCGTAACGGCGGCTCCCTTAAAGTGCGCATTCTCAGTGAGGAGGACGCGTGGGGGGATGGCGTTCTGTAAAGCTTGGCTGGGGTATAGCTAGTGGCATCTTCAGGGTGAATAAGGAGGTTTTTTTCTTGCCAGGCGGAGTGTGGCGGACAAATGTGCTATCTAAGTGGTATGTTGGCAGATGTTGCCATGCATTGTAATCAGTTCACTAACTAATCCCAATTTTCTTGCGCAGATCTCTCAATCCAGGCATCCCACTGTTGTAACTATGCGATACAATTATGCACAGGTTCACAGACAACCCAGATACAGAAACAAAAAAACATACAAAACAGCATTCTAACTACAAGTCGCAAGCTGGGCCACAAGAAGAAAATAGACCTTCCTAACAAGTACAAGCAAGTCCCCAGGCAGCTTCTATATATCACTGTCTCCTTCAAGACAGCTGCATTATAGACTGACTGGTGCATTCCTATTCACTGCACCCTATGGGGTGCTTCAGTGCCTCTCCAGAACGTCAAACAGTTCTGAACAGCATCGTTCTCCAGCCATCAACTCGTTATTCAGTGCCTATCCAGCACACCAAAGAGCTCAGTAACAGCATCATTCTCCAGCCACCAGGAGTCACCAGCATGAAGAGCGGCCTCATTCAACCTTTCTGCTTCTCTCTCATTTCCTGCTGCTGCTTCTTCTGATGCTCCTGCTGCTGTCCTTCCGTTCGTACCTGTTGCATTTCCGTTACTAACATGCCCGCGGTTGCCTGCAGATTCGTCATAAGCAGCAAAACCATTGGCTCCATTATAAGCTGCTCCGTTGGGCACGGGAAAAACATATGCAGCAGCTCCACCTTCGGAGGTAGAAGCAGGAAGAGTAGCATCCTCTACAACTGCCTTCCACATCCCGCCTTCACCCCACCCCCAATCGACATCGCTCTCCCCATCACCTTCAGTGCTGCCCTCAGAGCTGCTTTCCCCATAGTCTGTTAGTTCAGCCATCCACCTCCCATTGTCTCTGCGCACCTCTGCTTGTGCCTTTGCTTGCGCCTCTGCCTGTACCTCTGCTTGCACTTCTGCTTGTGCCTCTGCTTGCGCCTCTGCCTGTGCCTCTGCTTGCACTTCTGCTTGTGCCTCTGGTTGCGCCTCTGGTTGAGGGGCCGCCCACCACAGCCCATCTGCGTCTCCTCCACTGTTCACCACCTCCTCATCACCATCCACTGCTGCTCCTGGTGCTCCTGCTGCTGGCCCTGCCGCCGCTGCTGGTGCTGCTACCGAAGCACCAATTGCCACTGCACTAGCAGCAGCAACTGCTGCTGCTGTTGCTGGGGCTGGGTTTGCTGTTGGTGCTGCTGATGCAGCAGTCCTCCTCGGCCAATCACTGACCAGATAGGCACGCACTCGGATCTGCACCTCAGGCTCTGATTCATCATCGACCTTGGCGCTCGCTTTAGTCACATCGCTTGTATCAGCAGCAGCTGTGGCAGGAGCAGCCATTGGGGCAGGAGTAGTAGCTGTGGCAGGAGCAGCTGTTGTGGCAGCATCTACCAAAGGAAGCGAGCTGCTACCCACAGCAAACCCAACATCACCACTTGCAGCATCAGCAGTGCCACCAGCAACAACCCCTGATGCTGCTCCGTCACCCACAACCTTGGAGGCAGCAGAAGCAGCAGCAGCAGCAACAGCAGCAGCAGCCAGAGCAGCCTTACTGAGCGCCTTACCAGCAGCAGCCTTTGCTCCGGCCTTCACCACACTCTTCAGCTGCGACGAGAATTGCTTCAGCCTCGCACGCTTACCCCCCCTCCTGCTGCTGCTGCTGCTGCTGCTGCTGCCACCACTGCTGGTTCCGCTTACGCTTGCCTCTGCTTCCCTCCCCCGTTTTTCACCTGCAATAGGCTTCAGAGCTTCTCCGGCAGAAGCTGTGGCTCTGTTCCTCAGGTTTCTCAGGTTTCGAAGGTCCTTGAGGGCTTGTCCAGCAGCTTTTCTCGCTCCTTTAGCAACATTCTTAGCAGCTTCTGACTCTGCTGTGGCTGCCGCTGCCGCTTCTGCTGCTGCTGCTGCTGCTGCTGATACTGCTGCTGCGCCTGCTGTTGCTTCCGCGACTGCTGATGGCGCTGTTGTTTCTCCCTTGAACCTTCCTGGCCCAAACAGCCACTCTCCATCACTCCCCCCTTCTTCCTCGCTCCACCCCTCACTCCCACTACTCTCACTCTCACTCTCACTATCCTCATCCCTCGTTTTCCCACCCTCTTCTTCCCCCCCATCTCCGCCGAACCTGATCCGAACCTTCGTCTTGTTGGGCTTGCCGAACTTCCCCAGGACTGTGGTTCGGCCCGAGCCTTCCTCCACGTATGACTTGTAGGTCAGGACCAGCCGAACCTCGCCCTGAGGTGCGGGCTTCACCCCAAAGGGCCCGTCTTGTAAGAGTGGTAACCACATGGAGACTGGAATGCAGTCCTGCAGCTGATTCAGAGGAACCTGTGGTGGGAAGGGGGAGAAGCAGAGGTAAAAAAGGCCAATTTTAGTAACTGCAGTAGCAGCAGTAACGTGGTAACCATGTGGAGACTGGAATGCAGTCCTGCAGCTGATTCAGAGGGACCTGTGGCGGGGTTAGGGGGAAGGCAGAGTTTGATGAAGGCGCTCAATGTAACAGTGGTATGTGGGGTAACCATATGGTGGGTGGGATGCCACCAAGGGCTCTCCACGCAGAACAGAAAGTCCTGATTCCACACAGGGTCCCTGCAGCCTAGGAAGTGAGTGGCTAGTCATACGAGAAAGGCACTGCTGGTCTGGCACTCTCTCACCTGCACGAACCCCAAATCTCGTTGGAACAAGGCGGAATCTCGAACCACGACGGTCAGCTTCTGCCTCTTGGGGCTCTCCACGCAGAACAGGAAGTCCTGATTCCACACCGGGTCACCCAGGCCTGCGGGGGCTAGTCCTCCCTACCTGCGGGGCCAGTCTCAAGAGGGGTTGCTACCACCCACCTGCACGAAGCCCAGGTCTCGTTGGAACAAGGCCGAGACCCGCACCACCACTGTGAGCTTCTGCCTCTTGGGGCTCTCCACGCAGAACAGGAAGTCCTGATTCCACACCGGGTCCCTGACACCTGACACCAGCACATACTCCCTCCCTCGTCTCACAGCCACCAGAGCACTCACCTGCACAAACCCCAGGTCTCGTTGAAACAGAGCAGAGTCCCGCATCACCACTGTGAGCTTCTGCCTCTTGGGGCTCTCCACGCAAAAGAGGAAGTCCTGATTCCACACCGGGTCACCCGGGCTTGCCGCATGCGACGTCTGCCTGTTCCGCTTGCTCTCCACCACCGCCCCCCCAAAACCGACTTGTAACACCACCCACGCACCTGCACCAAGCAAGACTTGTAGAGCCCACTCACCTGCACAAAGCCCAGGTCTCGTTGGAATAAGGCGGAGTCCCGAACCACCACGGTGAGTTTCTGCCTCTTGGGGCTCTCCACGCAAAAGAGGAAGTCCTGATTCCACACCGGGTCGCCCGGGCTTGCCGCATGCGACGTCTGCCTGTTCCTCTTGCTCTCCACCACCGCCCCCCCAAACAGCAGCCTGCAGTACGGGTCACTCAGGAGCGAAAGCGGGCGGCTGAGAATCGCCAGGGGGCTGTTTTTCAGGGGGGAAGAAGGAGGAGGAGGTCTGGTGGGAGAAGAGGAAGAGCTGGAGGAAGGGGAGGGAGGGGAGGTGGGGAGGGAGAGGAGGGAGAGCGGCGAGGTGGGGAGGTTGCGGGCCTCGCAGAGAGTGACTGAGAGCTCGCCCTTAAAGGCGTCTGATGTGTCCCCCTGGAGGGGCGCGTGGATGGCGGACGAGGGGAAGGGGGTGGGGGAAGGGGAGGCGGAGGGGGTGGCGGAGGGGGAGGGGGAGGCGGAGGGGGAGGCGGAGGGGGAGGGGGAGGGCGAGGGGGAGGGGGAGGGAGAGGGGGCGGAGGAGGGGGCGGAAGAGGATGTCGTTGTGTTGGCAGGTGCGGTGCTGATTCCTGCTGCTGCTCCTGCTGCTCCTGCTCCGTGACTGCTCGTTAAACCAATGCTATTGCTGCTGGCGGCGGTGGCGGTGGTGTAGGTGCTGCTGCTGGTGCTGCTGCTGGTGCTGCTGCTGGTGCTGCTGCTGGTGCTGCTGCTGGTGCTGCTGCTGGTGCTGCTGCCACTACTGCCGTTGCTATTGCTGTCGGTTTCTCCCCAGTTCATGGCTGCTGGTGTGTTGAACATACTCCCAACCACAGCAGCAGCCACGTCAGCGCGCACATCAGCGCCGGCGTCCGTGTCCTCGTCAGCGTCCATGCCAGGTGGCAGGAAGTCCAGGCTGATGTGGCGCGGCAGCACGAGGAGCCGCGGGAGGTCCTCCGTTAGGAGCTTGGAGAGGAATCTGGGGGAAGGGGGAATAAAAGGGAGCGAGGAGGAGTGAAGAGGAGTGAAGAGGAGTGAAGAGGAGTGAAGAGGAGTGAAGATGAATGTTAGGGGAGTGTAAAGAGAGGAGACGCGGGAGGTCCTCTGTCAGCAGCTTGGAGAGGAATATGGAGGAGAGGAAGAGGGAATACAGGGGAGTGAGGAGGGATGAAGAGGAATGTACAGGAGTACTAAGGGATGTAGACGCGAGAGGTCCTCTGTCAGCAGCTAGGAGAGGAATCTGGGGGTAAGAGGGAAGAAAAGGGAGTGAGGAGGAGTAAAGAGGAGTGAAGATGAATGTTAGGGAGTGTTAAGAGGGGAGACGCGGGAGATACTCCATTAGAAGCTTGGAGAGGAACCTGGGGGTAAGAGGGAAGAAAAGGGAATGAGGAGGAATAAAGAGGAATGCATCCACATCCAAGTCATGCACGTCCACCGGCACCGTTCGAGGGCCCTCACAAGGTATCACTCACCCATACCTCTTCGTTCACAAGCCACACCTCCGCATCCACATCCAAGTCATGCACGTCCACCGGTGCTTGTGCGTGGGTGCATGTGTATGTGCCTATGCCAGTGAAACTGTGTGGTGTGGGTGTGCCGGTGCGTGCCAGGGGAAGGGGAGGAGACACTCACGGAATGCCGACAACATTCAACACGTGGAATGGCGCAAGCACGAGCTTGATTGTCGGAAGGCGCACGAACGCGAGAGACAGGCTGGCGACAAACGGCTTCTTGGGCGTCAGCCTTAGCTTCACCCACACCTCCGCATCCACGTCCAAGTCATGCACGTCCACCGGCACGGACCACTTCAAACCGCCCACCTCCAAATGCAGCCTGATCATACAATGCGCGTCCCCGGTATACCGCACCCCAACATGGTACTGCAAATCATCCGCCTTCCTGCTCGGCCGCTGCTGCACCGCCCGCACCGCAAACGGCTCGTAGTCTAGCGTAAACACCGCGATTTCCACCCGGGAGAACGGCGGCGGGAGCGTGGGTTGAAGCTTGTCAATGCTGCGTTGGATCCGGGTTACCAGCCAGGTTTCTATCGGCTGTCGGTAGACCTTCCACATCTTTTGGAGAACCATGTTGACCCACTCGACTGACTCCTTCTGCATCCCCACGCCCACGTCTGTCGGCGCGCCGAGCTTCCTGTCGCTGCTGCCGGCAGGAATAACGGCGCTTGTGCTGCCTTTTCCACTCGCTTTTGCGCTCGTTTTCGCACTTTGTTTTGTGCTGGAGCTACCTTTCGTGCTGGCTCCTGTGCTTCCTTTGCTGCTGGTTTTTCCGCCCGGTTTGCCGCCTGCTCTGGCGCCACCGCTGCTCTTGCTGCTGCTGCTGCTGCTGCTGCTGCTGCCGCACCGGAGCCAATTCCGAAGATCCGTGCCAGGCCTTTAAACCAGATGCCACCGCCGGTAATGCTGCTGAGGGGTTTCTTCATGGCCTTGCTGTCTCTGCTATCCTTGCTGCTGCAGCTGCCTCTGCTGCTGCTGCTGCTGCTGCTGCTGCTGCTGCTGCTGCTGCTGCTGCTGCTGCTCTCCCTGCCCTCCCTGCTCCCCTTGCTCTCGCTGCTACTTTGTTCACCTTTGAATGACTCCTGGCCAGTGCTGCTGTGCACTGCGTACCCGTTAACAGCGTGCCCGTTAACAGCGTGCCTTTTAACCGCGTGCCCGTTAAGAGCATGACCGTTGGAAGCAGCCCCGTTAAGAGCATACCCGTTAAGAGCAAGCCCGTTGGAAGCAGCCCCGTTAGAAGCATACCCGTTAAGAGCATTCCCGTTGGAAGAAGCTCCGTTCAACGCGGCGTATCCGTTATAAGCACGACCATTTCCGGCAGCCACTGGTCCGCCAAAGTCACCAGTATCCGCGTTATAAGCTGACCGATCCGCTGTAGCTGTAGCAGCAGTGGTAGCATTGGCTACTGCAGTGGCGTTAGAACCATGATCCACTGAAAGCAAGGCTCCGTTGGCAGCACGCTGAGTGGGGACTATTGCTGAGAAAGCCCCATTCGATTCTCCTGCTGATGATGTTTCTGCTGCTGCTGTTGCGATCTGGGGAGAGGAGATGAACGAGGAGGCGCGGGGCGGAAGGGAGGGAAGAAGGGGTGCTGCGACGAGTGCCTGTAGGGGGTGGTGACACAACCGAGGTTGGGGGAAACAGATAGGGAGAGACAGTCTTTGTATGGAGTGACACAAACGAGTGGGTGGGAACTGATAGGGACAGAGAAAAAAAGGAGAAGGTGGCATCGAGGTGCGGGAAAAAGTTGGCGGAAGGCGTTAACCGACTTCCGTCGATGGGCTCTTCCGTCTATTATCACCTTTCGTTTGTATCACCATGCGCACATTACCTGCCGTTCGTTTCTTCGGCGAAGCCAGAGAACAAGTGCAGTGGTCAGCAGAGCCGCGACTGCCCTGAGTGTGACAAAAAGGAGGCGGCGCAAGCTGTTAACCATCACCATCCGTTTGTATCACCTACCTCTTTCTCTGATTACCTGCTGTTCGTTCCGTCGGCGCAGCCAGAGAACGAGAGCGGTGGTCAGCAGCGCCGCGACAGCACCGAGTGTGACTAGAACGAGGTCGCGGATCGGCCCAGAGACCACCGCGGAGACGGCGGCCTCGATAATGGAACTCCCCGCCGCCGCCGCATGCGCACGCACCGGCTGTAGCCGCCGCTGCCGTCTCGGCTGTGCTACAGCTGCCGTCTGCAGCACCGTGTACGAAGGCTGCTGTGGGTGGAGTTGATTTGCCCGACTGCGATTGGTCCACGGGTTGATTCGCCCATGGGTGCCGACGAAGGATGATGAAGGGCTACTGAAGCACGACGGCTGTCGGTGCTGCTGCGTGTGTTTGCTCCTGCTCCTAGCCGCCACGAAGACGGACGAGTAGGGGCGATAGGAGTGGTGGGAGGAGGGGGCGAAGGGCGGAGTGCGGCGGGGAGCAGCGGGTAGGACTCTTGGTGAAGCATCAAGCGATAGGCGTGCTCGTTTCAGCAGTCGTTGCCGCTCCGAAAGCAATGGTTTTCCGAAAAGGGAGGGTCTGAGCAGCACACGAGACGGCGTCCGTAGGGAGGGTAACCGTCGGGCGAAAGAGCTTGTTTTCAGTTGAGAGGAAATTGGCCGAACGGTGAGCGTCGGACGACGAGAAAGAGCTACAGAGACGTCCATACTTTGTCGCCTATGGGTAGTAGCTAGTATAGTGCGCAACGCACGCTCGAAGAGCGCAACGCGCGTTCGTTGGCCGCAGCGCACGCTTACAGGTGGTAGATTGACCTAAAGTCGTTGAAACAGCAGACTGGGGAGGAAGTGCGCACGGTCATGACGATCAAAGGCTCAATATGAAGAGAACTCCACTATACGATGAGTGATCGCTTGTGAAAAAAGAATATGCTCTGGTGACACTAGCATCAAACCCGCATATGTGAGCGTTGTGGATGTTGGCGAGGAAGGCACGAAACGAAAGCTGCAAAAAGCGGGAAAGAAAGGGGTGGGGCAAATTACAAGTCTCCTCCGCTCGTGCTGGTCAGTCGTCTCTCACTCTGATCGACTCCTATTCAAACGAGCTCCACTGATCTCATCGGAGCAGGAAAGCGGAGCAGGGCGGGCGAATGCGTATGCGTGGTCACACATGCCCCTTCGCCAACCTGCCCATCGAATTCGCATCCCACACCGGTGGTGCAAACCTGCCCGCGGTGCGTCAGCAGCCAGCAATCGTGGTCAGGTAAAACATTCTGTAAGAGTTCAGGGCAGATGAAGGATGACTTTGGCAGTCAACGATTGGCTTGCTGGAGATTGCACTGTTTGATCATGAGGACCCAGTTGGGATGGGTTTGTTGAGCTTTGCCAACGCAGCGAAATTCATAGTTTCTTTCGAACCTTTCGCTCGCGTGTTCGGTCGGCCCAGGTCAACCTTTGGACAACCTCACGTGCGATACTGCCCTTGAATCCGCGATGTGCTTGAAAAAAGCTGCGTTGTTGGAGGATGCCTGGAGCTGGTCATATTGCAAAGTGCCACGCGTCCCTGAACTCATGGATTTCGGGATTCCCGTGCCAGCCCGGGAAAACAGATTTTCCCCGCTGACCTTTTCGGGCCCACTTTCCCGATCGGAGTACGCGTCAGCATGAGCTTGTCAGGTGACAGGTCATTCCTTGCTAGGCTGGCAGCAGGGCAACCTTGAAGAACCCGCACAGGAATTATCGTCGAAGAATTCTGGTTCACAATTCCTCCACAAGCGTACCGAGATTCTTCAAAGCAATGTAATCTAGATACAAACAATAGCTACTATTGAGTTCTCTCTTTACGCAACCAAAAGCTGCAAGCCATCGGTTTGCACAAGCTCGGTGCATTTCCCTCACGAGGTCCTAGAGTTCGGTTCTGTAAATAATGATTGGAATTTTCCTTTACGATACAGTGAGGTATCGTATGGTGGAGGTTCAATCACCACACCCTGTCGCATCTGTTTTAGGTCACCACGCTGCGCGCCGCTGCAGACACCAGAAGCGTCTATTTTGACCATCATTTCGTATCCCCGTTGAAGCGACGCTTTCGCCATGGCGGACACGTCGCCGTTCAGCTTGGCATCGTCGATATCCTGCCACGCGTGGAATGGCAACATGTCCAGTTGAGTGTCAACCATGCTCGAAGATGCTAATGATTGATGACCCGTTCGAGTTGACTACCGCTGCTGCTTCCTCTTTAACTGGGTTATATTCAGTGTTTCAGCTGCTTTCTGTGAAAACATTGGCGATCAGCAACATTCAGTGCCATTAGTTACGCTCAGCTCTTCCTCCTGATCAGGCTGTCTCCTCGTTGTTTCCGATCAGGAATTGCAACCTGTTTAGGGTACTGTTTTAGCCTAATGTGGAACGGCCTAATCTCATTTCAGTGGTGGCCATTACCTGTGTGTTTACTGAAAATTTTTGAATCTATTTTGCTTCCTCCCACACTGAACTCCTTCATTTTCCCTGGTCCATTTCAGTGGTAGCCGTTAGCCCGCGAACATCGGAGCTGTGGATATTCAAAGCTAATATCGCGGATGACGAGAAACAGTGGGAGAAGCTTCACACGCTGTCCAAGGTACACGCATTTGAAATTCAGGAGCACCAGTCTTGAACTTCAAGCAAACAGGACAGGAGAGTGATAGAAACAGTCATGCTCCAATTGAGGATAGAAGAGGTTTGTTTGAACTTTGCCCTAAAGCGCGAGATTCCTGGCCTGCATATTCCTTTCCACTTTCCCCTTCCCCCTCCACCACCCTCCCCCTCTCCCCCCTTTTCCTCCTCTTCCCATCCCACGAACGGCACGGCACGGCATGGTATGGCATGGCACGTCATGGTATGGCATGGCACGTCATGGCATGGTGGCTGGCTGACATTCTTTGTATGCTTGCCATGGCATTACATACTTGACTTCTCATGGAATGGCATGGCATGGCATGGCATGGCACTTTCCATCCATACGGCATGGCATGGCATGGCATTTTCGATCTATACGGCATGGCATGGCAGCACGAGGACCTCATATCAGGAGTGGACTGGGGCGCAAAGAAGAATCGCATCGTCACATGCTCTCACGACCGCAACTCGTGAGTCTCATCTGGGGAAACCCACAGTAATTTTTCTCTCTCCTGCCCCTCAACCATCATTGGATGGGTGGCATGGCAAGGGGCGAGGAGGAGTTGAGGGGTGCGTCTACTCTACACCACCCTCCCTCTCCTCCCCACTCTCACAACCCTCTCTCCATCTTCCTCTTTCTTCCTCTTTCCCCTCCCATGGCCCGTGCGGACAAGTATGTGTGGAACTGGGTGGAGGGGGAGTGGAGAGCAGCTCTGGGAGGGAAGGGCTGGACATGCGCTTTTAACCCAACCACACCCCCACTTCAACCCCCCTCCCTCCCCTCCCTTGGCCCGCACTGACTGACAGGTACGTGTGGAACTGGGTGGAGGGGGAATGGAGGGCAGCTCTGGTCATTCTCAGACTCAACAGAGCGGCGCTCTGTGTTGCATGGAGTCCCCAAGGTGAGGGCCTGAGGTATTTTGATTCGACAAAAAAAAAAAAACTTTTATGTTGACAAAATATCTGACTCAAGAGTCAACTAGGGGGAGGGTAATGGAGGGCAGCTCTAGAAATTCTCAGACTGAGCAGGGCGGCTCTCTGTGTTGCATGGAGTAAGGTGATGGTGTGACGAATGGAGTTTCCAAGGTGTGGGCGGGACGAATGGACGACATCAGCATAAATGGGCAGCGTCGCAAACAAGATTTGGGTCTTTATTATCCCTAAGAAATCGGAGCATCTGTGAAAAAAATGGAAATGTCTGTATGGACACGTTCTTGTTTACTGTGCAGAGAACAAGTTTGCAGTGGGGAGTGGATCCAAGACTGTCAGCGTGTGCTACTACGATGACGAGAACAGCTGGTATGTGCTTGTAACGAAAAAAGAACCACTGACATATTTACCTATGTGGAAAGAAAATGGTGTGTGACTATGTGAAGTGATAAAATGAGTATATAACCTGCACTCATGTGTGTGTGAGCGTGTGTGCATGCATGTGTCCGTGCATTTGTGTGTGCATGCATGTGTGCCTGCAGGTGGGTGAGCAAGGTGATTCGCAAGAAGCATGCCTCTTCAGTCACCAGCGTTGCCTGGCACCCAAACAACGTGAGTTGTTACACATGAGATCTCGAAGGTGGTTACCACCACCAGAACCACCAGAACATGAGTCAAGTGATCATGTTGCATGAGTCATATGTACACCTGATGAGACTCAAAAGTCAACTATCCAACCCCACTGTTTCCCTCTCCTCTCTCCACCCTTTTTTGATTTTTTTTTTTTTTTTTTTTTTTCCTGGAATGCTTTTCCCTTCTCCCCTCTGCGCCACCTCCTTCCTTGCAGCTTCTTCTCGCAACCACATGCACAGACAACAAGTGCCGGATATTTTCAGCAACCATTAAAGGGGTTGACTCGAAAAGGTACCCTTCTTTCCATCCGCTTAACTTAAACATTCTCACTTTTCGCATTCTTCTCACCCCATTCAATTACCCTCTTTACAGCTTTGCTAACAGCGCGTGTTACACTTCTTCTCTTTCTGGTCCTCTTGACCTCTTACCCTCCAACCCACGTTTTTCCTCTCTGTGCAGTTCAGAGAGCTCTTCCTCTGGCGGATTCTCTGGCAAGTTTGGTGAGGTGAGGCAGGGAGTGAGATGGGTGTTGATTCGAGGCGAGGAGTTGGCTGGGTGGTGAGGCGAGGCAGGAAATGGGATTGTCAGAGCCAGGAATGGGACACAAAGGGTTGGCTAGTTGTGAAGCTCGAGGCATACAACATCCGTTCAAATTAGACCCTCCCACTCGTCTTACCCTTTCTCCTTCGCTTACTCTCAATAGTTCATTACAATCTCTTCCTTCATCTGGCCTTTCCTCATCTCTTTTCCCCGTCTCTCCCCTTCCCTCCCCTCCCCTCCCTCCGCCTCCATCTATCCCTTTCTCCAAGCAGCAACTACTGCAGCTGGACTTGGCGTTTGGGTGGACCTTTGGAGCCAAGTGGTCGCCATCAGGGGCCAACCTCGCCTTCGTTGGTGAGTCAGTCAACCCTTGTGCGTCGTTGGTGAGCGAATCAGTCCCTTCGCTGGTCAGGTTGCCCTTGTAACTCTTGACTTCTGAGGTGACTAGAAAGTCATTTCCGCATTCGTTAGGGAGCTAGCCCTTTTCGCCCTTTGATTTATCCGATATGCTGTGCCCCACGTGCTCTGTGCCCCACGTGCTCTGTGCCCCACGTGCTCTGTGCCCCACGTGCTCTGTGCCCCACGTGCTCTGTGCCCCATGTGCTTTGTGCCTCATGTGCTGTGTGCCTCATGTGCTGTGTGTTCAAATGGCTACCCAGGCCATGACTCCACCATTCATTTCATCAACGACGTCGGCCCCTCTCTCACCCTCCATTCCATCTCCCTCCGATACCTCCCACTGCGTGATGTAAGTCTCACATCTTACCCCCCCACCTCCCCCTCTTACCTTCCTCACCTCTCCCTCTCCCGTGTATACCCTCCCCAACACCCCTCTCACCTCTCTTGTGCACCTCCATCTTCACTCTGCTCTTGCCTTCCAGGCTTCACCCTAAACCCTTAACACTCAAAAATATTTCCTCTCTTGCTCCCCTACACTCCTCATCTTAAGCATCTCAAACCCACCCTCCCCCTTTCGCCACTGTCCTACTCATATACCCCTGCCCTTCCCGTTTACTGCCAGGTTCTCTTCCTCTCCGATCGGCTGCTGGTGGCGGCTGGCTTTGACTACAACCCTATTCTCTTTAGTGCAGATGCCAATGGAACATGGTGAGTGAGTTGTGGGGAGGGACAGCGATGGCAGACGTGGTGAGTGCACAGATAGTGCTGGTGTGTGGCGGCTGGTTTTGACTACAACCCCATTCTCTTTAGTGCAGATGCCAATGGAACATGGTGAGTGAGTGGTGCTGGCTGCAAAAGCACGTAGTGAGGGTTGCTGACATCAGCGGCACGTGGTGATTGGTGCTGGCAGACAGCACTGGCACGTGGTGAGTAGTGTAGATATTTACGCATCATAGCATTCCATGCCATGTCATGCCACTCCATGCAAAAAAAAAAAAAAAAAAAAAAAAAAAAAAAAAAACACGATATCCTTTGTGTCCCTTTTCCCCATTAATGCACCCTCCCTTCAACACCTCCCCCCCCCCGCCCCCCCTCCTCCTACATTTTTTTCCCTTCTTCCCTCCTTGTGTCTGTATGCTCTCAGGACGTTTGTGAGAGTATTGGATGGTTCTGAGGAGCCTACCTCCACTGCCACTGGCGCTGCTCTCTCTGCAGTGCGTCCATCTCCTCTCCCTGCCTCCTGCTCATCCACCTGTTCCTTCTTTTCAGAGATTATTAAAAAAAACAGTCCATCATACTACCCTAGAAGTGTATGACCTTACCGCCTCCACAGCTGATGCCTTTTCCGTGCCCTTATCTCTCATCTGCTTTTGCAGTCTTTCCTCCGCATCATGTTTCTTTTCTCTACTCTCCCATGACCCCTTCTCTCACTCCTCAGAAGGACACATTCGGTCGATCGATGGAGCTTGACCGAATGTGGCGCTCGGGGGGTTGACCTGGCCACAGTGGCGGGGGTTTTCTCTGCTCAGGCCTGACTGACTCTCCTCCCAACGCCCCCTCCATTCCCGACGCGGAGCTCTTCTGAGACGTCTCAAAAGTTATCTCTCTTCTCCCAAATTCCTTCTCCCTCTCCTCAGAAGGACACATTCGGTCGATCGATGGAACGTGGGGGTTCTCTCCGCTCAGGCCTGACTGACGCTGCTCCCAACGCCCCCTCCATTCCTGACTCGGAGCTCTCTAAAGGGCCGAGCACTGTTCACCAGGACTGCATCACGTGAGTTGTCCCTTTGTGCAACAGACTGTAAGTATATCCAGAAAGGGGTTCCGTTTGTGCAACAATGGCTCATGTTTTGCCAAGTGGCAATGGCTCTCCAGAACCAAATTTCTATTATTGTTCTCCTTTGTTGCTCTTCTTTGTCTCATGCGTGGTTCCTTGCTGCAGCTGCATTCGGCCATTGGGATCAGCCGACGATTCAATCATTCAACAATTCTCGACCTCTGGTGAGAAATATAATGGCACACACGCAGCATCTTGACTGCATGTGGACCCTGGCACATTTTCTCGTACTCTTTTCACTCAACAAACCTTTAGCACACAGTATCACACTATATCTTCAGTTTGTTTCTGCAAGCACCACCCGAGTAAAGCGCTTGAAAGCCTTGTTACCAATATTTCATCCAACTTTCCCGTTGTTTTTTCTTGCAGGCCTGGACGGGAAAGTAGTGGTATGGGATGTGTCAGGTTTACATCTAGCTCGATACGCTTCGAGGCCAGGTCACTGAAAATGTAACTCGGTTGCTGTACTGCTTGAAGCATACAATGGTAAAATAATAAGACCATACAATGTGGACATTCCTGTAGGCGTGCAGCCCACTAACCACAGTTTCAGGGCACACAAGCGATGCATTGTGGAACAGCGGAAATCCCTGCAACGCGTGTGACTGGTGACAGCGGAGGAGGACGGTTTGCTTCCACAGCGTACGTACGTACGTCTCCATACACCCAACCAACTCCACCGCAGCAGGTTCATCTCTCGTGTACGCTCTCTCCTATTGGAAGCCGCTTTCACGCGGTTCATCACCGCTCTATCGTGGTTTCGTGGTATCCGCATGCTGAACACTTCGCCATACAAAACGCCAGGCAATCTGAACCGTCGAGATTCCTTACAGCACTAGCACTGCCGTCGGATCGACCAGCATTTCGACAATTTCGAGGTGGCGTGTCAGTCTCAGCCGCCAGTCGTTGCGCTGTCATCCCAAGGAACGCGCTTGTAGCGGATTACCATTTGACAACGCAACAAACCGAACGAAACCGTGATATCCGTTGAAAGGAAAAGCCATTCTCATCTCATCCCATCACGCCTGTTCACATATCTCAAACAGAAATTTGCTTTGCTTCAGGCTCGTCCTCTTCTCTACTTTCGTCCAGGTTTGGTCTGCCATCTTTCTCTTCAGTCTTGTGTGTTGGCCAGAATCGTTTTGAGGAGCAGCTTTGCAGTAAATTCGTAGTTGCTGATCAATTCTTCGACGGAATCTACGGAATGGTAGGGTTTGTGGAGAGTAACACAGTGTAGTGCTCGTCGATTCTCATATTCCCTTTTCTCGCCAGAGCACTTGAAGCGTCTAGTCGAAGCCATCCAGTCTCTGTTTCACGTTTTTGTTTTAAGATCGCTGTCGAGTCTGCTTTTGGCTTAGCGCACCTTTTGTTAGAGGTCGAGGGGGGTGGGGATGGGGAAGTTAGGGAAGGCGAAGGCGAAGGCGAAGGTGTCAGAGCAGCCGCTTAAGTACGTCGGTACGACAGACCCGATCGCCGCAGCGCGGAACGTGAAGTGGGCGCGAGTGGCGTTCTTTGTCGCTGTTGGAATTGATATTGCCTTCACTCTTGTAAGTTCAACCCCTCCTTCTAACTTTGAGAATTACGAGAAGTCTGATGATCGATCATCATCTTTCCAGAATTTTTTTCATTAGTAGTTTGTCCTGGCCAGACTGCGTGATTCGCTTCTTCTTTTGCTCTCTTTTCATGTTCTGTTCTTACTCTTTGTCTCTATCTTTCTCCTCTTTGTTCCTGTTCCTGTCCAGGCTCTGCACTATTCTCTCCACAACGCCTTCTGGACTCCCGATTTCAGCTCCTTCAGCGAATTCGTTAAAAGCCTGCTCAGCTTCAGATCAGACTCCCTCGACCTTATCCTCATCGCGATTATCAGAGCAATCTCTCTATCAATCCTGTCAGAAGTAGCTGCTCGGTACGCGTGGCAGGAAGGTTGGGAGCTTGAAATTCCGAAAAAGGAACAGAAGGGGAGGCCAGGAGGGGGATCAGGAGCCAATGCATCCAGAAGAGGGTCTCATGATATGAATGGGGGGTTGAACGCTCCGCTTCTGGCTCGGGGAATGGATAAGGAGAAGGAGAAGGAGGAAGAGGAGGAAGACGAGGAGGAGAAGAAGCACGAGGTGATATCATGGAAGAAGGAGGAGGAGGATCAGGGCTTTAAGGAGTGGATGAGCAATGTGTCGTCCAAGGACGTGACTGTCTTCGTCTCCTTCCTCCTCTGCACGTTCTTCCAGGTCCGTTATTTTCGAGATGTCTCATTAATCGTCGTCCAGGTCCGTGCTTCACTCTCGCGTTATTGTACTGCTCGTAACCTGTGCTTCATCTCTTGCATATTTCGTGCGAGCTGTTGCAGGGCTGGTTCATTTGTCTGCTATTCCCTGGTTCAGCAACTATCCCCCTCCTCTCTCCCCTCTCCCCTCTCCCTCTTTCTCCCCTGTCCCTCCTCAGGTGTATGTGGGCGCCAAGTGCGTCAGTTTTGCCTTCCCCAGCGAGTTCCTGCAGGGCTGGCTGATGGGGTCTGTGATGCTCTGGAACAACGCCGAGTCCACCCTCCTCTAACCCATCCCCACTCCCCTCCACCAATCCCGGCCCCTTCCATCCTCCCCCTCCAGGTGTATGTGGGCGCGAAGTGCGTCAACTTCGCCTTTCCCAACGAGCTGCTGCAGGGCTGGCTGATGGGGTCGGCCATCATCTGGATCAACGCCGAGTCCACCCTCCTCGGCAACCTCTCCGAGTGCAGCGGCGTGCTTGGCCGGGCGCTCGCACTAAAGGAGAAGGCGGAGCATGCACATGCGAATCCCCATGGGCATGGGCATGGACATGGAGCAAGAAGGAGGTCGTCCGATGGGGAGAATGGAGGCGGATTGGAAGTGACTACCTCTGCTGCCGGCTCACACGGCGTTACCAGGTCAGTGGGATCACACTCACAGGTCTCTGGCACCTCTGGTACCCCTGGTAGTACCTCTAGTACCTCTGGCACCTCTGCCATTGCTGGCTGATGGGGTCGGCCATCATCTGGATCAACGCCGAGTCCACCCTCCTCAGCAACCTCTCCGAGTGCAGCGGCGTGCTTGGCCGCGCGCTCGCACTGAAGGAGAAAGCGGAGCATGCGCATGCACATGCGCATCCCCATGGGCATGGGCACGGGCATGGGGCGAGGAGGCGGTCGTCCGATGGGGAGAATGGAGGCGGACTGGAGGTGACTACCTCTGCTGCCGGCTCACACGGCGCTATCAGGTCAGTGAGATCACATACACAGGTCTCTGACCTCTGGCATCTCTGGCATCTCGACTCTGGCATGGCATGTATGCCGGGGCTGGCTGATGGGGTCGGCCATCATCTGGATCAACGCCGAGTCCACCCTCCTCGGCAACCTCTCCGAGTGCAGTGGCGTGCTTGGCCGGGCGCTCGCACTGAAGGAGAAAGCGGAGCATGCACATCCACATCCACATCCGCATGGGCATGGGCATGGGCATGGGCATGGGGCGAGGAGGAGGTCTTCTGAGGGGGAGAATGGAGGAGGCGGGTTGGAGGTGACTACCTCTGCTGGAGGCTCACAAGGCGTTGCCAGGTCAGTGCATGGGTTTCATGAGTGGGCGTTGGGAATTGTCCTAGTTTTCCACCCGACCGACCCACCCGCCCACCTTTCTGGTTTGACTCTTGAGAAATTTTAAAAGACCCACCCACCCTTCTGGCCACCGTTTCTAGGTCCGTTCTTGACGCACAAAATTAGAAGCACAAACAAACAAACGAAATATACTTGAGGTCACAATGGGCTTATACGCCATCCCTGATTTCGTCTCACTTTTGCTTCTCCTTGTTTGCGTCTGGCCTGGTCCTCCCGTCCCCCCCTAAACCCACACCCGCAGCGGGGCAAAATCGAGCAGCAAGGGGCAGGGGGGTGAGGAGGCGCTAGACGAGACAGCTCTTAGAGGGGATAAGGGAATCCGAAAGGAGAAGGTGCTCACCCCCCGGCAGTACCTGCTGCGCTCCATTGGGCTCGCCTATAAAGAGCTGCCCCTTATAGTCACGGGCTTCATCTGCCTTGCTGTCACGTCTGGAGCAGGACTGCTCATCCCCACCTTTCAGGTGAGTTGCATCCCCATGCTACGTAGAACAAAACACCTGGAACAAACACATTTGTTTTGTTCTACGTGGTAACTGCGTCATGCTCTCTCGTCTCTGGCATACTTGGCAGCCTGCGCAGCCTCGGCTTCTCCCTCCCTGACTTTCAGCAGCCACTGCTTCTCCGTGCTGGCTTCACTCGCTTAACTTTGAGGCGCAAAGGTCCCCTTGCCCCTGTCTCCCCTCGCTCCCACCTCTCCCGATTCCCACCTCCCTTTTTCTCCCTCCCTCAGGGCCGTATAGTAGACGACGTGAAGGACGCCCATGCAGACAAGGCCAAGTTCCACCAGGACGTGCTGGCCATGGCGCTCTGCTCGCTCATCACCGGCATCTTCGGCTTCCTGCGCGGCCTCTGCTTCTCCATCCGTCCCACCATTCACCCGCCTGCGTCTCCCTTGCCCCTGAGCTGGGCCCCTTTCTCTGTCCCCCAGGGCCGTATAGTAGACGATGTGAAGGACGCCCATGCGGACAAGGCCAAGTTCCATCAGGACGTCCTAGCAGTGGCGCTCTGTTCGCTCATCACCGGCATCTACCCTCTCCCCGCTCTGCCCTCTCTACTCTCCCCACTGTCCCCCAACCCCAGGGCCGTATAGTAGACGACGTGAAGGACGGGCAGGTCGATAAAGCCCAATTCCATCGGGACGTCCTAGCCATGGCGCTCTGCTCGCTCATCACCGGCATCTTCGGCGGACTGCGTGGCCTCTGCTTCTCCGTCGTCGGAAAACGGATCCTCAAAACCCTCCAGGACAAGCTCTTCGAGGGCGTGATCATCCAAGACATCGCGTATTTCGACTCGACAACCACTGGAGAGCTGACTTCCCGGTTGACCAATGACGTCGCTGCGATGAGCGAGCCGATTAACTGGCAGCTGTCGGCGCTGGTGCGGAATCTGGCATCGCTGGTGGGCGGTGTGCTGCTGTGCTTTGTGACGTCGTGGAAGCTCAGCATTCTCGCGTTCACCACCATGGCGCCCATTCTGCACATCACCGCGGTTTACTCGCGCTGGTCGAGAGATTTGAACAGGAAGCGATACGCGGTGAGTGGCTGGTGGGGGAGGGAATGGGTGGTGGTGGGGGACGGTGGATGGGAGAGGGAGGGGGAGGGAGGTGGGAAAGTGTGTCTGTGTGAGAGTGTGTGGTGGAAAGGGCACACACGGAGCCAATCAACTGGCAGCTGTCGGCGCTAGTGCGGAACCTGGCGTTGCTGGTGGGCGGTGTGCTGCTGTGCTTTGTGACGTCGTGGAAGCTCAGCATTCTCGCGTTTATCACCATGGCGCCCATCCTGCACATCACCGCTGTGTACTCGCGCTGGTCCCGGGACCTTAACCGTAAGCGATATGCGGTGAGTGGGATGGGAGGTAGGGGTAGAGGGGGGTGATAAGGCGTGGGTTACGGTGCATACAGCACGGTGCAGTGTTGTGAGGCGTGGGTAAGGTTTTGTTCAGTACGGTGCGGTGTAGTGAGTGGGCGGCGTGCTGCTGTGCTGTGCTTTGTGACGTCGTGGAAGCTGAGCATTCTCGCGTTTACCACCATGGCGCCCATTCTGCACATCACGGCGGTTTACTCGCGCTGGTCGAGAGATTTGAACAGGAAGCGATACGCGGTGAGTGGTGGGTGGGAGAGGGGACGGGGGATGGGGAACGGTGGACGAGGGAGCGGGGGAGCGGAAGGGAGAGGGGTGGGATGGGGGGGGGGGCAGAGAGGTTGTCTGTGTAAGAAAGTGTTATGGAATGGGACACACACAGAGCGGATCCAGTGACATCCATCCCTGTGGCCTCCCCCACCGTATCAGGTGCTAGCAGAGGCGAACAGTGCAGCATCAGAGTCTCTTTCCAACATCCGCACAGTGCGAGCATTCTCCACAGAGACAGTGGAGAGGGAGCAGTACGAGAGCAAGAGAGCAAGACCATGCCCTTCCATCCCTCATCCGACCTCTCCATCCCTCTCTCCCCTCCCAGGTTCTTGCAGAGGCAAATAGCGCAGCATCGGAGGCTCTATCCAATATCCGCACAGTGCGGGCATTCTCAACAGAGGGGGTGGAGAGGGAGAGGTACGAGAGCAAGACCATGGCGGCCATGACCAAGGGCGTGAGGGACGCCCTCGCCTACTCCGGTGCCGTTGCCATCAACAACTGGCTCGACCTGGGTGCCTCTGTGCTCATCCTCTGGTGGGTCTGGACTTTAGGCTTCTCAATGTGCTGTTCTGGCCCCCGTGGATTGCCTCAAGTGCCGCTCCTCTTGGCCAGTGGCTGGGCGGTGGAGTGAGGGAGCGGTATGATAGCCCAATTTCCCTCAAAAGAGGGCGTGGAGAGGGAGAGGTACGAGAGCAAGACCATGGCGGCCATGGCAAAGGGCGCGAGGGACGCCCTCGCCTACTCGGGTGCTGTCGCCATCAACAACTGGCTCGACCTGGGCGCGTCTGTGCTCATCCTCTGGTGGGTTTCGGCATCCTGTGTTTAGCGTGTGTGGTGGGCGTGTGCTGGGCGTGTGCTGGGCATGTGATGGGCGTGTGCTGGGCGTGTGCTGGGCGTGTGCTGGGCGTGTGCTGGGCATGTGTTGGGCGTCAATGAATGTGGGTTGCCAAGCTCCTCATTCTGCTTCCCTCTTCCCACCTTTCATGTCCCCCATGTTCTCTATCTCCCAGGTACGGAGGAGTGTTGGTGATGGAGGGGCACATGCGGCTGGGCCAGCTGATAGCCTTCCAGCTCCACTGGAACCTCATCCAGTCGGGGTACCAACATCCTCATTCCGTCTCCCTTTTTCCCCCTTCTCCCCATTCCTCTCCCCCATTCCAACGCCCTCAGGTACGGAGGAGTGTTGGTAATGGAGGGGCACATGCGCCTGGGGCAGCTGATCGCCTTCCAGCTCTACTGGAACCTCATCCAGTCGGGGTATCAGAGCATCATGTCTGTACTCATGTCGCTCACCAAGGCCTCTGGCGCTGCCCAGAGGGTGCTCTCCCTCATCGACTCCCTGCCAGACATCGACCCCGATGCCGGCACCAAGGTAGGTGCAGGGTGGGAATCTAACCAGCAGCAGAAGCAGCAGCAGCAGGTATGGGGTTTCAGTCGGGGTATCAGAGCATCATGTCTGTACTCATGTTGCTTACCAAGGCCTCTGGCGCTGCCCAGAGGGTGCTCTCCCTCATCGACTCTCTCCCAGATATTGACCCTGATGCCGGCACCAAGGTGTGTGGGAATCTGACTAGCAGAAAGCGGTGGGTGTGTGGAGTGGGGGGTCCAGTCGGGGTATCAGAGCATCATCCTCTGCAGTGCATGCCCCCCCCCGTCGACTCGCTGCCAGACATCAACCCCGATGCCGGCGGCATGAAGGTGGTGGTGTCTGTGTGCGTGCGTGTGAGAGAGAGAGAAGCGGATGGTGTCTGCAGCGCTCCATTCGCATGGAGGGCCCACCCACCACATGCGTGCACTTCCACAAAGTCACCATTTTTCATTCCATGTGGTGTCTTGCACTCTGTTACCCCACCATCATTCCCCAGGTGTCCACGCTGCAGGGCTCCATCCGCATGGAGGACGTGCACTTCCACTACCAGATGCATGCCAAGCTTCACTCACCCCTCCTTGCACACTGTTTCCCCACTATCAACCACCAGGCGTCCACGCTCCAGGGCTCCATCCACATGGAGGACGTGCACTTCCACTACCAGATGCATGCAAGCAGCACCCTTATCAACCTTACATTCCATGTCATCCCTTGCGCTCTATTTGGCACACTATCAACCCCCAGGTGTCCACGCTGCGGGGATCCATCAGCATGGAGGACGTGCACTTCCACTACCAGATGCGCCCAGAGCACCCTGTGCTCAAAGGTGCGTCACCATAGCATCCTCCCCAAGTAGCGCGCCCTGCCCTATTTCAGTAGCGCCCTGCCCCAGAAGCGCCCTGCTTGAGTGTCACTTCCTGACCTCCGCTAGTAGTGCCCCTACCCTAGTGCTGCTGTCACTTTGTGCTGCCCCAATGTACTTCCTTCCACTTTGTGAACCTCCCGTACCGACTTTCAGGAGTATCTCTCCACGTGGATCAAGGTCAGGGGTGTGCCCTGGTAGGTCGCAGTGGTGGCGGCAAGTCCACAGTCGTGCATCTGCTCATGCGCTTCTGCGATCTCTTCTTGTCTTCGCCTCCCTCTCACTCTCCCCATTCCTCCTTCCTCCTCTCTCCCATTTCCTACTAACTATTTCAGGAGAATCCCTCCACGTGGATCATGGCCAGGTGTGTGCGCTGGTGGGTCGCAGCGGCGTTGGCAGGTCAACAGTCGTGCATCTCCTCATGCGATTCTACAATCCCGTGCCTCGTTCCGTGTTCTCTCTGATCCCGCATATCCCCCCTCCTTCCTCACACCCCTTCAGGTGTATCCCTCCATGTGGATCCAGGCCAGGTGCTGGCCCTGGTGGGTCGCAGTGGGGGCGGCAAGTCAACCTTGGTGCATCTGCTCATGCGCTTCTACGATTCCTTGTTGTGCCCCCCCTCCCTCTCTCCGTCTCCCGTACTCGTTCCCGTACTCCCTTCAGGAGTGTCCCTCCATGTGGATCCAGGGCAGGTGCTCGCCCTGGTGGGTCGCAGCGGGGGCGGCAAGTCGACAGTCGTGCATCTGCTCATGCGATTCTACGATCCCGTGCAAGGCCGCATCGTGATGGACGGCCGAGATCTGCGCGAGCTGAATCTACGGTCGGTGCACGCGCACATGGGGCTGGTGGCTCAAGATACTCAGATGTGGGCATGCAGCATCGAGGAGAACATTGCATATGGCTTGCCGTGTTACACTCGAGCTGAAGTGGAAGAAGCTGCCAAGTGAGTCTGGCTGTGCTGAACACGTGCATGCACATAAGGCTGGTTAAAGCATGAGCACATGGGGCTGGTGGCGCAGGACACGCAGATGTGGGCATGCAGCATCTAGGTTAATATTGCGCATGGATTGCCGTGCTACACTCGAGCTGAGGCTGAAGAAGCTGCCAAGTGAGTGTCTCTGGGAGATGCAGCACAAGGGGATGTAGCGAGGTTGCGTTCGCACACATGGGGAAGAATTCGAGGAGAAAACTTAAATGTGTCTAATCTATTTGCTCTCTGCTCTCCTCACATCCCTCCCTCTCAGGCATGCCAACGCACATGATTTCATCACCAAGTTCCCTGAGGGGTATGCCACGCGTGTGGGGGAGAGGGGAGTGCGGCTTTCAGGCGGCCAGAGGCAGGTGAGAGCAACAAATTCTAAATGCCACCAATCAAATGTCACAGGTCAGCTTTTGACGCACATTAAGATATGCGCTGTCAGAGGTTGTATTGATTAAGATACATTAAGAAATCAGTGTGCCGAGTCCTCCACCTCCCTCTCCCTCACCTCTCTCTCTCTCTCTCTCTCTCTCTCTCTCTCTCTCTCTCTCTCTCTCTCTCTCTCTCTCTCTCTCTCTCTCTCTCTCTGCTGCAGCGCATTGCTATTGCTCGCATGCTGCTGCGGCGTCCGCGGGTGCTCTTATTGGACGAGGCCACGTCAGCACTGGACGCGGAGAGCGAGGCGCTGGTGCAGGGCGCTCTGGACCGGCTGATAGCGGAGGGCGGGCGTACCATCGTGCTCGTGGCTCACCGGCTCTCCACCGTTCGCAATGCTGACAGCATATGCGTGTTGGAAGGGGGAAAGGTCGCTGAGCATGGCACACATGAACAGCTGCTGGAAATACGTGAGTCGCTGGCTGGGTGGGTGGGTAGGTAGGTGCGTGGCTGGGTGGGTGGGTGGGTGGGTGGAGGGCGGGCACACCATCGTGCTCGTGGCTCACCGACTGTCCACCGTGCGCAATGCTGACAGCATCTGCGTGTTGGAAGGGGGAAAGGTTGCTGAACATGGACGCACGAACAGCTGCTGGAAATACGTGAGTGTTGATGGGGGGTGGATGCGTGGGTGGGTGGAAGGGAGGCGCACCATCGTGCTCGTGGCTCACCGGCTCTCCACCGTTCGCAATGCTGACAGCATCTGCGTCCTGGAAGGGGGACGCGTGGCAGAGCATGGAACTCATGAGCAGCTTCTCGAAATACGTGAGTGTTGATGGGTGGGTGGGTGGGTGTGTGGGTGGAGGGAGGCGCACCATCGTGCTCATGGCTCACCGGCTCTCCACCGTGCGCAATGCTGACAGCATTTGCGTTCTGGAAGGGGTGGCGGATCGCTAAGCATGGGACGCACGAGCAGCTGTTGGAAGTACATGAGTGGCTGGGTCGGTGTGTGAGAGAGGTCTGACACTAGAGACCGCCAGCACAGGACCTTAAATTGTTGTCATCCCTCATTCTTTCGCAGACATCCTCTGTTGTCTCCCTGCCCCTAACCTATGTTCTGGTACTTTTTGTTGCCACCTGTGCATCCCTTGCAGCAAATGGAGTGTACGAGCGCTTAGTGCGACGGCAGTTGAGCAAGGCAGCCAATACGCTTGGGGGAATCGAGTCATCAGCAGCAGCAGCCGACAAGCATGACCGTATTGACAATTTGATAGAGGAAATGCACTGAGGTGCACTAGTTTGCCTTAGCACAGTAACCAGGTGATCTGATCTGGTCTGCTCAACAGCCATGATATAGTTGAGGTTAGTGATATTCTTTTGTGAGAATTTGTCGAGGTTCCCACAAGTTTGCAGTTGCAAAATAACAGTTCGGAAGTTTCACAGAGTTGCAGAATACTGGAGTCAGGACCCACACAATCTAGGCAATTGAACATTTGTTGGCAGACAGGCATTGGGTGACAATTTCATTATTATTTCATCATCCAGTCAATGCCATAAGCAGGGAGTTATACCACTTTTCCTGTTTCAGAATCCCATTTCATTTTTGTTTTGGTCCCCGTGTGGGGAGGGGTGCGCCTTCCTCAGAGGTAGTGCAATACTGAGGCGACGCGCGCAGGGCCGACCAGCAAGCTGGCCATTGGCACCTGCCCCCGAAAGAAATTAATTTAATATCATGTGGACCGATGGCCCACGTATCAGATATTAAACTGATAAGAACAGATACTACACTTGATCTTAGCCAAAAGGCCGAGAAAGGTATGCCTTCACCTATTCAAACTTTCGCTCTTATTTTTCGAATTCTAGCCTGTCCGACTCTGCAGTATGGGACAGATTGCTGACGTGGTTAGCTGTTGGCTTTCCTCGCAAAACATACATCCGTTCAACCCAACCTTGTCAGCCTCCTAGTGCTTCCCCGTCCCTCCCTATCCTTCGTTCTGGCTTGTGTGGGGTGTCTTACGAGCCTGCCTTCCACAGCACCAGCTTACACAGATTGGCATCGCCGCTTTGGCGGCAGCTACGGTGGCGCGTCAGTCCTCGTAGCCTTAGGTTGGCGCTTTGGTTTTTAACAGCGATCGTCTTTTAATCCGGCGAAGAGAGGCACTGTATACGGCCTTAGTACTTGAGAGTGCAGTTCTCGTCGGGCTGCATCTCTTCCGTTCGTTTCCCTTCTTGGCTCTGATTTCACGATGTTATTAATGCTTTTGATTTCATAATTCAGGCTTCCGTGGTTTCCGTGTCGTCGCTTGCTCGGGGCGCACTGCTGAGCGTTGGGGAACTAACTCACGCTCAGGATGTGCGCTGTGACTTGAGGCTGCGTCTGATAGCCAGGCTCCTTGCGGTTCTTCGCGGCGCATTTCCTAGATTCTTGTTCCGTGCCAACGGTTCACAGCTTCAATGTCCCCTCCCTCTTCCGTCCAGGAGTTTCTCAAGAAGTTCCTACATTTTGCGCGTTCTTTTTTCTTCTTTTTTTCCACCGCCTTGCCTTACAGTTATAGCTTCCTGACGAGTCGTGCCCGTCACACGCAACGCTACTGCTCTGCCTGTTCCGCGTATCTCCCGTTCTTCCTTCCGTAGTATACCTCACTTTCATTCTAAGCATCGCAGACATCATGTTAACCGTGCTACGATATCCCGTATCCCTTCTCACAATCCTCATACGCCCTCGTATGTCCCGCGCTAAACATGGAGATTTGTATTCCTCGTTCGCGAGGTGATTATTCCTCGTTTGCTTACTTTCTGAAAACGGGTAGCCGTTTGTTCCGCTACTGTATTGCTAATGGTTCCGACAGGCTAGCATTTCTGTCAGCTTGGTGCTGCAAGGCGTTGTGCTGCATTTGTGGGGTGAAATGGCTTCCGCTTTGTACTCGCTTCTGCGTGTTTCGCGCTTGCTGCTAAACTGACAGTAGGTAACAACTGTTAAGGGCTATCAATTTCCAGAGGACTTTGATTGGTGTACCAATATACCGTATATTTCTTCAAATCATCTCTAGTGGCTGCTTATACTAATATGATCCTAAACTTTTTATTTTGCCAGTTGACCTGCCTACAGCGTTTTGGGTGTTAGAAGCTCCCTTGGCACAGAAATGCTGCCAAAAGATGGTTAGCAGATCCGTTACCTGCTTTTCTTTTCCTTTTTCCTCGGGGAAGAAACTGCAGATACTGTAGCAGCGGCGGTGCTGATCCTGTTGTACACTGATCTGGTTGTAGCTGAGAGAAAGATGACGCGCACTGTTCCAGGCTGGCTGTACCTGGAAAGCATTTTCCAGGCGCTTTCAAAGCATACCGGACTGGCATGGCTCAAATTTCTTGGCACGGGTACAGCCTGTTGCTTTACTTAGCACGGAAGTCGTGCCGGAAGATGGTGAGGTTCTGGGTGAACTTGTCTCGGTTCTTGGGGTCCAGGTTTCGCCCCACATCCGCCATCAGCTTGTCAAAGCACTCCGCTATGCGCGGCCGCTGGTCCGATGGCTGGGGAGAGGGAGATGGGGATATATTGACGTTGTGCAAAGGGGAGGAGGGAGATAGGTGGAGTAAGATACAAGGAGACAGGGATGTAGTGAGTTGGGGCCATGAAAGGCTACTGAAGGAACGAGACAACAGAGAACGGAGGATGCTGGAAAACTGGTATTTGGGGTCAAGGTTCTGACGCACACCCCCCACTAGATGGGCGTGCGAGTGCGTGCGTGCGTGCGTGCGTGCGTGTGTGTGCATGACAGCATGGACAACATGGGACAATGTGTGTGCCTGTGTGTGTGTGTGACTCCATGAACGTTCATATGTATGCACGCGCACAAATGACATACTTGAGAGGCGAGTATTTGCAGCTTGAGGTCGTTATAGAGTTGCGCGTTGACCAGGATGAGAGCGATGAGAGAGGAAGATACGATGTGTGTGCATAAGCCTCCCTGTGTGTGAACGTGCGTGTGTGCATGCGTGCATGCACAGATGACATACTTGAGAGGCGAGTATTTGCAGCTTGAGGTCGTTATAGAGTTGCTCGTTGACCAGGATGAGGGAGAGCATGGGTCTGCTGAGGCTCCACTGGTTGGCACAGTCCTCGAATAACACAATCTCGAATAATGTCTTGAGGATCTAAAGATGCGGGAGCGAGAGCAGAGGGAGGAGAGGGAACAGAGGGAGCCGAAAGAGCAGGCGAAGCAAGGAGAGGAAGTGGAGATGAAATGACAGGGACAACATGGCTCCACCCCTCGCACTCCAGTAGTTAATCAGAGTTCAAATCAGTGACCGCCATCAGAAGCGGCTTGAAAGAGCGTGGAAACAACTTGCCTCGGGGAAGAGCGTGGGGCACTCGGCCAAGTGTTGGGCGATGGTGAGCGCAGCAGGCGAGGAGGGCATTCGTGATAACTGATAAGACGACTCTGTTATGTGAAGAATAGCATGCAAGGCTGCGTGGAAACAACTTGCCTCGGGGAAGAGCGTGGGGCACTCGGCCAAGTGTTGGGCGATGGTGAGCGCAGCAGGCGAGGAGGGCATTCGTGATAACTGATAAGACGACTCTGTTATGTGAAGAATAGCATGCAAGGCTGCGTGGAAACAACTTGCCTCGGGGAAGAGCGTGGGGCCCTCGGCCAAGTGTTGGGCGATGGTGAGAGCAGCAGGCGAGGAGGGCATTCGTGATAACTGATAAGACGACTCTGTTATGTGAAGAATAGCATGCAAGGCTGCGTGGAAACAACTTGCCTCGGGGAAGAGCGTGGGGCACTCAGCCAAGTGTTGGGCGATGGTGAGCGCAGCAGGCGAGGAGGGCATTCGTGATAACTGATAAGACGACTCTGTTATGTGAAGAATAGCATGCAAGGCTGCGTGGAAACAACTTGCCTCGGGGAAGAGCGTGGGGCACTCGGCCAAGTGTTGGGCGATGGTGAGAGCAGCAGGCGAGGAGGGAATTCGTGATAACTGATAAGACGACTCTGTTATGTGAAGAATAGCATGCAAGGCTGCGTGGAAACAACTTGCCTCGGGGAAGAGCGTGGGGCACTCAGCCAAGTGTTGGGCGATGGTGAGAGCAGCAGGCGAGGAGGGCGACTTTTGAGTCGAGTCAAAAGTCACCTGAAAGACAGACGATAAAGAGTGTGTGTGGTGGCTTGCCTCGGGGAAGAGCGTGGGACACTCAGCCAAGTGTTGCGCGATGGTGAGAGCAGCAGGCGAGGAGGGCGCATCCCCTGCTGGGAATGACGTTGTTGAAATAATAGGCTGCTAGGTTGTCCACTGCTGAGGCGCACTGGAGTGACATGGGTTGAAGGATGGAAAGGGAAAGAAAGGAGGGAGAGGTATGAGGATTCGAGAGTAGTTGAGAAGAGAGGGAGGTCAGAAATGGTCAGCATGGTAAGAAAGAAGAGAGCACTTGAGCCCATTCCTGACCTCCACTGGTATCCTCCATTGGTAAGCTTGATACCTCCATTCGTATCCAGCGACCCTACCAGGTGGCTTAAGTCTGTGCTACCAATGTCATACCCACCCTACATTCTAGATCCCATCCCTCTTTTCTACCTCACACTCCTCACCTGAGACGAGATGGAGACGTCCAGGCACTTGAGCCCTGTGTCCAGCGATCCCACCAGATGGCTAAACGTGGCTGTGGGAAGGTTGACAGTTTGATACATGAGCTGCCAGCCACGCATTCTGCAACCCGCAACCCAACAGCACACCAATCTCCACTCATCCACACCCCTCTACACACCTGCGAGGAGATGGAGACATCCAGGCACTTGAGCCCTGTGTCCAGCGACCCCACCAGGTGGCTGATCGTGGCTGTGGGCAGGTTGACCGCCCAAGGGGATGCTGCCTGCTTCCCTTGCTGTGTGAAAGGCGTGCTATTAAACACCCACCCACCTCAACTAGCCCCTCTTCGCTCTCTACTCACCTGCGAGGAGATGGACACGTCCAGGCACTTGAGCCCGGTGTCCAGCGACCCCACCAGGTGACTGCATGGGCTGCTAGCAACCACACTCCCACCCATGCGATCTAGAATCAACCTTCCAACCCTCTTCACCCCCCAAAGCCCGTACCTGAGACGAGATGGACACGTCAAGGCACTTTAGCCCTGTGTCCAGCGACCCCACCAGGTGCTACCAACAACACACGCACCATGCGATCCCCATACCCAACCCTCCCAACCCATCCTCCCCCAACCCCCACGTACCTGCGAGGAGATGGAGACGTCCAGGCATTTGAGCCCGGTGTCCAGCGATCCCACCAGGTGGCTGAACGTGGCTGTGGGCAGGTTGATAATGACGAGCGTGTGATTGTGACAGAGCACCTCTAAGAACGCAAAGTACGCTCGGGCCAACTGTGGCAGGCATAGGGGGGAGGGGGGGAAAGAGAGGCAGAGAACGTGGCTGTGGGCAGGTTGATGATGACGAGCGTGTGGTTGTGACACAGCACCTCTAAGAACGCAATGTACGCTCGGGCCAACTGCGGCAGGCATAGGGAGGAGGGGGGGAAAGAGAGGCACAGAAAGTGGATGTACGCAGGTTGATGATGACCAGCGTGTGGTTGTGACACAGCACCTCCAGAAAGGCGAAGTAGGCCCGGGCGAGCTGTGGTGTGGGGTATAAGAAGGGTGGCATGGGAGACAGGCGTCAAAAGAGACGGTGGCTGAACGTGGCTGTGGGCAGGTTGGTAATCATGAGCGTGTGGTTGTGACACAGCATTTCCAAGAACGCAAAGTATGAGCGGGCCAACTGTGGGGGGACGTATTGGGTGGGGGAGAGAGGGAGTGGAGATGGCTGATCATGGCTGTGGGCAGGTTGATAATTACGAGCGTGTGGTTGTGACAGAGGACCTCTAGGAAGGCGAAGTATGCCCGGGCCAGCTGTGGTAAGGAGTAGAAGAAGGGGCGGGAGGGGGAGACAGGAGTAGGCATCAAAGATGGCGGTGGGCAGGTTGATGATGGCGAGCGAGTGGTTGACAGAGAACTTCCACGAAGGCCAAGTATGGAAAGCAATGCGTGTGGGCCAAATGTGGGATAGGGAACAAATAGAGGTGTGTTGTAAAGAGAAGAACCAAATGAGAGGAATGGAAGAAAGAAATGCGTGCATGAGAGCAAGGACGGCACGCACACGGAACACGGAAAAGAGACCTGTGTGGAACCCATGGTTTGAAATAGATGGGAGGTGTGGCAGATACACGAACCTTTCTGAACGCCATGATCTCAGGCAGAGGGATGGAGAGGCAGAGCTTGAGTGCGACGTCGAGAGCATCGGGGTGACTTCCGAATCGACTCAAATAAAGGCAGAGAAACGAACCTTTCTGAAGGCCATGATTTCAGGGAGAGGAATGGAGAGGCAGAGCTTGAGTGCCACATCGAGAGCATCGGGCAGAGCCGTGTCTCCATACAGCTCCATCACTCCGAAATTGACATAGTTCCCAGCCAGGGCTGCATTGCGGAACACGGGGAAAGGAGGGGGGTGAGGCAAGGCACGTGGCGTATGGGGGGAGAGGGAATGAGAAGAGGGTGGCACTGTAGGCCTTTCAAGTGCATGAGAGGCAGGGCCGTGCCTCTGACCAGCTCCATCACCCCAAAGTTGACTTAGCTGCCAGCCAAGGATGCATAGGATAAGGAAACCGGCCAGAAGAAGACAGTGTGTGTCATCCAACCAAACTCCCTCGTACTTGTGTGTATAGGTGTGCGCCGGTGGGCATGGCCAGGGCATGCACGTGTACGGGTGCATGTTGCAAGGCAACCGGGGATTAGTAGACTCGTCATACCTCTAGTTAACACCGTCAGTGCGATCCACACGCCCTTGTACTTGGCTGTGTATGGGTGCGCGCCGGTGGGCATGGCCAGGGCATGCTTGCCATACGTCACCACCAGCTTGGAAGCTTCCCGGAAGAGCAGAATCCCGTTCGGCGACGACGAGTCAAAGGTGAGTCTCTGCGTCTTGTTGACCACGAATTCAGCAAAGAACTTGAGGAGCGGCGTGGTGACCGCGGGGGTGTCGGACCAGAACTGCGCGGTGCGCAGGATGAGCGGCATGTGGGCGGGGTAGAGCCAGTCAAACAGCAGCCCGAACGTGCGCCGACTGATACAGGGACCAAACGGGGGGGGCCGAGGCAGAGTTGGAGGAGAGGAAACACAATAATAGGGAGGAAACAAAATCTCAGGAGACGGATGGGGAAGAGAGGGAAATGAGACGTGATGGGATGGCATGGGGGTGATGTTTTCAGTTGGGGCCTAATGCAGCAGCCATCAATCGACGATGAGATAACAGCTGATTATAGCACCTGTTGGTGGCGCAAATAGTACCTGTTGGTGGCCATGGTGATTCCCCTCAAGTCTCTAAAAAGGCCGATGAGGGCAAACTTGACCGGCTCTGTGCGGAAGGAGGCATCTGGCATCGACTCTAGCTTCACAAACACCTGGGTGGTGAGGGGTGGTGAGGGGTAAAGGGGCGTAATGGGGGGTGGTGAGGGTAATGGGGCGTAATGGGGGGTGGTGAGGGTAATGGGGCGTAATGGGGGGTGGTGAGTGGAGATGAGGGGCAGTGAGTGGAAATGAGGGATGGGGAGAGGATTGAAGAGGAGTGAGGAACGGTGCAGGAAATACAGGCAACTCCAAGGAAAACTTGACTGGCTCTATGTGGAAGCAGGCGTCTCTGGCAACGACTCCAGCTTCACAAACCCTAAACCTAACGCAAAACCCTAAAGTTCTGGGGCGAGTCCTCCATGAAGAGTAGGCGCGTGAGAGTGAAGTAGAAGATGGTGCATCGGCTGGTCTGGCATCGGTGAGAGTGAAAGGCCACTCATACTAAGTACTTAAGAAGGTGCTCAAGTGTCTTACTAGGGAGACGAGCTCACCAGTTGAAGAGGTGCCACGAAGGCCTTAAACTTCTGGGGCGAGTCCTCCATGAACAAGAGACGCGTGAGAGTGAAGTAGAAGATGGTGCGGTTGCGCGTGCTGCTCGGGGGAGATGCGTGACCCACAGCTGGTGGAGCTGGTGCGTGAGCTAGAGTGAGCAACACAGCATGATGGGACACTCACCAGCTGTAAAGGGAGAGTTCTTATGGGGCGAGTCCTCCATGAAGAGCAGGCGCGTGAGTGTGAAGTCGAAGATGGTGCCGTGCGGTTGGCCTTCACCCCGTGCTATGCCGTGACAGGTGTAGTCAACAACTTACAAGCTGAAGGGGAGCCACGAAGGCTTTGAACTTCTGGGGCGAGTCCTCCATGAAGAGCAGGCGTGTGAGGGTGAAGTAGAAGATGGTGCGGTTGCGCGTGCTGCTCGGCTCGTCCAGGAAGGGGAAGTGCTCGCTCTGCCAATCACGGCATGACACGTGGCAGCATGGAGAAGAAAGGGGAGGCATGACGCTGACACTGGTCCTGTGAAAGTCCACTTTCAACAGCAGCTTGCAGATCACTTTTTTTGAGTTGACTCAGAGGTATCCCCACACACCCTCCCAACACGCCCTTCACTGCCTCCCTCCCCGGAACAGCACAGAGGAGCTTACCGTGTGGTTGGCCAGGATAAAATTGACCGAGTCCAGTTTCAAAAGCAGCTTGCCGCTCATGTAGCTGTGAGATGGGGGTAGGAGGAGAAAGAGAATCAGGAGGAAAATTAGAAGGAGAACAATTGGAGGCACGTGGAGCACAAGTGGGTTGGAAGAGAAGGGGGGATGTGAGGGGTGGATGGATGGGTGGGTGGGAGGGAGTGGAGAGTGGAACAAGCCAGTGGGAAGGTGAGAGGGATGTGTACATAAGGAAGGAAAGGAATTGCACAAAGACAACAAACTTCTTGTCTAAGCTCTGAAGCTCTAGGCCAGTTCTAATTCTAGCCCCCAAACAGATAACGGAAAAGGTCGACTCACCCTCCTGCAAGTTCTTGGAAAAGGTTCAATGTTTGTTCAATCACGTCCTCGCTCTGACACCAGTTGAAGGGAAGGCGAGAGGAGAGAATGGGGAAGTGGCATTAGTAGAGAACAATGGGGGGTGAAAGAAGCGACAGCAGATGCGGCAACGGAACGGAGAGTGTAGGCACCAATAGTGCTTTCGAGGTTTGCCACGAACACATTCAGCACCAAGAGGTGATTTTGCAAGCATCATGGCGTCCTTTCTTAGACGGATAAGACCACACGCACCTTGGTGTAGCACTTGAGGTTGGTTGCTATCTTGGCCACAATCACATTCAGCACCATGAGGTGATCTTGCAAGCCCAGTAGGTCTGCCAGACGGGCATAGAGGATCTGTGGGGGTCACACAGAAGAGGGTGAGAATGGGATGAGGAGGGGATGGGTGGATGTGGGGATAGTGGGGGGAAAGAGGGAAGAAGGTTGACCGCATGTAGTTGAGCACCATGAGGCGATCTTGCAGACCCAGTAGGTCCGCCAGGCGGGCATAGAGAATCTGTAGGGGTCACATGGGAGGAGGAGGAAAAAATGGGGGGGAATTGGGAGGAAAGCTGAGGACACGTCGGTTGAGAACCATGAGGTGATCTTGCAAGCCCAGTAGGTCCGCCAGGCGGGCATAGAGGATCTTCAAATAGAAAAAAATGGGGGTTGGGGGGGGTGTGGGAGAGAAAAGGGGAGGATACAATCACATTGAGCACCATGAGGCGATCTTGCAGACCCAATAGGTCCGCCAGGCGGGCATATAAGATCTGTGGAGGCAGGTCACACGGGAGGACAAGGGGGGTGAGGAAGGGAAGAAGCTGAGTCATAAGCGTGCCAGGACGTGTCACCTGCACGCCTAGACATATCCCCTGCACGCCTGGACCGTACATGTCACACAGCCACGCGTAGGCGTGTTCACCATGCCTATAGACACGTAACAACCAGCAGCCTATGGATGGCATGACATAGCAGGCATGTCACCTGTGCGCCCAGGCATGGCTCAACGGTGTCCACCTTGGAGGCGTGCATGGCCTGGTCGCCCACGCAGCGACCATCTATCTATTATCTATTACAAGCGTAGACATGGTACAGCATGCATGTCACCTTGGCACCCAGACATGGCTCAACGGTGTCCACCTTGGATGCGTGCATGGCCTGGTCGCCCACGTAGACGCGGCGGAAGTTCTGAAAGAAGGAGAGCACCGCCAGGTCCAGCCGCTGCTTGCTGCGCTCGTCGTAGCGCTGAAAGAAAAGAGGAGAGAGAGGGGTATGGACAGGCAAGGAGCAACAAAGACACAGTAAGAGGTTGTTGATTGAGTTCTGGAAGGAGGGCACCGCCAGATCCAACCGCTGCTTGCTGCGCTCGTCGTAGTGCTGGGATGGGGAGGAAGAGAGCGAGGGAAGGCAGCAAAGGCAGGGGCAAGGGGCAACAAAGACACGGTGACAGCTGATTAAGTTCTGAAAGAAGGAAGAGAGCTCCGCGAGGTCCAACCGCTGCTTGCTGCGGTCGTCGTAGCGCTGGGGAGGGAGAGAAAAAGAAAAGGCAGGGAGCAGAAGGGTAATGGAAGGAGGAATGGTAACATATGGTTGAGTTCTGAAAGAAGGAGAGCACCGCCAGGTCCAACCGCTGCTTGCTGCGCTCGTCGTAGCGCTGGGGAGGGAGAGAAAAAGAAAAGGCAGGGAGCAGAAGGGTAATGGAAGGAGGAATGGTAACATATGGTTGAGTTCTGAAAGAAGGAGAGCACCGCCAGGTCCAACCGCTGCTTGCTGCGCTCATCGTAGCGCTGAGGGGAAGAGGGAGAGAGCGAGGGAAGGCAGCAAAGGCAGGGGCAACAAAGACACGGTGACAGCTGATTAAGTTCTGGATAAAGGAGAGCACCGCCAGGTCCAACCGCTGCTTGCTCGTCGTGACACAGAAGGTATGCACAGCAGCCCCCCTCACCTGTGCGTGCAGCCCCCCTCACCGGTGCATGCAGCCCCCCTCACCGGTGCATGCAGCCCCTTTCACCTGTGCATGCAGGCCAGTGTCTGTAACTTGAATGAGCTGAAACACCCGCGCTGCTAGCTCCCCATCAATTAGCTCCTGAGAATCGCCACTGCGGGAATCAACGGAAATGAGAGAGAGAGCAAGGAAACAAATGAGCGTGAGCGATTGAATAGGCAGGCGAGCGAGCGGGTGTGATTGAGTGGGTGAGTAGATGAGCGAGTGAGTGAGTGAGTGAGTGAGTGAGTGAGTGAGCGAGTGAGTGAGGGAATGAGAGCAGCAGTTGAACAGTTAGCTAGCCACCTCTGCATCGACCAGAGCTTGCATTTGCCACTGCCAAAACGGAAGGAACGGAGGCAGGGAGCGAGTAAGTGAGCAAGTGAGTGAGCGAGTGAGTGAGTGAGTGAGTGAGTGAGTGAGAGAGTGAGTGAGTGAGGGAGCACCTGCTGGAGCTGAGTCGGCCTCGGACGATGGCGCCAATGATGTGCACAATCCACGTCAATTGAGGTGCCTCAGAAGTTGAGGCACCTCGGAAGTGAGACAGTGGGTGAGAGTGACAGCGTGAGTTAGTGAGTGATTGAGTGAGGGAGGGAGGGAGGGAGCACCTGCTGGAGCTGAGTCGGCCTCGGACAATGGCGCCAATGATGTGCACAATCCACGTCAGCTGACTCTCCATCACCTGTAGCGCCACCTGGCTCGTATTGCTCGCCGCTACAGCCGGCTGCCACCGTGCTGCTTCCTGAGGTAATCAATGAGTAAGGGGAGAGGAGGGGAGGGAGGAGCACGTCAGCTGGCTCTCCATCACCTGTAGCGCCACCTGGCTGCTGCTGCTCGCCGCTACAGCCGGCTGCCACCGCGCCGCCTCCTGGGATGAATGAAGGAAGAGATGGTGGAGGGGGGTGGAGGGGAGGAAGGGGGTGGGGTGAGGGGAGGAAGGGCAAAGGGTTGAGAAAGGAGCAGGGCGGATTGGCTCTCCATCACCTGTAGCGCCACCTGGCTGCTGCTGCTCGCCGCTACAGCCGGCTGCAACCGCGCCGCCTCCTGGGATAATTCATGAGAAGGGGCCGGGGTTGAGAGGGCACACCGTGTATGAGTGTATGATGGGCTCTAGATGAGCCTACTTTTGAGTCGACTGAAGAATATGAGTGTATGATGGGCTCTAGATGGCTGATGATGATGAACTTTGCTGAAACACACGGGCACTAACACAATGCTGTGGGCCGGTCTTCCTATCTCCTGCCTCAGGAATAATGAACGCGGCAGAATCAGGGTGGTCAGAGTCACTGTGTATGACTGCATGATGGGCTCTAGATATCTGATGATGAACTTGCTGAAACACATGGGGCACATTATTGGCAGACTAGAATCTCTTTTGTTACATGAATGGGCGGGCTGGTGGGTGGGTCAGTAAGCGGGACGTTTACTCACCGTGTATGACTGCATGATGGGCTCTAGATGGCTGATGATGAACTTGCTGGTGCGGTCAAACTGCAGAGACAGCAAACAGAAAGAGAGGAGCGAAAAGAGGAGACAGAAATATGATAGCACCTTGTTTTGAAGGATTATAGCCACAGCGTAGTGCTGCACGAAGCACACAGACACCGCGCTGAAGGGAAAGACAGCAACCACATGCATACCCTTTTTGAGATATTGAGACTTGTCAAACTTAACCGGACAGCACACCGTGCATACCTGGAACCTGCAGAGGTAGGGCAGGTTGTCTAGCTGGTCTTGTAGCTGCTCGTCGTTGTCCAGCACAACAACCCCCCCCCTTCCCCCCCCTTCACCCACACACACAGAGCTGACGGGAAACCGGATTGTGCATGCATATATGCATGCATACCTGGAACCGGCAGAGGTAGGGCAGGTTGTCTAGCTGGTCTTGTAGCTGCTCGTCATTGTCCAGTGGGTCCTCTGATAGGTTGTTCTGAAGCACAGCCTATAAGGGGGATAAAACAAGCAGCACACTTTAATTAAACAGTGAATTGACAGAAGAACAGCCTTATGCCATATCCTATGCACAATGGAGTCTGGAATCTGAGACACCATGCACCACATTCAGAAAACCATGCAATCACTCTGCAAGCACACCACACACCATTCTCTGCAAGCGCACCACTTGACGAGCACAGAATTGACCTGAACGGAGTCAAGGCGGGATGTGATGTAAGCCTCTGTGATCTGCGGCACGAAGTTATCGAGCAGGCTGGGGCAGTCGCTCTTGGTGTAGGCCATTGAGGAGACCAGGCGCGACCAGAGGCCTAGGAGGAAGTACACACTGCCACTCGCCCACTGGTGGGGGAAGAAGGGGAAGGGGGAGTATACGGGTGAGGGGGTTTGGAGGAGCGAGAAGAGAACAGGTAGATGGTCTTGAGGCGCCCCAACAAACTCACTTTCACGATAGCTGTCGTACTGCGACAGGCCCACTAACACATGACAAACAGCAAAGCATAGCAACCCCACCCAACCCCATCCAACCCAACCCAACCCAGCCCAGCCCACCACGCACCTGCCAGGACTGCAGCGAGGTGATGGTAAACTCTGCCACGAGCTGCGCCCACTAGGCATAATTGTCTGCACTCACCAGCTCAGCCAGCTGGTAGTTGGTCTTGAGGCGGCCCAGCAGGCCCATTCAGTTCAACGCAAGCCCACCCAGCCCATCCAAACCACGCACCTGCCAGGACTGCAGAGACGTGATGCATAATTGTCTGCATTCACCAGCTCGGCCAGCTGGTAGTTGGTCTTGAGGCGGTGGTAAGAGCACACGCACAGCAACCCAGCCTTCTCACCCAGCCCCACCCAACCACCCACCTGCCAGGACTGCAGCGACGTGATTGTAAACTCGGCAACAAGCTGCACCCACTCGGCGTAGTTATCCGCGTTCACCAGCTCCGACAGCTGGTAGTTGGTCTTGAGGCGGCCCAGCAGGCGCCTGCAATGCAAAGCAAGCCCACCCAACCCACCCAAACCACGCACCTGCCAGGACTGCAGCGAGGTGATCGTAAACTCTGCCACCAGCTGCACCCACTCGGCGTAGTTATCCGCGTTCACCAGCTCCGACAGCTGGTAGTTGGTCTTGAGGCCCTCCCACCCAACATCAACCCACCCAGCCCCACCCAGCCTACACAAACCACACACCTGCCAGGACTGGAGAGACGTAATCGTGAATTCCGCAACAAGCTGCACCCACTCGGCGTAGTTATCCGCATTCACCAGCTCCGCCAGCTGGTAGTTGGTCTTGAGGCGGCCCAGCAGGCGGCAATACTCGTGGTAGTTGTCGTGCTGCGACAGGCCCTGCTTGGACCGCAGGATCTCCGTGCTGCCGTTCATGAGGTGCGACAGGAACTTGAGACGCTCTGCTTCCCCTGTGAATAGGGAGCGACGCACTGATGCTAGACGCACCAGGCATTCCAGGGCCTGGGGAGTGACGGCGGGGAAAGGGGGCGCAGGAAAAGGGGTGGTTTGGGGGTTGGGGAGCTGTGGGTAGTTGTCGTGCTGCGACAGGCCCTGCTTGGACCTTAGAATCTCTGTGCTGCCGTTCATGAGGTGCGACAGGAACTTGAGACGCTCTGCCTCCCCTGTGAAGAGCGACCGGCGGACCGAAGCCAGCCGCACCAGGCACTCCAAGGCCTGGTGGGAGGTGGGGAGGGACGGGGAGATAGTGGGGAAGGGGGCGGATGGGGAACGGGCAAAGGGGCAAACTAGACACAGCAAGCGTGGGGCGTGAGGAGAGACGGGGAAGAGGCGGATGGAGTTGGGAGAGGGAGGCCAGCCCAGCTCACCTGGTTTGAAAGAGGGGGCTTGGTGGCGGCATAGAAGTCGAAGAAGAGCTGCATGGTGGCCGTGTCCTCCAGCACTGCCCTCCACGACGACGGAACTTCCTGCCCCTCCCTGCCCTTCCACTCCCCCCTCCCTTTCTCCCCTCTCACTCGATTTACCTGCTTGGAAAGCTGAAGCTAGGGCATCACCTCACACCCTGCCTGAGGCAATGGGGAAACGAGCGGCCCACCTGGTTGGAGGGGAGGTTTTAACCACACCTGATTTGAAAGAGGGGGCTTGGTGGCGGCATAGTAGTCGAAGAAGAGCTGCATGGTGGCCGTGTCCTCCAGCACTGCCCTCCAAGACGACGGCACCTGGATGGTTCCCAGCTCCTCCGAGCTCTCGTCCAGTGATGTGCCGACGAAGTCAAAGGACAGGCAGCGGAGAGCGAGAGAAACCGCCTCCGCCCTCAGCTTGTCGTCAGCTGGATGGAAGAGAAAGGGGGTAGGATTTGGGATAAGTCAGCAATAAAAAAGGCACCCGAATCCCACACAGCTCCTCTGAGCTCTCGTCCAGTGACGTGCCTACGAAGTCGAAGGGGAGGCATTGCAGCGCCAGGGAAACTGCTTCCGCCCTCAACTTGTCGTCAGCTGGAGGGGCGCAGCAAGTGGGAGTTGAGTTGAGATTCCATGCAGGGAAGGGAGGTGAGAGGGAAGTCGAAGGACAGGCAGCGCAGCGTGTGGGAAGCACAGGATGGGGTGAGGGAGATTATATGATGGCAGAGTGTCACCAAGCCAAGACTCTGGGGAGCTGGATGGACGTAAGGAGAAGCACTCACCGTCGGACTGCAGCTGTCGCAGGCTGGTGAGGGAGATCTGGGAGATGGCACATAGACCTTTGAGGTGCTAGGTTCAAGCAAAGAAGATGGGTTGAAGTAATGATGCAGCTAGCCAGGGTTGAATTGAACAACACTCACCGTCGGACTGCAGCTGCCGCAGGCTGGTGAGGGAGATCTGGGAGATGGCGAATAGCGCCAGGTCTCGGTCTTTGCGGAGCATGATCAGGCAGAGCAGCAGCCGAGTTATGCAAAAGTAGCAAACACAGTTAGCACTCACCGTCGGATTGCAGCTGCCGCAGGCTGGTGAGGGAGATCTGGGAGATGGCGAATAGCGCCAGGTCTCGGTCTTTGCGGAGCATGATCAGGCAGAGCAGACGAGTTATGCAAAAGTAGCAAACACAGTTAGCACTCACCGTCGGATTGCAGCTGCCGCAGGCTGGTGAGGGAGATCTGGAAGATTGCGAATAGCGCCAGGTCTCGGAAGGAGCAGGCTGTCTTGCGATGAAAGGTGAGTGACCGGCCTGGACTAGGCTGCAAAGTGGCAGGTAGGTCAGGGTGGGGGGAGAAACGCAGGGGAGCGACAGGTAGTTTGACAGAAAAAGGGTTGAAAGCTGAGCCTGTCACTCCCGGCCCCAGCTAGACTCGGCAAGTTGGCACATCAGACTTTTGAAACGGCACGAGAGTTTCAATAAGGTTGCTATGCAACCCAAAAAACAGTCCACCCATGCACGCACCTGGTTCATCTCTGCCACCAGCTGGTTGAAAATCTTGAGACCTAGGAAGAAATGCTCCGCTGTGCCCTGCTCGCAAGCAATGGACCACAGTGCACCGCATCACACCGTGGTGCACCAATGCAATGCAACAGTGAATGAGGGATGTTAACGAGAGACATTAGTCAAGCTAGGTGAAGGAAAGAAGAACGAGCGGGGGTGTGTATACGCAACGTAGCGCCGCAACGTAGTGCAGCATGAGGACACGGACGATCAAACAAAGTCAGGGAGGGAAAGATAGTCCAATTGTCCTGTGCAATGTCTGTAGAAAAAGCACACGCACCTGCGCGAGAAACTTGGTGCATTCGTCCACGACGTCTCTGAACCGCTCAACGTCGTACCACCCGAGCTTAGAAATCCGATCCAACGCAGCAGCGGCACCAGAGAAACCTGGTTCGACCGTCACATGTACCTTTAACTCTAGCCTAGAAAATCGCATGCATCTGCAATCCCATACGTACCTGTGCGAGGAACTTGGTGCATTCATCCACGATGTCTCTGAACCGCTCATCGTCGTACCACCCGAGCTTCGAGATCCGGCATAGCAGCTGCACTAGCGACGCCGTGACAAAGGACTCTGCCTTGGGACCCTTGGTGGCCAGGAAGGACACCACGTAGTTGCCTGGAGGGGAGGATAAAGATGCCACAATGAAGGACGGAAGGGAGCCAATGAGGCAATGGAAAAACAGGATCCGACACAGCAGCTGCACTAGAGATGCTGTTACGAAGGACTCCGCCTTGGGACCCTTGGTGGCCAGGAAGGACACCACGTAGTTGCCTGCAGGGAGGGACAAAACCCACAATCAAGGAACGCGGACAGAGTTTCAAGAGCCTAAGAAAAGAACAAACCAACACAGCAGCTGGAGTAGAGACATCGTCCCCAAGTAATCCGTCTTTGAAATCTTGGTGGCTAGAAAGGACACAACATAGTTGCCTGCATGGAACGGAACGCATGCACAGGTAAGGAGAGGAGGCACAAAGGGATGTCAGACTTCCTGGAACAGCGAACTATGACAATGAGGGGATTCACGCAGAATGCCTCCTTTGGGTGAAGTGCTGTGAAGCAACGAGGATCTGAGATTCAGATGCGCACTCCAATGCAGTTTATTTATGTTACACTAATGTGCAAACCTTGACAATTCGCGATTGAATGCCATGAAACGGCAATCCCAAGGCCAAAACTGCGTATCATCGGACATCAAGCATCAGGCATCAAGCCTTACACATATCGGCAACGGCAAAGTGTGGCCCATGACCTGCGAGAGCTGGCGAGAACATGCGCGTAGGGTGAGGAGGAGTTATCCATGGTGTACTGCCCCTACAACGAATACCGAATCTTACGTATATCGAGTCGTAGTTGCACCGGCAGAGAGTGGTCCGTGACCTGCTTCACGAGGCTCGAGCTCGCGAGTACTTGCGCGTAGGGCGAGGAGGAGTTATCGAGGATATACTGGCATTGCGTGATATACTCCGTGCTCGTGGAAAAGCACAATAGGGTTTGCTCCGCGTGCGATCGCTCCGCCGGATCCTGCGAATTGTACAGCCGCTCGCACAACCCCTCCAGCTGCGCGAGGCTCTCCATCGCCTCGCTCCGATACAGTCACCGACGGTATAGTCACCGACCCTATAATCACTCGCTCGTCAACCAACGACCCGATAATCACCCACTCTACAGCCACGCGCGTTACAATCACCCGCGATCGATCGCTGTCCTAGGAGCTGGCCGGAGACCAGCAGACGCACGAACCGAGAATGCCAGGGTCGATGCTTCCGATATCTACCAGATAAGGTGCGTTAAACCGTGGTTTTTGAACAAATCGAAGCCCGCATCCTAGCAAAACTGCTGGTTGACGATTCCGCAACGGCTGCTCGGCCCTCCTCACCCCACTGACAACCGCAGATCTTCCCCCCGACTCGACCGCGAACTCAACTAAACCATCTGCGACTGACGATCAGCTACGGGATTCTACGAGTGAGGTTGGACACCCACCGGCTGGCTCGACGAGTCGTCAGAAACGGGCAAAGTAATCCTGGCCAGGTTCTGCCCAGTCTAGAGACGTAGGTTTGCAGATACTCTAATTGCTAGACTGTGGGCCAGGCGACAGACCATGTCTGGATTCGCTGATAAGGCACAACCTTCTACAGTGGGTGTGATACAAAAGCAGATTTGAAGGACAGTCACGTGGTGCCTGGCAGGATTCAGCCGCGCAAAAGCTGCCAGGAGCAGAGCGACCTGCTGAAGTGACGAACGATGGCGAAAACGTAAAGGAAGGGTAGCCGATTATCGCGAGGGCATGAATGGTGTCGTCGACAGGCGAACGAGCGAACTTCGAGAAGGACGATCATCAAAACTTTTTACTTGACTGATACGGTACGCTTGTTACATTCAATGTGTTATACTTTCCATGACAAGAAAAATGAGTGCAAGCATATATGCTAATGGAGCTCCTATTAAAAGGAACACCACGCAATAAAAAGGGAACAACGTCATAACTCAGAGCCTACGCACTCGCAGCCACCGTGTGGGTGGGAAAAAGGCACATGAATTTCAGATTCATGGCCAAACAAGACACAAGGCTCTTGAGAAAAATCAGCCAGAAAACACAAACGCAGCACAGGAGCCCCTAAGATCCACTAAGATGCATTGACAATCGAGCTGAGCATCTGCAAACAAGAGGAAAAAGAATAAGACAACAGTCAGCAAGTGCGGTACAAAAGAAGTTGTTAATTGATATGTATAAAGAAAAACAATTTGGAGGGAAACCGTTGCAATAACTCACCTCCATCTCAGCATGTATCGCCTGGAGCATGTCAGACTCGGAGAAGCTTCCTGGCATGTCAAACATGCCGTTGTGGGACAGAGACGAGAACATTGCCTCCTCGCTTTGGAAATCAGCACCTCCCGCAGGCTTATGATCATCGAAGGCAGTCAGAGGAAACTCGGACATACGCCCATTGCCCGCAACCACAGCCTCAAGCGACCCACTGGAAATGAAATTCGCCATCCTTGTATCCTCGGTTGTGTTCAGTGCTCCCCATGGATCGCCTGAACCAGCATCAAGCATTTGCTGGGGCTCATTCTGATTGCCATGAAGACTTTCATTACTGGTGTAACGAGCAGATGAAAACGCCTCCAGCAGCATCACGTCAGGTCGCTGGGACATAACTAGATGCTTCCCTTCCTCTTGCTGGGCCAGCTGTTGCGTCGCCTCAGATAAATTACCGTGGGAAATCTGCTCCTGCTGCTGCTGCTGCTGCTGCTGCAGCTTCAAGTTCAGAGCCTGCTGCTGGGACTGGTACACCTGCTGTTGCTGGATCTGCATCTCTCTGTTCTCCCCACTCACTGAGTCCGCGAACAACGCCTTCTGAAGGCACTTGGTGTTGCCCTGTGGCCTCCATGTGTGGGAAATCACAGGCGCTGGTGCTGCCATGGAATCCAGGCGATGATTGACGGAGGCAGAGGAGGTAAGAAGAGCAGTGAAGGAGGCGCTGGGAAGAGAAGCAAAAGCGTCGTCTGAGCAAATGCCCGCGGCAACTGCGCCTCCACCACCACCACCTTCCACTCCACCACCGCCGCCTGTGAAAGTGCGGCCACCTACAGCAGAACCTACAGGAAGAACGGTTGAAGGCACAACAGCTTCAACAGAAGCATCAGCAGCGGCAGCAGTGGCAGAAGGCGGGCCTGTGGAGACTGAACTGACATCAAAGGAAGGCATGCGCGCGACTGGAGCGAACGACGCATTGGGAGACCGGCAACCGCCAGTCGAGGAAAGAGAAGACCGCCGCGTAAATGACGGCTCGGCACCGGCAGCAGAAAAGGCTGCAGCGACGGCTGACGGAGAGGAGCAGCCGGAGGGAGCAGAGGAGTGAGGAGGAGAGCCGACCGCAGCTGGAGCGGATGCTGCTGCAGTGAGAGACGACGAGGACGACGACTTGGCGAGTTTCCTCACGTTCGCGAGGAGGGGAAGATCGGCGACAGACGCAAAGTCAGGTTGCTGCGTCAGGCGAAGAGCTTGCGCAAGGAGCGAGCCAGGCTGGAGAGCCAATCGGGACCTGGTGGGGGGAGCAGCGCGGATCAGCGAAGGCAAACAAATCAAATTTTTAGGAACAGAGAGATGTGAGGTTATGTCAGGTATCACAAAAGCGGAGGGAAACGCGCGAAGGAACAAGATGATGCGAGTCAGATTACTCACTTGAGATTGGCGAGCTGCACGGACATGCTGAGAGGCGTCGACGGATTGAGCGCAGGCATCTGAAGAAGCGGAACCCCGGAAAAGTTTCCACCTCCCAAAGCCGCGTTAGAAGTGTTAACACCAGACTGCTGTAAGTACGGGGAACCAGCGAATGGCTGCTGAATCTTCTGCTGCTGCTGTTGCTGAATGTGTTGCTGCTGCTGGACAAGGGAAACGGGACTTCGCACAGCCGTCGGGGACGCGGTGGCGGAAGGAGCATTGAAGGCCGCGGTGGCGGCGGCGATACCAGAAGCGCTGGTGGGACTTCCGCTCTTGAAGGAGGGTCGCGAGTTGCTGTTGAGGCCAAGGCTGCCGCCACTCAATGCCTGACGAAAACACACGGAGAGATGTTAGCTTACGATGGCAAGGGAAAAATATGGATCGACATTGCAAAGATGATAGATACGCGCGCAACGCAACCATAATATGCGGCGTACCGGAAGCTGCAGTTGGCTCGAAAAGGAAGGAGCTGCCAAAGAGCTCGACGACGCAATTTGATTCTGCTGGGTGCTAGTCTCAGGTGTGACGACGGACTCCTTAGCGCGGTGAAGCAGATGCGAGAGGCTCCGCTTGTCCTTAATGCACCGCCTGCGAACAGATCGCGGGAGAACGGACAACGACGTAACGTTAGACGCAGCGACTACTAACGTCTGACCCGACACGCGAAACGCGCAAAGATCGAACCACTGAGCGAAACGCGCTGGACGCGATTCGACTAAAAAAAATGGATGTCGTACTTCTTGAGGAGAATAAAGCGGTTGCAGCAGGCCTTCTGGTCGCGGAGCGGCAGTAAACCGCTGGCTTGGAGCGAACCCCAGTTGCGCGTGCCATGGCGAGCAACATGCTGCAGCAGAATCAAGTCCTCCTGTGCCACAGAGAAATGGAGAAATTGACAGATTGAGGAGACGGAAAACCAACACACACCAAAACCAAAACAAGCACGAGAACAAATCTCGAGGGCAACAAACACTATCGAGGGTTGGGAAAATTGTCATCGCTGGCAATCTCGAGGACGAATAGGAGGAAGAGTTGTCGGATAAAACTCGTTACAAGCATGCCGGAATTCCCATCGGGAAAACAAAAACTTCCGCAGGTCGAAAAGCCAGAGAACCCAATCACCCATCGCAAACCCATCCAGGACTTCCGTCTGGCGTCAAAGCCGAGGAAGCATGCCTGTCAGCCATTCATCGTCTAGGGTTTTCCAATAAACGAAGGAATGTTCTGAGCAAGCACAGACAGGAATCAGTGAGTACTTCGACCGTTTCGCGACAGCTATCGGACTCAAATTACCTGCGGCGACCAATTCGGGCGTGTTCGATGACCGCCAAGAAAGATCATTCCCGCGTCCAATGCGTTGTCGCCTTGCGACGTCGTTACGTCGTAACCGTCGTTAGCAGTTGTAGCCCCTAGCGCAGACGACGACGACGACTTCAATGGCGGCATGTCTGTAGACTGAGACATTCTCATCTGAAAAAATGGTCATCAGAAAAAATCCCGAAGAAAAAGAAGCGTCAGACTTTCCGCCATAAAATCCCGAGCCCCGAAAAACGCTTGCGCGAAGAATGTTAGGGATAAGAAATTGCGCGATGAAAACTCACTTGCGCGTGAAGTGACGACGACCACTGATACTGAAGCGTGAGCTTCGACGGGTTCTGCGCATCTTGGTACGCCATGGGGGACAATACTCCTCGCAGAAAAACTCCTCAGGAATGGTTTGCTTGACAAATACAGAATTATCCACGCGACGCCTCGACGACGCTGCTGAGTGAACTTAATGTGAGGCCGCGACAGGACGTGAAGCAGAGTACCACGGTCCGCAACGGAGAAGAGTAACCGAAGAGAGAGGAAGCTGAGGATTATTCACTAGACGAACTCAGACTTAGTGACTTGGGACGGCAAATGTCGCTGCTTCACAAAAACTGGTGTACGGAAAAAGGACAGGTTGCGATCGAAGATGCGTGTTTGTCAGATTGTTGAAGTCCTTCACGAAAGTAAGTAGCACGGCGAAGAGAGCCGCGAAAAAAAAGTGATGATCAATCAAGTGGCCGTTTTTTTCTAACAAACGCGCGTGAAAACTGCGTTTGTCCTCTAATCAAGACTGGAACTTCACGCTAGGATGAGGCGTTACGCTTCGCGGAAGCGTGCCACAAAATGCAGCGGGAAGAGGACGACGAAAGCAGCTGCGCAGCAATGAGCGTGAAGTGGAGGGTGCGAGGATCAGCTTGTCGGTAAGGAAAGTGATGGACGAGAAAGGGGGATGGAAGACGTGCTGGAGATAGGTCTTGGAAAGGGAAACAAGAAGCAAAGACAATCTTGGGAGTTGTCGGGAATGGCTTTGGCGTGGATGATTTGTATAGGACGCAAAGCAGGAACGGATCTCGTCCTTCGCGACGTAAAAAAGGCGAAAGAATCGACAAGGTGGACGGCGGGGGAAAGGAAGGGAAGAAGGCAGGGGACCCGGGGATGGAGCGCAGGACAATGGGGAAGGGGGATGCAGGGCAGTCAGAAAAAGCAGTCCACCATTGCCGCGGAACATCCTTTGGCGGAGATGGGGGGGGGGATGGGTGGTGCAGAACAGAGTGATTGGGCGGGCGAGGATGACTGGGCCGCACCAGCAGCATTTGTGCGAATCCGAACGAAAAGCGTGCGAGAAGGGTGAGGTGAGGTCCTTTCCTGGACTGCCTGCCACCACAGGATTTTTTTGGGAGGAACGGACCAGCCCTGAGGTGGGTGGGGAATGCGCTATGCCAGCGCGACAAGGCAGTGGCGCAAGATGAATGTGTCCCAAGAATGAAGAAACTATTCAGAGAATGGGGCACCCGTGTGAGCGGAATCATAATAACGGCGGAGTTGGTGCAGGGGGAAGGAGCGGTGGAGGTTGGGGGAACCAGTGAGTGGAATTTCATGAAAGGGGCACCTTCGCGGGAAAACAATGTTCGATCAGGGGAGCGCGCGCGGAATGCTACACAACAGAGAGATTCGGGGGATCAACAAGATCTGAGCGAGTAAAACCCTAACCTTGTCAGCCAAGACAACTGTACATCACCACCACGCAATGGCTCGTGGTGGGCTAGATGACGTTGTGATGTCATTCAAAGGTTTACTGCACAAAAAAAAAAGGATTCTGAACTAAAGCCTCATATGTTATAAGTGGTTTGTTAGAAGAAACGGGAGACCCCCCGTCCAATTATTCATCCAAGAGTTTCAGTGTTTCCCGTGGGAGCGTATCTCGTTATCCGATTCACAGGTTCCCGCACCTCTGGAGGAAATCAATAGACGCACCATTTCAGAGTGTCAGCGAATTTCAGAATTCACACATATGTACTTCACGGTTCCCTCGATTTCGATCACTGCACTAGCTCTTATTCTAAACTGGCTCTTTGCTCAAAGAGGAAACAAAATGTCGCTCCCTGCAATTCAGTCGTGTTCACACATGTACCCAGGTGTAATTTTCTTTATCTTCAGCCTGATTATTTTTTTGGAGACTGGAGTTCCACAAAACGAGCGGCAAATTCAAAACGAGCACAATGCAGATAGGCGAAAACTGCCTTGACCAGCCTGCAAAGATCACCGTTCCAAAACTCGCCGACACCAAAACAGTTGAGAAAACGTCAAATACTCCACCCAAAACTGCCTGGCAACTGAACAGCAGTCAGAGGTGAAGACAACAATGACGACAAGTAACATGCTGCAGCAAGCCCTCCCGTTGGACCATCGGGTGGGTCATCGAAACATTTTTACAGCTCACTACTATTGCACTTCGCAGCGGTGCAATTCACACTTCGCAGTCAACCTAGAGAGACGCAGGTTGTGCAGTACAGCAGAACTCCGTTCGGTATTGCTAGTCTAGGGAGAAACCTACATCTTCTCTACTGGGCCATAGGACTGCTCCAAAGTGCTAAGAAATACTGTACTCATTCACAAATTCCGAACTGTACTGCACAGCGTCAAGCTTCACGTAGGGCCAACCCAAATTCTATGATAAGAAAAAGAGGGAAGGAACATCGAAAGCGAGGCACTTGCTCCAGTGCCATGCACCAACTCGCCATGAACAGAGGAGTCCTTGTCATGTTAGCAAGATTTTGGGTCCCGAAATCTCAAACGCTCCGATCGCATAACCGCCCATCTCTTCATCGAACGATCAGATTCAAGCACACGCCACCTTACAGGCCCAATCAAAATGAAGCACATCGCATCTTTGAATGAGACAATCCCTCACTGCAATTTTTCCACCGATTTGCAGCCTGTCATGGCATTTGGCAGTTGGGCGTCTTCGCTCCAGAATCGGAAATGGGCGAGGTTACCCTGGGAGCCTCTAGATACCGAGGGTATTTAACTCTCTACACTCAGCAGTTCAAAAAAAATCCTACAATGCATAAACTCCGTACCCAAACATTCTGGACATGTCACGTACGGAATGTACCCTAGAGTAAAAACACACACACACACACACACACACACACACACACACACACACACACACACACACACACACACGCGCGCGCGCGCGCGCGCGCGCGCGCGCGCACACACACACACACACACACACACACACACACACACACACACACACACACACACACACACACACACACACACACACACACACACACACACACACACACACACACACACACACACACACACACACACATACACACACACACATACACACACACATACACACCCACTGATGATCAATGTATTCAGGTAATTTACACTGATAAAATCTCCCCTGTGGTGGAGTGAGTTCTTACACATATTAGTCTAACGACAACGTAAGCTAAACAAACCCCACTTCTCGCCCTCGCTATTCCCCAGGGCTCCAGCCCTCCACGAATCTGTCTGTCTCTAAAGAATGAATTGATGTGCTGATGTAAGTCAATGCGAATAAACTCACTCCAATTGTCCCCCAGGTCTACAGCCCTCCAAATGTAACCGTCACTAGCTACATGCATTGCTGAGCTGATGAAAGTTGTATGATCATCTGTGTATGAATTTACTTTGCACTCCTTGTTCCCTATGGCCTAAGCTTCCACGAATCCGTCAGTAGCTGCATGCATTACTGAGCTGATGAAATCCGTGGGATTATCTGTGAAAGAACTCACTCCACCATCCTTATCCCATGGGGCTCCAGCACCCCACAAGTATCTGTCAACTAGCTGCATGCACTCAACTTATGTAATCTATGTGGTCTCCGTATTTTATACTATACTTCTTGTCCCCTATAGCCTTAGCCCGCCACATGTATTTGTCACTAGCAGCATGCATTGCTGCGTTGATGCAATCGGTGGTATCTGTCAGACATATATGATTTAGCCTATATAGGCTGTAGCGGGGTAGATACTAAGGGGTACACAGTTTTAGGGTTTCATATTTGTATCACACACTTTCCTAGTTTATTCATTCCCTTCTCTTTTCACATGGTATAGAGCAGGTTCCCTAGTGGGACCATCTCTTCCTAGGGCCCACCACAAGAACTTTTTTTTTAAAGCTGCCCGAAGCGCCTTTGCGCCCTGCCCGAAAATTTACGGCCCCTAAGCCGCCCCTTCGCGGCCCCTTAAGCGGCCCCTCGCGGCCCTCCCTCTCACAGCCCCTTCGCGGCCCCTTATGCGACCCCGTCGCGGCCCCCTTCGCGGCCCGTCGCGGCCCCTTCCCAGCCCGTCGCGGCCCCTTCGCGGCTCGTCGCGGCCCCTTCGCGGCCCGTCGCGGCCCCTTCGCGGCCCATTGCGGCCCCTTCCCAGCCCGTCGCGGCCCTTCGCTGCCCTCGCGCGGCCCCTCCGCGGTTTTTCTTCGCTGCCCTACGCGGCCCCCTCCACGGCCCTTCGCGGCCTCCTCACGGCCCTTTGCGGCCCCTTTGCGCCCCCCCCGCGCGGCGTCGCCCCTGAAGCAGCCGCCCCTGGCCCTTGGAGTAGCCGCCCCTGCAGCAGCCGCCTCGGGCCTTTGGAGCAGCCGCCCCTACAGCAGCTGCCCCTGGCCCCTGGAGCAGCCGCCCCTGCAGCAGCCGCCTCTGCAGCTGCCACGGAGCCCTCGCCCTGTAGTGGTAGCTGCGGAGATTCACTCTACAACGGTAGTGAGCTAGACTACGGGGGTTGGCACGAACTACTAGGAGTGATCGTAGCTTTGCTTGGTTGCTTAGTGCTTGAACAATCACGGGAGAAATCGGCAAGAGTTTCCACTAGCAAAGTTGAGAATACAGAATGATTGAACAAGCAATGACAGAATGACTACATCAGGCACCTAGCAACTCTGCAGCTAGCCTGGTCGACCGCCAGCACTGCATGGTCGACCGCGTGCCAGCGTTGCGTAGAGGAGCCGCGCCAGCACTGCAGAAGAGCGACCTGCCAACATTGCAGGTCGACGGCGTGCCAACGCTGCAACAGTGCGGCTGTCCAGCGTTGCTCCGTAGAAGACAGCAGTGCGCACGCTCGCAGGTGCGCGCAGACGATTGGCCCGACTTG